ACAAAAATGTAAATGGGAATTTGATCAAATACTAAGTAAAAAGTTGTGACAAGGCTTCATACAAAAATCGGATCAAATGTATGAACGAACATTTGAAAGTAATTTGATCGTTTAAACTGAGCCTTTGCATAGTTATCGAGTATTTTTCTTCATGTTCCCTTTGAAAAACTGATTTTTTTTTTGGGGTGGGGGTGGGGGGTGGGGCTGAAAATCGTGTTCTCGTCGACCACGAGTCTGTTTGCCAGGTTTCAGCTCGATAGCTTGACGGGAAGGGGGGTCAATTAGCCGTCCGAAGATTTCGCTTGCCCGCCAGTCAGTCAGTCAGGCAACAAACAAAACCTCAGTTAATATAAATTATAAAGGATTTAAAAATAGTTTTCACGCATTTTTTAAGCGTATTTTATCGAAAAGTGATGTCATTAGTGGCCCTATGTGCCGATAGCTTTCTGCACCTTCTGGAGAGCACAGCACCTTCTGGAGAGCACAGCACCTTCTGGAGAGCACAGCACCTTCTGGAGAGCACAGCACCTTCTAGAGAACACAGCACCTTCTGGAGAGCACAGCGCCTTCTAGAGAACACATCACCTTCTAGAGAACACAGCACCTTCTGGGGAGCATGGACGTGTTTCCCCATTATCTAAACACTTGCATGTCGATCACAACATGATAACGACATTCATCGACATACCGACAGCTCTTAGAACTTATCTGAATAACATTTTTAGGAACAGAACTACTTTAACTGTTTAAAACACGTTTGGAAAAAAAATGAAATATCGGATTTTTATATTTTGGAAAAAGCGGGACATTGTTATCTCATTCCTTCCTTGCCGTTACTGTTGGCTTAACTCTTCTTGTTCTTCTTCTTCTATATCTTAAGGGCCCACGATCAATTTATTGATAATTTTGGCTCCTATGCATGTAGATGGGATTTGACAAGATATTTAAGATATTTTGTTCATGAACATAGTTTAATGTTGATACTAAGTGAATGGTGACCATTAGTTCCGTTGTTTTTTTTTTAAAATACATTTTTAAAAAAATATGTCTATTTTTTACCATACAGAAAAAGACCTGAGAACAATTGTCTTAGTTGGCCGTGGGGGTGTCACCTGTACGGTTTGAAAAACGAAATACTAATAAAAAAATTGGGTGTTGCGTCGGGTTGCGTCATTTATTGCTTTACAAAACTGTTAAAGAAATCAAACCTGGAGATGGAGTCCCGAGAGGCGGATAAAATGGATACAAATGAAACATTCCGACAACTCCTGCGACGCCACTGGTGCCAAGCTGTATCATCCAATGATGTTCCCTTGGGGTTACCCAGCGGCGTGGAGAGAGGCTATTTGCTGTTGGGAACCAGCTTATAATCCTTCAAGTATAATCCCAGGCCATGTGGATTTCGTCCCCCGAAGCCCACTCCATCATCACATTGTGACGGACGGATGACAGCAACAACAAAAAAATAATTAAGGACGCAGGGTTTATGGAGAATAAATTTTATACACCACTTGATTACACAAGACGGATCCTGACCAGTCGACACTGGACTTGATTTCATCCTTTAAGTGACTTGACTTGATCATTTAAGTGACTTGACGTCATCCTTTAAGTCAATTTCATATTGTCTGTTTGTTTATTTGTTGTTGTTGGTTTTTTTCTATTTTGTTGTTGTCTTTGTGGTGAATAATTTCAAATAAAATAAGTTAAATTAAAAAAAAAAACCGTGGTATAGAGCTGTTCAAATTAGTACGCCTACTACTGCTGTTATACTCTATATAGAAAAAAAGGTGTGTGGGGGGTTGGGGGGGGGGGGCTGCTTTCAGGTTGAAGCAGTAATAAAATTAACACAACTCTGTTAAACACACGGGGAAGGGGGGGAGAAAAAGAAGAAACAAAAAAAAAACAAATTTGTTTATTTTTTGTTGTTGTTTTTTTTCTATTTTTTTGTTGTCTTTGTGGTAAAAAATTTCAAAAAAAATAAGTTAAAATAAAAAAAAAAACCGTGGTATAGAGCTGTTCAAATTAGTACGCCTACTACTGCTGTTATACTCTATATAGAAAAAAAGGTGTGTGGGGGGTTGGGGGGGGGGTGCTGCTTTCAGGTTGAAGCAGTAATAAAATTAACACAACTCTGTTTAACACACGGGGAAGGGGGAGAGAACAAGAAGAAACGAAAAGAAAACAACGGACGTTTTCGGCTGAAAGCCTATGACTGAAAAAAAAAATTAATTAAAAAATAATTAAATAATAAACAGCGAATAAAACACACAAACTTATCTTGGAAGGGGTCAAACAAGGAAGTCGCCTTTAAGGAAGTATCTCGTTACTTGCAATTATTTTGGAAATCGGGTTAATAGGAAATTAAGGGGGGTGGGGTCAAAATTAAAATTTTACCAATATAAAATAGGAAGGAACCAAAGATTACTTTTAATATGGTGAAGACTGCGTAGGTGATGGGAGTCGAACCAAACACGAACCGAACACGCTGAACCTGAAACCTGCTGAAGACCTAACGGGACGCAAATCCTGCTGACAACCAACCAAACCCGAACCGAACCCGAACTTCAATTTCATTGAGTACGAGCAAACCCGAACGAGCTTATCGCAAACTTATCAGAACCAGACAATGTTTTACGACTGGTGCGCATCAGACAATGTTTTACGACTGGTGCGCATCAGACAATGTTTTACGACTGGTGCGCATCAGACAGTGTTTTACGACTGGTGCGCATCAGACAATGTTTTACGACTGGTGCGCATCAGACAATGTTTTAAAATAGTGCACATCAGACAATTTTTTTTACAAATGGTGCACATCAAAAAAAAATTTACGAATGGTGCAGATCAGACACTGTTTTACGCATACGGTGCAAAACAATACTTACTCTAGAAATGCCAGAAATATTTTAAATAAGAAAACTTGATTGCAAAAAATAGATATTTGTTTAAAATCATCCTTAACACACCCCCACCCCCAAACATCAAACCCCCCCCCCCCCCCCCCCCTTAAAAAACACCCTTTCGAATACGCTTGATTTATATTAAGGCGTGGCAAATTAAACAAGAAAACTATTTAGCCAACTATTTTTTTTTTCACATAATGTCAGCAACTTGTATCGTTTTAAGGTTAAAGGAAAAAACAAAATAGACCTATTTATTTATCAATCAAACTGATTGTTTACAGCTGACAAACCCTTGATGGTGTGAGATGTCAGATGTGCGTACATGGAGAGGGTGGTGGCAGTACGCGCCTTAGCAGTATCCTGATCCTACAAGATGACGGCAGACTATAGAATTTAAGTGATAAAAGATTATAGATAGCAGCCACCGCCTTTGTCGTTTTAGCGCTGGGGGGGGGGGGGACGCCATTTTGTTTGGAGGGCCGTTTTAGAATTTTATAAAATTTTATTTCGTGGCCCGCATGTTACTTTTCTCGGAATCCACCGTTCTAAGTTTTACATAAGTTATTTTAATATGGGCTTCGGAAATTCATTTCTAGTTAAATCGAAAGAAGGCCGTGTTTAATTGTTTTAGCGTGGTGTGATTATTATTATAACAATATGTAGGAAAACCTTATAGACTACGATTATTTGATTTTCAAAGGCTTTTTTACATATTATAATTATCGCTCACAGCGTTTACATTTTACCATGCTCCAGTCTCCCCGGCAAAGGACTTGCGGGCTGCATTAAACGTGTAACATGGCCGTATGTGGCACATGGGCTGTTGGTTGCCCACCCCCTGCTTAAGTGAGTGCCCCAATAGGGGTCGTCGGCAAATTACGTCACGCAAAAAAATGACCTGTCACAAAATCTTTACCCCCATCCCATACCCCCCAGACATACTGACATCCAGACGTACTGACATCCAGACGTGCTGACATCCAGATGTGCTGACATCCAGATGTACTCCAAAACTTCTAGTTGTAGAACACGTCACTCGGCTACACCGGCGTCGGAAGAATTCCCATTGGTGAAACAATTACGTAAGGCTCTTAACTAAATCAATTTCAGTAAGCTCATTATCTATTTTGGCATGCGTGTTTGGGCCATATTCAAAGTAGGCCCTTGTGCGTGGCGCCGTGGGAGGGGGGGGGCAAAAGTGTGTGTGTGTGGGGGGAGGGGGGACCACCCTTGCCGTCAAGACTGAGTGCACAAAATATTCGTTAGATAGTACCTTAATAGTGACTATTAAATGACCAAAAATATCAAGTACTTCGCATAGACAACGGAGCCAAAAGCGTCTTTTCATTGGTCAAACTTTTTTTTTCTCTTTATATCGAGAGGTTGCACTTACAGGCTTCCCGTAAGGGGGCCCCCCTTCCCATCGACACGCCCCTGCGTGCAGCCTACATTTCGATGTAGCTAGCATTTATGTTGTTTCTGTCTGGATTGTTTTTTGTTGTTTTTTTTTTTTCGTTTTTGTTGTTGTAATTCTCAAAATGTTATTTTCTTGAAATGACGTCTTTTTGTCCCCTAAAGTGCCAACGTCTGTAAGTCGGTCACGTGGCTACAAGATAAATTTATTTCGAATGTAAGTGGCGGAGTGCCATGAGGTCAAATAGGTTAGCTAAATTTTCAGCCAATGAAATTCAAGTTGACCGGCGATGACATCAGATTAAAAAAAAAAAGTCTACCANCCCCCCCCCCCCAAACGATTTTTTTTTTCATAACAAGAAAAAACCAGTTACGTAGAAAGGGGGAGCAGAAAGGAGTTCCGCCCCAGAATGCACTTTTTTTTTATATAGGGACATCATTTTCTTCATACTGCATAGCTTTTTTTGTTGAATTGAGGGCGAAAAAAATTCTCAGTCCGCCCCAACCCCAGCTACGCCACTGGCACGAACAAACTAAAAGCAGTAATTTCTAATTTTATTTTATTTTTTTCAAGTGGCCAATATATATTTCGCTATCCGGTCCACTTTTCTTTCAAACTCGCGCAAATCTAAGAGAACTCTCAGAACAAAACCTTGTAAGAGTAAACAAATCAACGAAGACCACATTTAGACATTTTTATTTGCTTCCATTTCAAAGGGAGGTCACTGACAGGGAAGCCAAGCGGTGGCCACATTGTACATTTAAAAAATAAAATAAATGCAAAACCAATTTGATGCAAGCGATTACAGACATCAGATTTTCTGTTTGATTTTCTTGAGGACGTTGATTTGCTCAATAGCAGCTTTGCGCTTTTTCTGGGGAGGAAATAAAAAAAAAAAATTTATTTAGTGGACAAGAAAATTTGGCAAATTTTCAATTCCTAAAATCATAACTATGTGATTTAAAAAAAAAATACTTTTTATGTTAAAGGAAGGGATAAGCTTAAGTTTTCTAAAGGATGGAATTGATAAACAAAAAATTCAACGAAACTGCCATTTATTCTGATGAGGCAGCTCGTCATGCTCTGTACATACAAGCTCTTATTTAGAATGACATTTTCATTTGTTTCGTAAATATATGCGTCGACAATTTTTTTTTATCTTTTCTGGAAGGGTAATGAGGGGAGAGACTGCAATCAGGTTAGCACAATATAAAATGAGTAAAACAAAGTAGGGTTAAACCTGAAAAAAGGGAACGCAACAAAACAACGAACGTGTTGGAATGAAGCCTTCGTCAGCGAACAAAACAACAGAAAAAACAGTATTAAAAAAATAGCTCCTTGCTTAGAGGTAGTATCCGTGGGCAGCAAATGAATTGTGATAGAAGGGTAAGTGAGTAAGAGATTAAATAGGGAAGAGGGAAAGAAAAGAAGAGAAGTAAGTCCACTGCGATAGGTCGGGACGTGGAGGGGCGGAGCTAGGTTCAAGCTGTGAAAAGAGACATGACGTTCATACCATGTGGCGTCAATGTGCCATAAGTCAGGATAAGCCTGTGTTCCAAATTCACACGGCTGAATGTGTTCGAGCTAGCTACGATCGCACTTATTGAAAAGTCCGTCTTGCCCTGGTGGTCGCTACTATTGAAGTGTTTATCTTGTGTAATGTTACGGGGCACTGTTTATCTTGTGTATGGTACGGGACACTGTTTATCTTGTGTAATGTTACGGGGCACTGTTTATCTTGTGTAATGTTACGGGGCACTGTTTATCTTGTGTAATTTTACGGGGCACTGTTTATCTTGTGTAATGTTACGGGGCACTGTTTATCTTGTGTAATGTTACGGGGCACTGTTTATCTTGTGTAATGTTACGGGGCACTGTTTATCTTGTGTAATGTTATCTTTTCTGGAGAAGGGTTCTGGCTTCCAGGAGAGGGCCTTCGACTGATTTTATTTTAAACTTATTACACAATCATGTTTGTGTGTGTGACTATTAAACTTTTAAATAGAATGCAGTGTGCCTACAGTCAAATCATAATTATTGTTCCTATTGTCAAACTTATTTTTAACACTGATTCTTCAATACCGGTACTTCTGTTAACTTTATCATTGGGGCCCCTGTAATTTGTTTTAAACACGTCATTCTTTAAAGAAGACGCCATGATTAAAGTTAATTTTTGCATGATAATTTTCATTCAGCTATGATGTAATCCATCCCAGAATTTGCAAAATCTTTATTTTTTAATGAAAATTATTCTAAACTTTTTATTTTCATCGTGTGTTTATTATTTTTTTCTTTCTATAATATTAAACTTTTATGCAACTCCTTCAATTTCTCTCTCTTTTTTTTTTGCCATCTTAAATAAAAGAATAAAGAATTTTTGACCCGGAAAATTGAAACAAGAAGAAATTGAATAATTTCACAGCAACTGTTCCAACCTAAAATTTGAACAATACCTAAAATTGACTTTGATCAGTATCGAGCGAGCATATCGAATTGTAATTGTTGCGCACCAAATGATGTGTCAAGGGCGCGCGGTGCGCCTTCGGGTCATAGTTCCGGTGATAACCGGTTGTTTTTTGGGGGGAGGTTTTGTTTTTTTTGTTTTGTTTTTTTTTTTTTTGGGGGGGGTGGGCTTATGACGCATTCGTGACGTGATTTTATGTATCTGTGACGTTGCGTCTGGACTGGCTTTGGAGTTCGAGCGCGTGCTATTCGTTCGGCGGTTAGTATTATACAAATTAAGCGTTGAACTGGTTGACGACATGGGTCCAAACAATACGTCAAGTAAAGCACACACGTTGTTGTTTCATTGGTGTGGTGACGGCAGGTCAATAGGAAACGGGTCGAGTGATAACTGAAAATACAGACAGGACCGTGTTCATGTTGAAGCACTATGAAATATACAAGTACAAGGGGGTAGTGGAAATCCTGGCAAAGCACAACACACAAGAGAGAGGACGTCCAAACAATGCGTCAAGTAAAGCACACGTTTTTGTCATTGGTGTGGTGACGGCAGGTCAATAGGAAACGGGTCGAGTGATAACTGAAAATACAGGCAAGGACCGTGTTCACGTTGAAGCACTATGAAATATACAAGTACAAGGGGGTAGTGGAAATCCTGGCGAAGCACAACACACAAGAGAGGACGTCTCTGCCAAAATGCCCGACACAGTAGTGAAACAGGAAGTGGCGCGTGAAATATAAAGAATTTGGGCATGGAACGTAAAATAAATAATAAATTAGAAATAAATAAATTGATCAAATAAAATAAGAGGGAAATTGAAGATTACTACCATAACTGAATATGTCTACCATTTCCTGTCAACTGCGTAACTTAACAACAGGCTAAGAGCGTGTGTCTCTTTCTTTGCTGTAGAAGGCTTTTTGGCCGCATGGTCCGCTTTTTTTATTTTGTATTATCCTTTTTCGGTTTTCCCTCTGCCCTTTCAATGTCACAAATTAATTGATACTAAGGTTCGGTTTTCCCTCTGCCCTTTCAATGTCACAGATTAATTGATACTAAGGTTCGGTTTTCCCTCTGCCCTTTCAATGTCACAGATTAATTGATACTAAGGCTTAACCGAGTGCGGTTGTTTTTTAACCGGATCCGGGTATTGTAAGAAAATATCCGATGGGTCCAAGTGTTACAAAATACGAGTTAACGTCTCATTTTAAAAAAAATATATATATGCCGGCTTTTAAACAAAAGTCCCACAGACAGTCCTACACACTACCTGCCGGGCTTTAAACAAAAGTCCCCCAGACAGTCCTACACACTACCTGCCGGCCTTTAAACAAAAGTCCCACAGACAGTCCTACACCCTACCAGCCGGGCTTTAAACAAAAGTCCCACAGACAGTCCTACATCCTACCTGCCGGGCTTTAAACAAAAGTCCCACAGACAGTCTTACACCCTACCAGCCGGGCTTTAAACAATAGGCCAACAGACAATCCTACCCCCTGCCTGCCGGCCTTTAAGCTTAAAAATAGGCACCCTATCCGCCGGCCTTGATGCAATCAATAGTCCTACAGAAAGTCCTACATCCTAAACGCCGGCCTTTAAACAATGGTCCTACAGAGGGTCCTACAGACAGTCCTACAGAGGGTCCTACAGACAGTCCTACAGACAGTCCTACATAGGGTCCTACAGAGGGTCCTACAGACAGTCCTACAGACGGTCCTACAGAGGTTCCTAGAGACGGTCCTACAGAGGTTCCTAGAGACGGTCCTACAGAGGGTCCTACAATGGTCCTACAGACGGTCCCACAGAGGGTCCTAGAGACAGTCCTACAGAGGGTCCTGCAGACGGTCCTACAGAAGGTCCTATAGAGGGTCCTACAGACAGTCCTACAGACGGTCCTACAGAGGGTCCCACAGATGGTCCTACAGAGGGTCCTACAGATGGTCCTACAGATGGTCCTACAGACAGTCCTACAGAGGGTCCTACAGACGGTCCTACAAAGAGTCTTACGCCATACACTTGGCTATTTTTTTATTAATATGATAGTCACCTCACCTTAAAGAAAAATCAACCTGAACGCGGAGTTCAGATGTTAGGCATGGAGGCTGGCTGCGCGAGGTTTTTTTTCACTCAGTAATATCAATATAAAACATGTGGCGTTGGGGGTGGGCCAGTTATGAAGATGAAGAAGGACACACCAGAGCAAAATATGTATAAGAATAAGAGATGGTTAAAGTTAGTGGGTGCTAAAGCTAAGGACAAAAGACAAGTCCTGCAATAAGATCAAAAAAGGCTACTTATACTGTGGTGAACGTTAGTCTTACGCCACACTTGGATAAATTCACTTTTAGTATTTCAGGAGTTCTCAAAGTTTTGGGGACATGCCTTTTTTCTTCAAATTAAATACGGTTATTTACTATTTGGTAATTATTTTTTTATGGTGTTGTAGATTTAATTCTGCGATTTAATCTGGAATAGAAGTTAAGGGGGGGGGGGGCAGATTTGTCTGTCTGTAGGACCCGGGTGCGATGGCGGTGCTGTGTGTCCAGGGCAATCTTGACTAAATGCTATTCGGATGTCATTTGTGGTAGTTTATTTTAGTTAAACTGAAGAATTAAGTTTACCAACATATAGTCTATTCAATTATTCTTCATTTGATACCTCATTTTGTTTTATAAACCCAACAAAAATATTTTAAATAGTTTTTTAATCCCAACCTCTCACTTCTGGTATCTGCGTGCAAATAGCCCCTTCGATAATTTATCTTCCTTGGGCTTTTCTTAATGGCAAAGCAAATTCTTTAATGAAATCTTCAATGTCAATAGCACAAGCTAACTCCCCTCTCGATAAAACGAGAAGCCAACGTTGCAACTGTGAACGTTTGTAAAACTTGTACCAAGTCTATCTGACTTTAGATAACCAAATTTAGAAAGCAATTGTTTGTTATAATTCTATGACATTTTTTTCTTCTAAGGGGTAGAACCCTTTATCCTGAATACTTTCCCATGGAGCTTAACAATGTCAATGAATACTTTCCCATGGAGCTTAACAATGTCAAAAATTGTCCCAGACAGTAACAGGCCATGTGAAATTATTCCATGACTTGACAAGACTCATCATGAATTTGACTAACAATCACATCTCAAAATCAATCAATAAACTTGATTACTAAAACAGCATGTATTTGTAAACAATAAATTACTATTGGTCTAATTGAATTTCAATACCCGGTGCAAATTTCAAAACTCGATATTCAAGGAGAGGGGATTAAGTCAGATGCCATTTCACTAAGAATATGTTTATGGATTTTTCTATTCAAAAAAAAAAAATTAATGAAAGCCTTCCTTTTTGTATCTGTACCAGATGGCTCATTCCTGATGGTTGTATCAGAAGGTTTATTGTAGTTTTATCATTTCCTCATAATAAAAAATGCTTGACTGTACTGTTAGCCAACTATTTGAAAATGACATACAATAACAAAAAAAACTTATTAGATACCAATTATGAAAGGAATGTCCCCAGGTATCTGCATTAACATATCATTCTGATGTGCACTGTTTTGATTCTCCCTATAATTACACTAACTTACTAAAGTGGAGTAAAAATCTATGGACCTGTGCATCAACATACCATTCTGATATGCAATGTTTTGATTCTTCCTATGGTTGCACTAATTTACAAAAGGGACACAGTGAAAGACAATCTATGGACCTGTGCATTAATATTTGAGGAAACAACTTTAATAAAAATTAATATCATAAGAAGCAGGCTGGGTGGTTCCATTCTCAACCATACATGGACATCAACCAATTCAATAAAGAATGGATTTTAATGCCATGGATTGATGTTAATGAAGTGGATGGATATGAATGAGATGAATGGATGTTAATGACATGGTTGGATGTTAATAACATGGATGGATGTTAATTACATGGATGGATGTTAATGAAGTGGATGGATAAGAATGAGATGAATGGATGTTAATGACATGGTTGGATGCTAATAACATGGATGGATGTTAATGCTATGGATGGATGTTAATGAAGTGGATGGATAAAAATGAGATGAATGGATGTTAATGACATGGTTGGATGTTAATGACATGGATGAATGTTAATGACATGGATGGATGTTAATGACATGAATACTTACACTTGGCGTTGACCCGGTCCCGACCACATCAATGGTATCAACTAGCAACTTCCTCTTGGACGGAGAGCCTGGGATGCCATCTTGACTGTTGCTGCCTGCAGCATCCTCGATGGTGGGACTTTGAACGTCTGGGACTTTTGTCGGTGTTGTCATCAAATAGCTGGACAGACTGCCGCCACCATTCTGAAACGAGCAGACTGCAACGTTTGAGAGAGCACCACCACCATTCTGCTATACGAAAACTTTCAATGCTGTTTAATTCCAGGGGTGAACTTCATTCCTTGATTGCACGGTTGCAATTTAAGCAGTCCAATAATTGCAGAGGAGTAAGCTGTAGTTACTTATAAAAATTAAAGCGGGACAGGTTTGGATCCTCATTTTGCAATCAGGGATATCAATAATTTTGAACAATAATACCAAGATTTTAGTAATAATAAGAAATTTAGAAGGTCACATGGTTCAGATATGATCAAAAAAGCAGAAAAGCCGGTTTATGATTTACTTTTACATACCGGTATTAGGAATAAACGACGAGAAAATCAACTGCACACTTTTTTTTTTTAATTACGCCGCACAAGGAAGACTATCTTATCTGACATGCCTGTAAGATGCTGGCCACTGCTTCATTCATCTCCTCGCTGCAACTCTTCCTTAAATTGAAGTTGACATCTTTACAGGAGGACATGCATTTTAGCCCTATTTTGTCGCTCCTTTCAGCTTGCGCACAATTTAGAAAAGAATCATGACACCTTTTCTTTCTCCGCCCCAATTTTTTTTATAAGACATCTTTTAGCTCCTCAAAAATCGTGTTTTTTTCTCTCATAAATTTTCAACAAGATACAGTTTTCAGGATACAAAGCACTCCCAGATTTTATATCTAATTTTCCACACAGCAGTGGCTCAAAACCTACCTTGTTGGCTATGAGTTGATCGTGCCGATGTTTAAGAGTCTGGAGCTCATATTCACATGTGGACATTGCCAGCTTGAGCTCATACAGCAAGACGATGTCCTGGCGAAGGGTGTTGAAACTGTTGACTATATCTTCGGTTGGCATGGGATTGAATTCTGTGATGTTACAAAAAGATATGAATTTGATTTATTTTTAAAATGGTTCATCTTACAAGGGAGACTAAAACAAATAACATTGAATTGCTAAACCTGAATTCGATTTAGCTCATACAGAAAATTCTAACTTCCATTTGTGTACAAAATTTCTACATAACCCGGAAAAGGACAGGCTCTATTAAATTACAAAGTGAAAAAAAAGAATTACTGATATGATCCCATGTAACCAAAAAAAAAAAAAAAACATGGTCTCCATCAATGGTTCTCAAAGAGGGTGGACTGGACAGGCTCTATTAAATTACAAAGTGATAATAAAGAATTACTGATATGATCCCATGTAACCAAAAAAAAAAAAAAAAACATGGTCTCCATCAATGGTTCTCAAAGAGGGTGGAACAGCCCCGAGTGGGCAGTGGGTTATCCCAAGAGGCGGTAAATTGCCCAGTAGATTTAGGGGGGTGCTTGAACTATCTAAAGGGGCGATGGTGGATTAGACCAGAAGACCCATTTTTAAATGAAAATTATATTAAAAATTTTTTTGGGATTATTTAAAAATTACTTATCATTGTCGAATGGCATAGAAAAAAGGTCATTAAATAGATATCAGTCAAATATTACAAGGAACTTTTCAAAAAGAAATATTTAATTAGTAAGGCCAAGTCACATGCAGTACAAAAGAATTAAATTCACTTTAAAGGAGCCACAAAAAATATTTGTCTACACATTCAGTTGTTTCAGAAATTAAATCATAATATTTATTTGTTCTGCTGGTACCTCAGGCAAATAATTGTAAAGTCTTCTCAAGCAAATTGATTAAAAATTGCAATTGCTAGGAAATTTAATAAAATATAGATGTGCATGTGTTTTTTGGTTCCTTTTGTTCTTGTGTGTTACAAATTCATACTTGTTTTCATATTACCAAAAAAAAAAAATAATTGTGTTGCAAAAGTCATGAATTTTAGTTCGGATTTGCCTATCTGTGCATTCAGTGCCTTTTTTGCTTGTCTAAGAACTTTTCTCATCTTAAGAGACGAATCATGGGACCATTTCCTGTATATTTATTTGTGTTATTATTTGATGTATTAAATTAGCTTATTCATGACTTTGTATGCCCAATAATAGCAATTAAGGCAGTTTTGTGGATCTTCTGACACAACTAGTATTATGATTGGAAACCAAACCACCACTACTGCTTCAATATCTTGTAAACGTTTGTCATATTTTCGGACCTTCTTTAATTGAAATTTTATATAGGTTGATAAATCTGCGTTAAGCTCTCGGTGATATAGGTTGTTTTGATAAATATCTAATTCAAAGCTGACACCAAGGTTTAGGAAATCACACTTGGATTTTTGAATTAGGAAATAAATTTTAAAAATTTCATGTCATTAATTATGATTAATACACACTGTGGAAATAGGTCAAGAAACTATGTCTAAGTTTTGATTCAAGAGTGTTGTAACAGCCCACCCAAAGCGTAAAGTAATCATATTTGAGCGATGTGTGATTTACTTACTATTACTAAGTGCATTATCGTAATCTTACTTTAAATAATTGTGCTTATTATAAGAATCGTTAATCAATTTATTGCTGAATTAATTTAAGTAAAAAGCTGTTAAAAATTTTAATAAAAGTTCAATTGCTTGTAAAATTTTACATTTTTGTGTGTATTTTATATACCTTACAGAGTTGTGATAACTATTTTCTTTGAATAATATTTTTTTTAATACAACAGGGGGGCTGCTAGGAGTGGGTTTATGGTGCCAGAAAAAGTCTGACCCGTAACCAAGACAGCAGAATCTGAGTCATGAAATCCGTATTTTATCACATTTTTTTTAGATTTCTTTTTAGTTTGTGCTTATCAGCAATGGTTTTCAAATCCTAATATGATATCTCAGTAACAAAGTACACTTGTATATAAAAATATTCAAAGGAGATTATAAAAAAAAACAACTTCAAAATAAGATGACTGACCGAGGCCAAGCTCTTCAAGAACCTGCTCTATGGCTTTTGTTTTCTTTTGACCGATAGTTGCAGGCAGTTTCATCTGTGGATTTTTTAAAAAGTAAAAATCATGTCAATTTTAATTTAAGGTAGCCAATGCATAAATGAAACTACATAATACAGAAGAGTAGAAAACTTAATAACAAACATTGTCAACACATTTCTGCAAGGAATCTACTTAGCAACAAAAAGAAAAAGGATTGGAAAATTTGTTAAAACGACACAGGTAACCTTGTGTTGCAATGTGCATGGATAGTGTGTGGGCAGCGTTGATAGTTTTTTAAAAAGTAGTTTCTCATTAAACTTCTGCTTCACCTTTCTATTCAGTAAACTTCTTTTGACCCTCAAGGATTCGATTACTAATACAGGACTCACCAGTGTCCATAATATGCATGCTAAAGGGTGTGAATGGAGCAAAAGAAATTATTTTATGTTACAGGAACAAGTAGGTTTGCAATTTTATAAAACTCACCCTCTGACTGCGTAAACTTGTCCCAGAAGCCTTGAAATCTGAGAATTTGATTCCTCCCGGTTCTGCTGTCATCTATTGAATAAAATATCATTTATAATTTTATGTTGCTAAAATACTATTTTCTTTCGTAGTCTTCAGTAAAGCTACCCCCACCCCCTTTATTGCATGTATACTATGTGCCTTTTGATGTTCATTGTCACATACAAACCAGAACAATTTTTAAAGAAATTCCTTAATATAAAGCAAATTTTTAACAAATTTTAGGCATAATTGGTTAGGCTTCTTACACACATTGCAACTTCACCATCTTTTTAAAAAAAAATGTTTCTCAAAGCAATCACTCATTTATCTAAACAAAGCAGTATTTTATTATTTCTTAATGTAATAAATTTAAACCATCTAACCCCCTGCTCTTAATGTACTAAATTTAAACCATCTAGACCACTGCCCTAAATGTACTAAATTTAAACCATCTAGACCGCTGCCCTAAATGTACTAAATTTAAACCATCTAGACCACTGCCCTAAATGTACTAAATTTAAACCATCTAGACCACTGCCCTAAATGTACTAAATTTAAACCATCTAGACCACTGCCCTAAATGTACTAAATTTAAACCATCTAGACCGCTGCCCTAAATGTACTAAATTTAAACCATCTAGACCGCTGCCCTAAATGTACTAAATTTAAACCATCTAGACCACTGCCCTAAATGTACTAAATTTAAACCATCTAGACCACTGCCCTTAATGTACTAAATTCAAACCATCTAAACGACTGCTCTTGATGTACTAAATTCAAACTTTTAGACCACTGCCCTAAATGTACTAAATTCAAACCATCTAGACCACTGCCCTTAATGTACTAAATTCAAACCATCTAAACGACTGCTCTTGATGTACTAAATTCAAACTTTTAGACCACTGCCCTAAATGTACTAAATTCAAACCATCTAGACCACTGCCCTTAATGTACTAAATTCAAACCATCTAAACGACTGCTCTTGATGTACTAAATTCAAACTTTTAGACCACTGCCCTAAATGTACTAAATTCAAACCATCTAGACCACTGCCCTTAATGTACTAAATTCAAACCATCTAAACGACTGCTCTTGATGTACTAAATTCAAACTTTTAGACCACTGCCCTAAATGTACTAAATTCAAACCATCTAGACCACTGCCCTAAATGTACTAAATTCAAACCATCTAGACCACTGCCCTTAATGTACTAAATTCAAACCATCTAGACCACTGCCCTTGATGTACTAAATTCAAACCATCAAGACCACTGCTCACCAGCCCACCGCCCTCCTTAGGTTCCCTTGCTTGTAATTTCTTTTTGGTATTTTTGCGCTCAGCCTTCCTGTTGTCTGCGTTGCTGTCAGCTGCAGTGATCAACTTCTGGAGGTCCTGCTGTTTCTTCTCTCTCTCTTTCTTCCTCAGTTCTATCTTCTTCAGTTCACCTATCAGGTATTCTTCTTCTTCCACCTATGGCAAGAACACAACAAACAACACATTAATAAATGCCACATGAATTTTGTGCATGCCTTTCTATTTCTTATTCAAAACAAACTTTTAACAAAAATAATTTAAATTTAGGAATAAAACTAACACATAAAATACAGTTTCTTGTCAAACAATTTGAAGCTCACAGATAATTAAAAAAAAAACAATGATGCCACCATCTGGGATCTAGGCTTGCTAACAATGCTATTGCTTGATTCTTGTCATCTACTTGACAAACTATACAATGCTAACTTTGGGCTTTGCAAAAAAAAAGTTAAAGAATACTACAATCTGGAGTCCAGCCAAATTTAGAATTTGTCCAGGCCTCCCCTTTCTTTTCAGCTTCCTGCTGTGGTAAATTACCTGTTCCTGGGTTCTGTCAAAAAGTTTGATCAACTGAAATTTTCTGCGCCTTTCGTGTTCAGCATCGAATGCTTTGACTTTAGGCTCTGAACCTCCTGGAGCACGCACCTATAATATGAAGTACAATATATTATTATATCAGTTCATCTGTAAGTCTCTCTTAAAATAGAAATTGGAGTGAGTAAAAATTTACTTTATTAAACACATCGGAGAGAAAATTCTCTAGAAAATATATGGCCCAACAATGGATGAATATAGATGGAGAATACAAATCAAAAAGGAAATGTATAGTCTATATAGTTCAGAATCTTACGCTAGTCGCAGAAATAAAAAAAGGACAGGCTACGCTGAGTGATACATTGAGAAAAATGCCAAAAGACGGAGGAGTGAAGAGGGTGCACCACCTAAACCCCAGAGGAAAACTGCTCAAAGGCAGACATAGGCTTAGATGGATGGATGATGAGGGAAAAAGATCTACAGAAGCTGAGAATCCAAGCATGGAAAAGAAGGATGCCAAAATGATAAATAAATTGATCATGGGCCCTTAATATATAGAAGAAGAAGAAGAAGAAAACCATCAGTCAGATCTGAGTGGAAGGAAACGGTGAGGCAGGCCACAGCCCTACCTGGGATGGATGAAATATTTGACTACTCAACTGTCATAAAATCAAGTTTTTCAGATACTAGAAGCAATATTCTTTCATAAAATGTCAAGTTATAGAAAATTACATTGAAAATTGGTGAATTTCTTCATTCTTCATTAAATTTTTATCATTCAAAATACAATGGGGGAAACACAAAATTAGTTCAAAAATTCCCTTTCAATTGAAGTTATTCAATTTTTATTAATATTCAAGAACAGACACATAATTGTCTTTGAATCTCTTTAGGATAGGTATTTTGGATCCAATCTTTGTCTGTTATCTTCTATTTCCACCTTTTCCCAAACTAATTTTTCTGTAACAATATGACTAAGCTTAGGAGTAAAATTGTTAATATCTGACTCTTCTGTCACTATCACTCTGACCCTGAGAGCTAATACTGTCATTACTAGCAGGTGACACTTCTATTGCTGCCCACAGATACTACTTACCAGCTAAGTGCTATTTCTTATTTTTATTTTTTATACCGTTTTTTCTGTTGTTTTGTTCGTTGACGAAGGCTTTCTGCCGACACGTTCGCTGTTTTGTTGCGTTTATTTTTTCAGGTTTAACCCTACTCTGTTCTACTCATTTTATTTTGTACTAGCCTGATTGCAGTCTCTCCCCATATTACCCCTAAATAAAGTCTGTTTTGATTTTGCCAACCAGAGAGGGACCAACAACAGACATAATGGCAGTAAGAGCATTGAGCAATTTTCACACCCGATTAATCACAAAACAAGCCCTGATAAAATCATGTTAACACATAGAAACAGAAATAGGAAGCAAACTCATTTGTAGAGTATATAGCCAATATACATTAAATCATTAGCATTTTTAATGAGGATTTTGCTAGAGACCCATTATCTTGTTTGTGACACACTGATAGGGATATAACGACCAATGATCAGCTTTCATGACAGTTATGGGGTTAGGAATTTCCCTCTTTTTAAAAGGTAAATTTTTATTACATAAAAAATACATTTGATAGAAATATACATGGGTGCAAAGTTACTGTACATTTTTTTGGAGGGTTGAAGAAAAGCACCTTTAATTTTGATGGATAGTTTTGAAAATTTAAAAAAAGTTAATTTTTTTAAATCTAAATTAATATCTTTCTTTAAATTTACCTTTGCCAGAGTATTACAAATATTATAATATCTTTCTTTGAGATCCTCAACACTGTGCTCCTTGTATTTTTCCCTGTCCCAGCGATCATGAACGACAATAAATCGCACATCAAACCGCTTGCACAGATCAAACAAGTGATCAGTTTCCTGTCGCGACCAGTTATCATCATGCAGATGTTGCTGGTACTCGAGATCAGAATACACTGGCATATCAACAGTCTAGGGAACAAATATATTCATGACAATGGCAGCACTGTCGAAAATGAATTCGAGATAATATAATTGTAAACTGTCAGAATATAAAGAATAAATAATGATGATATTTTTCAGAATACTTTTATAAGCTAATGTGACTTCAGTCCTCTAGTTCCTCATAAAGCAAGACATTAGGTATAGTCAGAATATATATATTTAAGAATATATATTGCTATTGATTACCTTGTTAAATCTTGCAAAAGGGTAGTCTTTTCCTTCATCTGCGACTCGTCCCCAGTGATAAAAGACAGCCCCATCCTGGAATAGTAAAAATATAATTTTGTTTATCTTTTTGTTATTGTACGCCACAAAATAATAAAAAAAGTATCAAAATATTGCCTCAATCTCTAAAAAAAAAAAAGAAAAATTTTTTCCATTATATGACCCTTAAAAATCACTGGAGGTCTGGAAATCGTATTCTTAAAAGCCAAAAAAAAATATTGCAATGATTATGGGATGAAAAATAATAATGTGTCAAAATAATGGAAACTTCTGCTGTTCTCAAAGATTTGATCCCTTCCAAGAACATGATTGCTTAACAAACTATAATGCATGATTTGACTAAAGCTAGCAGGATACCTTTCTAGCAGCATTAGTAAATGGCATCCACTTCCAAGGCCTGACTCGACTGCTTCCTATTCTTGCTTTCATCTGTTTGTAACCTTGTTTTGAGTCTGAAGGAATAATTGGGGCTGCATCTCTAATGATAAGGATTACAGTAATAATCATTAAAATACGAGAGATAACATGTTATTAGTCATTAGGCTTTTGAAAATAAATAATTCTCTTTTTTTTGTTAAATGGTTAAACTAGGGTTACACAGATGAGAAAATAGTGGATTTTGCTACATAGGAAAATGCTGATAATACACTGCCAACAATATTTATTATGAAATTAAGGTGATTTCAAACAATAGATAATAATCCTATAAAAGGATATAAGTACAAATCAAATGTTCAAATAAATTTCTCTCTTACGTTTGATATCTACTGTCTGTGTGTAGCAAACCCCATAACTCTCTGTGCATACCCTCAGGTCGCTTTATACCTGCATCTAGTTTGCGAACTTTCTTCTGGAAAAATTTATAATATATAAGAAAACAAATATTCATAATTGAAATTCCTGCTAATTCTGTTAATTTTAAAAAACATTATACAAATTAAAAGATGTTGTTTTATTTTTTAAAATTATAAAATGATAAAACTTAATAAACTATTTTATAATTTCAAAAGCTTTTTGAAACTGTGTTGATTACAATACCTTTTTGCCTTCTGTCATGAGAGATTCTTTGGTAACAAAATCATTTTGAGTTTGACCAGTGTCAAGTTCTAAGATGTCTCGTACATCCATATTGGCAGCCATTTGAAAAAGTTAGTAGGTTACTGTAATAAATTGATATATTGAATATTGTTATCAGTGGCATAGGAAAAATGGGGGAGAGGGGCTGAAGCATTTTCGGCCCATTGTAACAAAAAGAAAGTAAGAAAGGGCTTAAAAGATGCATCGAATAATCTTATTTTACCATCAATCAATACACACTTTACGATTTAAGAGACACTGGAACTCAAAAAATTGGCTGAAATCTATACAAAGTCAAAGTGTATTTATTAAAATTTGGCTTTAATATTCTCATCCAGTTATATAGAAATATTATGTAAGACTAACATTAGTTAGTAGCACTATTATTTCAGAAAAGCTTTAAAACTTTCAATTTAAATCAATCGGTAACTTATTCAAAAAATATACAAATTACGATTGATTGAAATTGAAGGAAGTGAAGGCATTCTTTTCTACTAGTGTAATTGCAATCAAGTATAATTACCGTTACTGTTATATTTCTCTATTAAAAAAAACAAATTGTATTTGCAAATAATCAATCACATAAAGAAATCAACTTGAAAACTGTGTATTTACACTCGTATTACAATTTCTTTAATTATTTAACTTAACCATTGCAAAACTACTCACTCTTTAATTAAAGTCTTTCGAAATTCCTTAATTTCGTTCTGACTTTTTAATTGCTTAATACATTTAAAAAGATGAAAATAAATAATTTTTCTGAAATTTTATAATTTAATCTTCTTATGAAAGTCATTTATAAATAATTAAAAGTTTTCCTATTATAAATTTTATAATAAAAAATTAATTATTGGGAGAAAAATATTTTTAAAAAATATTAATATATATTTAATATTAAATGAATTTTTGTATTTTGTTTTTTGAAAAAGTTACAGTTTAAAAAATGATATTATTTAGGTTGGGGAGATTAAAGCTATTTTTTTCTCGCTGAAGACTTATATTAAGCTATATCTAACAACAATAACGCTAACACTACTAACAGAACAGAGCTACAAAACCGGCTAGCTGCTGGCCTTTTATCTTTCATATTAAATATGAATCGAAATGATTTTAAAAAGAAACAAGGCCAAGGAGCTGGAACTGGAAGTGCTGTTCCTCGCTTTTGGAAACCAGGTAACTAACAGGGTAGCCTAAACTTAGACTAAAAATAAGAAGTAAGAGTTAGTTTAGAAGTCGTGGGCCTCCTGGTCCTAGCTAGCCCCACTAGTCGTGACTAGACCTAGTCCTCGTCACCTGGTATTATTTGGTATATGGTTACATAGTAATTATTATATAGTATAGTATTAGTTAGACCAGTTAGTAAGTAGTGTTAGAGCACATCTATTCTAAAGTTAGTAAATACACAATCACAAGCATACCAGTGGTCCAGTAGAGTATATGATTAATTTTTAATAGGCCTAGGTAGGTAATGTGTATGTTTTGTTTTGGATACTGTATGTCATTTTTTATTTTAGACTGCTCTTGCTACTCTACAGACTACTTGGGGTTGTCTATAATCCACAATCTCTCCTTCATAAACTTTGTATTTGCCAACTACGTCCAAATGTGCCTCATTGTTGATGGAAGGAACTCCTCAGAGTTCTTCAATAATAAATAGCAAAATAAAATGTTCCCTTGTTTCTTAAAGAACCCTAGAAATAACATCTATTCATAATCATGAATCAGTAGGCCTAGTAATAGTAGGGGAATGGAGCATAAATTAAAGTTTTTGTAGAGTATTGTTTCTGTATTCTAAAATTCCAATTTAACATTTAGGTATATTTATGAAGATATTTAAAGATTACAGAATATTCAAACACTCTTAATGATTGTTATCAAGAGCAAACTTTTTTCCTGGTGAAGATACAAATGATGACAAAATTTATTTTTTCCATCTGGTGATCAGGGAGATGTTGACATGTCATGTAAAAAGGGGTAACATGCAAGGGTAAATTGCCTACTTCAAAGTTATTCCCAATCCAATTTAGATGGTAAAGAGCATTTTTTTGGTTCCAAAAATGTTAATTTTGCTTTAAAAAATATTAAGAACATTTATAGCTTGCTAAATATTCAAAGTGACACCGCAAAAAAACTTGGGTGACCCTTATTGGGTAAATTGTATGACAAATATTTTACATAATTGATGACAAAATTAATGCATTACTAGAAAACTGTGACTTAAAACACAAAAATCCGAGGTCATCATAGAACTTGCTGTAATGGCTGCAACTGTCCTGCCCTGAGTGACCCTAATGACATGGCCTTCAATAACCCAACCTACCTCCAAGAGGTACTAAAGGAGATTGTAAATGGCCAGAAAAGTTTCTCCGTCACATTTCAATGTGTGTGCTAATGAGTTTTAAAAGCCCCATCTAAAGATATTTTAAATTTATGCTTCCAATCCCGTCTCATTCCAAGTTTTGATCTTAGAGTCAGAGAAAAATAATAATTTTAGCATCCTATAGGTTTTGAATTCATAGGGCCTCAATGGTGAGGACTAGGTAAAGCATGCAAATGTAAGTATTAAAATGTAACTAGAAATGCTATAGGGCCAAAATTGCCTATTTGTATATCATTCATTTTTTACTAAATTGTAAAGGTACTGCTGGCCCTGGACTTACCAACATAGCAGAAGAAAGAACAACAAACACAGATACCAGCGACATATCTGCTCCGTCAATTGTTTATAACCCAAACAAAAACCTCTCAATTGAACAGCAAAGGCAGAAATTGCCGGTATTTCAGGTGAATGGAAAGGAGAATTGTTTTTTTCCTGTCTCAATAAAATAGAAATTTCTATTAACAAAATAAAGTCTTAAAGATTTAGATGGACTATAGAATAGCAATTGCAAAGGATTTGCTCTCATGAATTTTTTTAAAATGTTTAAGATAATCAAGAATAGAAAGCAAATTATAACATTTTAAAGTTCAAAAGGAAAGTATTCCTTCATGTATTTTGATATTAACTTACTTCAAATGGTATTGATATCATTTAAAATCGGTTGTCATTTAAGGGCATGTGAAAATGTTAAGTTAACTGTTGATTCTTTTTTTTTTTTTTCCACAGTATCGCAACCACATTTTGTATTTAACTGAAAGATACCAGACCGTTGTTGTCATTGGTGAAACAGGATGTGGAAAAAGTACCCAGATACCCCAGGTGCCCTAGAATTTCTTCATCACATAAAAACTTTTAACTTTAAATTAAATGTATATATTTTTCTAGCTTTGAACTTAGTGTAGCAACTGTTGACAGAGTTATCTAATGTTGCTATTTTCTCCCCATTTTGTTGTAACATTGATTAATATTAATTAAGGCTGAGGCTACCATGGCTCAAAGCTACATCTTGTCACTAGGGATAAGTGCTGGGGCCACATAGTTCTAAGGAAATCTTCATTAAGAACCCATTTGTTGTTCACTAGTCTGCCTAAATCCCTCATAAAGGGCAACAGCAACGGTTCTCAACCTGTGGGTCACAACCCTTTTCTCGGGGTTGCCTAAGACCATCGGGAAAACAAATATACTGTTCAGTTATGAAGTAGCAACGAAAATAATTTTGTGGTTGGGGGTTGTCCCAACATGAGAACTGTATTAAAGGGTCGTGGCTTCAGGATGTTAAGAACCACTGGGCTACAGCTTTTCCTTCAAGGCTGGGGGTTTAAAACCAACACTTTTAGGTAATTCAGATAACAGTGGGTGCCTTCACGGAGGACCGTTTCAAACCCTCATCATGGGAAATGTAGGAATTTCTGTGTGGTGAGAGCTGTGGGGAGGCTAATATGAGGATGGCAACCTCTTTTGATCATTTGCCTTAAGCAAGTAGATTTGATCATGATCTGAAATATTCTCTCTATTATTTTTTTTTTTATTTTTTTTTTTTTATAAAGTACCTCTTGGAGGCAGGCTGGGCTACTGAAGGCCATGTCATAGGGGTCACTCAGCCCAGGAGAGTTGCAGCCATCACAGTAAGTTCTAACTAAATGTGCTGAGAGTTTTAATAAACGTGTTGAACTTTTATTTTAATACCAACACTTGAATGTTTGTTCTTGTGTGCATGTAAGTGAAGGTCTTACTTATTTATCACACTCATGAAGCCCTATTATTTTAAGGCTATGGATTTTACTGACAGCCATTAACATCTGAGTCTCATCCTGTGCCCCCCCCCCCCCATTGGACATTAAATTTAATTTTTTGAATTTCCTCATCAAAAAATGTTCTTTTAGGTTGCCACTCGTGTTGCTGAAGAAAGAGGAAGCATTCTAGGAGATGAAATTGGCTACTTGATAAGGTTCGATGATTGCTGTGATCTAGACAAGACAAGAGTAAAAGTCAGTATTTTCATGACATTAGTTGTATGTTATAAGTTTGGGATGCGAAAATTATACTAAATCCAATCTGGTATTTTAAATCCATTGTGGTATTTTAAATGATATTTTGTTCCACAGTTTATGACAGATGGTATGATGATTAGAGAAATAATGAAAGATCCACTTCTGAGGAAGTACAGGTTAGTGAAGTTCTTAGCCTTAAGATAAGATAAGATTCTTTTATTGATCCAAATAAATTGAAATGTTTTTTGATTGCATTGTACATTTTCAGCACAAAAATAAAACAATTTGAACACAAGACATTTATAATAAATTATTTCAAACAGCCATTCACTGAGTTCTCTTAGCAAAATCGGGGACTTATTAGTTCTCATTCAGATGTGTGACTTCAAAGGAAGCACGTTGGTAAATTCGTACAGATTGAGGAACAAATGAATTTTTATATCGGTCAGTCCTCGCCCTGATGGAAAGAATTCGTCCCGAACGGTCCGATCCTAAGTATCTGTGATGAAGAGAGTGGGATGTATCATCCAAAATGTGTTTAGTTTTTCAAAAACATCTTTCTTCAAATAGTTCTCTTCTTCTTCAAGTGAAGGATGTTTAAATTGTGGAGTGTGTCTTAGGTACCTATTTAGTTTTGATGTTTGGACAATTAATATTATAGAATTAACCTGACAAAGTTTGATGGAAAAAAAAAGAGGTTTTCCATATTGATTTTGCAATCAGATGGTTGAACGAATTGGAACATTTAAGAATTATAATTCCTCTTAACTTTGTCTTAAGAACAATAATCTACTTTAATGTAATCAATCATAGTTTTTTAAGGGTTGCAATGATTTGTGCTTTCACCTTACTTATTTATGAGGGACATAAGGTGTAATATGGGAATCTCACTGAACCTCTTGTAAATTGCATACAAATAATTCACTTTTTTTTTTCATAATTAATGTTTAAGTTATTTGAGCTGTTCTCTTACTTCTATGTATTCACAGTATAATTCTTCTTGATGAGGCGCATGAAAGAGCCCTCAACACTGATATCATCTTGGGTCTTTTAAGAAAGGTTAGTTCAGTTGTGATTTTTTTCTTGCTAACTACTGTAAGCAATTTTTTTTTAGAATTGCATTAATTCATTTTTTGGTTCAGACCGTTTTTGTCTGTTTCATTTTATGGTTGATTTAAAGGTCTTCAAGAAAATTAGCCACCGTAATTATATTATTAAATTGTCAGATATAAAAAAGGGTATTATAAAAAGTAGGTACGAGATTGACTTATTATAATCGCAATCAAATTTCGTTTTGTTTCTATCTACTATTACTATTCATTTACACATTTATAGCCAGCATAATTTTGGCTGACAGGAAAGCCCACTGTGTTTATGTAATACAATTATTCTGGTTTCAGATTCAAAAGAAACAAAAAGATCTCAGACTGATTGTAGCTTCTGCAACATTAGATGCTGAGGTATTTATCTATACATTTTAAAAAATATTTGTTTAAAAACACAGCTGTGCAAGAAATCTTTTAACAACAATGTTTTATTTAAGTTCATTATAAATGAACACTAAGATTTTCTTATTATAGAGTAGCTGATGTTTTGTTTCTTTATTATTAATTTCATTTTTGAGTAAACTGAAATTACCAAAAGTCTCTTCATATGTGTGGACAATTTCATTTAATATTTTAATGATGTTCAGGAAATGAGGGATTTCTTCAATACAAATGAAACAGGTGACCCTGAGTGAGTTATTAAATAGAAACTATATTGATATGATTTTACTTCAAATTTTTACTACAGATTATGGCAAACATTATATCTGACCATTATCACTGTCTTATATTAATCCAGTTTGGTTTCAATTCATTGTGTACAAAATTTAACATTAATATAGTCAAATATTATTTCAATTACCTTAAAGTGTCATGAAGGCGCTTTAATCCATTTGGCATGGCTGTAATGTGATGTAGACTTTACACAAATGATGCTGAATGACATTTGATTTTCTGATTCATCCTTAATTCCTTTTTATGATTCAGAAAGGACACAGCTGCCATATTGACAATTGAAGGTCGGGAATATCCAGTGGACATTCATTACACACTTGAGTAATTAGTTGTTTTTTTTTTAAATTCTAATTTAATTCTTTTTTGTGTATATACACAGTCTTAATAATAATGCTCACTGCACCATAACATTTCAAATTTTTGAGAATTTTGTTGTTGGCTGATGTTGAATTGTCAGATATAGTTTAAACAATAAGTTGATGGAGTCTATATTCTTTAATCATTTACAAAAATTGTTTGATATTGAGAACTTCTAAAAACTCAAAGCATAATAAAAGAAGGACTGGGTTCAAACTGTGTGAAGGAAATAGTACAAGTTATGTGGAAGCTTGAAATGTGAAGACAGGATAATAAAAGAAGAACGTTACAGCCAAGAGGCTTCCTCAGCAGACAGTACAAATGAAGAAACAACAAGAAATGGAAAGTATTTGAAAAACTTAAGTGTTCGCCATTAATGTTTTTGCCGGAAATTGGGATTTCCAAAACCAAGATTAAGAGAAGTAAAAGAATTTATGTATCATTACTGTGGAAAATAAGATTTAACATGCAATTATATTTTGGAAATAATAATAATAATAATAATAAGACGTCTTATATAGCGCGGTACCCCAGCCTGGCTCACCGCGCTGTAAATAAAAAATTTTTTTTTTCAAAAGAGACATAATCATGACATTAAAATAAAAATACATTTATGAAATAAAGAACAGCAATCTATATTCACCCGCCCCACCACTTAAAGTATAATAAATAGGAAAAGAAATGCAGTGAAATAGATGATCATGTTAACTCTATAATATCTAATACTCAGATGTCAGTTTTGTTTCGTGGAATAGTTGGGTTGTTTTGTAAAAATAGAAATAACAGGAAGTGGGGGAATGATAGAGAGAGAGTTAACAGTCAAGATGACAGCAGCTGGGTATATTTTCAATATAGCTCTTGCTACGATAATCTACTAAATATAGTTATTTTTACAGCATCTTAATGTTGTACATGGAAAAGAGGAAATACATGAAGAATTACATTTTGACTCTGATTGACAGAGATACTATTTTATTGTGAGTTCATTGTGATTCAATAAAAGTCGTGATGCTAATCGAATGAGTCCTGAAATGATTTTGTGGCAGTTATGAAAACTCGGCGATATTAATATGATGACGTTACAAAAGGATCGGTGTTACAATAAATAAACGTGTGTTACAATGTCCAAACATTAAAACTAAATATCAGTCAAAGCAGTCAAATATCAACACAATTTCTGTAAATGTGATTTTTACACTGGTATGCATTTATACAGTGAAATTGAGGATCATGCTAATACTATAATATTAATGTCCAAATATCAAAACTAAATACCGGTACCAGTCAAAGCGGGATCCCATCAACACAAATTGCTGCTAATGTGATTTTTACATTGGTACGCATTTATCATTTAGTAACTTAATTAATTACTAACGGAAAAACATATGGGAGAACACACTGGCCAAATGACAGAGACACGTGAGAGAACCTTCAAACCAGTCGGTCTTCTTTCCAACTTAGCTTGATTGCCATGTTTACTACATACATGTGTGCTATCCACCTATTAAGTAAAACCACTTCACACATGTGGAGAAATTGAATCCTGCCCGCGACATGCCAAAATGATTGACCAAATAATTTTTTCCCTCTCCTAATGATGGTAGTATTGTCATGCAAGGTTTTTTTAAAGATGGTCAATAAATTGATCATGGGCCCTCAATATATTAGAAGAATTTTTTACAGTGGAGTGAAGACGTGTTTTAGTTTAATAGAATTGCACTCGCCCTACTTTGACGGCTTATGGACATCGAAGGTTAATTTCAAACCTGTTTATTTTCAGCCCCGTCCCAAACTATGTAAAGTCAGCCGTGGAAACTGTCATGAAGATACACTTCAACGAGAAGCCAGGAGATGTCGTCATATTTTTAACTGGAATGGTAAATAAATTGTGTCTTCTCATGTTAACACTTCCTCCTTGTGTATTCATTAGTAGACACAAATCCACGCTCATTGTTGAATGGCTTACCTGTGGTCCATTTTGGCTTACCTGTGTTCCATTTTTGGCTCACCTGTGTTCCATTTTTGGCTCACCTGTGTTCCATTTTTGGCTCACCTGTGTTCCATTTTTGGCTCACCTGTGTTCCATTTTTGGCTCACCTGTGTTCCATTTTTGGCTCACCTGTGTTCCATTTTTGGCTCTCCTGTGTTCCATTTTTGGCTCACCCGTGTTCCATTTTTGGCTCACCTGTGTTCCATTTTTGGCTTACCTGTGTTCCATTTTAAAAAAAGGAAAAGTTAGGAAGATTTCATTGGAAGCATGATCCATTAGAAGAAAGCTGTAAATGCCGTTGCTTGTGTACATAAATAAAATGTTGCTTTTATCCCTGCATATTTTAGGTAAGGAAAAGCCAGAATGTTTTTTGGGGTGTTTTGTTTTCTTCCTTTTTTTATAGTACAAAATAAAAAAATATGGCTTCACAATTTATGATAAAAAAAAAAAAGTTAAGGAACAATTTAAAGATTTTCCATAAATGTTGCCATATTGTCATAGAAAAACCCTTGGTTTTTAAAGACTTACTTTCTACTCTTGAATCTGTTAAGTTTTAAGCATTAAACTTTGTTGTCACCCTTGACCCTCTCACCAAGAAGGATCGTGTGCCGACTGTCGCATCAGAGTTGCTGACACAGATTTACAGCTCCTTTTACCTGGGTCAAGGGATAGGGGGTTGGGGCGGTGAGTGACTGATGGGGAAATTAGAAAAAGGTGATTTAAAAAAAAACAATTACCCTACCTCCCACCCCCCTCAGCTTCATAGAGTGCCTTACTACCCTTCTGCACAGACTTTCTTTGATTATCACATTTTCAGAAAATTAATGTTTACTTTTAGTGTGTTAAACTTCTCTTTGAAAGAAACAATTTTTTTTTTAAAGCTTTTTTTTGGGTTGGTTGTATTTTTAAAATTTAAAATCATATTAAATAAAATGACCTTGCTGTATACAGATTTGATGTTTATCTATTTCAGAATGAAGTCGATGATGTTGTCTCCCAACTCATGTAAGTTTTAGCCAAAATCACTCCAGTGACTAAATCAAATGACAACCATGCTACTTACTTCCTCAATTTTTATAATTTTTCTACAAGTAGGTCAGTTATTCTTACAATGGCATAACAGAGTTTTACATGGGAACACTGTCAGATTTATGACTAGTAGTTTTAGCTGGGAACAAGTAGTTTTGATTACTTTCCATGTTGAATTATCAAGAAAATAATTCTAAAATGATCCATCAAGTATTTTATCTGAACAGATCTGAGGCCCGAAAGTTAAGTAAAGATTCTATGAAGATGAGAGTGTTGCCGATGCATGGAAGTTTACCTGCCAATGAACAAGTAAGTTTTCCAGCACAAAATGTTTTGCTGAGGTTCAAACTGTCATCCATCAAGCAGAGGGGATGAAAGGGATGACCAGCCATGACAGAAGGGTTGTCTGACAGTTACTGGCATGGGTTGGTGTATCTCAAGGGAGATTCCTGATTTTTCTAACTACAGGTGTTCTCTGTGGACGGCACTAGGCTAGAGAATTTCATATGTGCCAGTTTTTTAACACAAAAGTAAAATGGAAATAGACTTTTCTATTAATATTTTCTTACTTAATATTGTGAAAGAATAACATATACAAGGGAGATTGGCCTAGATTGTACACAAGAGGTTGGCATTTAACAACCTTGCCTACAAAGAAATACGGCAGTCAATAAAAATTATTATATCTAGATTTTTAAATGTAATTTTTTTCACCCTCTTAAAAAAACCTGGCCATTTGGCAAATAAGTATTGGCTTCATGATGCTTTATTCTGAGAAATTTTGAGAAAACTAATGCTAAATGTGATATTTAAACTAATTATATCTCAGAATTTTCTCCTTTTTTTTCAGAATATAAATTTTTATAAAAGAACTTGAATACCTTCAGTTTGACCACGCTCTTGTCTTCTGTTCCACAGATGAAAGTGTTTGAGAGAACCTCACATCACACACGCAAAATTGTCGTGGCCACAAACATTGCTGAAGCTTCAATAACAATTCCAGGAATGACTTATGGTAAAGGTTATTAGACTGTCCCATCATTGATCATATCTATATAAAGTACATGTCATGCAATAGGCCTCATGTGCTGTCATGCAGTAGGTCTCATGTGCTGTCATGCAGTAGGCATCATGTGCTGTCATGCAGTAGGTCTCATGTGCTGTCATGCAGTAGGCATCATGTGCTGTCATGCAGTAGGTCTCATGTGCTGTCATGCAGTAGGTCTCATGTGCTGTCATGCAGTAGGTCTCATGTGATGTCATGCAGTAGGCATCATGTGCTGTCATGCAGTAGGTCTCATGTGCTGTCATGCAGTAGGCATCATGTGCTGTCATGCAGTAGGCATCATGTGCTGTCATGCAGTAGGTCTCATGTGCTGTCATGCAGTAGGTCTCATGTGCTGTCATGCAGTAGGCATCATGTGCTGTCATGCAGTAGGCATCATGTGATGTCATGCAGTAGGCATCATGTGCTGTCATGCAGTAGGCATCATGTGCTGTCATGCAGTAGGCCTCATGTGATGTCATGCAGTAGGCCTTACGAGCTGTCATGCATGAATGCAGTAGGTATCATGTGCTGTCATGCAGTAGGTGTCATGTGCTGTCATGCAGTAGGTCTCATGTGCTGTCATGCAGTAGGTCTCATGTGCTGTCATGCAGTAGGCATCATGTACTGTCATGCAGTAGGCATCATGTGATGTCATGCAGTAGGCATCATGTGCTGTCATGCAGTAGGCCTCATGTGCTGTCATGCAGTAGGCCTCATGTGATGTCATGCAGTAGGTCTCATGTGCTGTCATGCAGTAGGCCTCATGTGCTGTCATGCAGTAGGCCTCATGTGATGTCATGCAGTAGGTCTCATGTGATGTCATGCAGTAGGCCTCATGTGATGTCATGCAGTAGGTCTCATGTGATGTCATGCAGTAGGCCTCATGTGATGTCATGCAGTAGGTCTCATGTGCTGTCATGCAGTAGGTCTCATGTGCTGTCATGCAGTAGGTCTTATGTGCTGTCATGCAGTGGGCCTCATGTGATGTCATTCAGTAGGCATCATGTGCTGTCATGCAGTAGGTCTCATGTGCTGTCATGCAGTAGGCATCATGTGCTGTCATTCAGTAGGTCTCATGTGCTGTCATGCAGTAGGTCTCATGTGCTGTCATGCATTAGGTCTCATGTGCTGTCATGCAGTAGGTCTCATGTGCTGTCATGCAGTAGGTCTCATGTGCTGTAATATCAATTAGGAATAATAATTTTTTTTTTTTAATTAAAGGTGGCTGGAATTTAAGAGTTAATGTCAAGATGGTTTTTTTGCTTGTCATGTTTGAAATCCTTTCGGCTTCTGTAGAAATATTTCTCACTCACATATCTCTTAAATGTGCTTGCTTACTTGAGTTAATTGAGCTGTTTTATTTTTATGATGCCCTGATTTTGTTCTATCCTTCAGTTGTGGATGCAGGATTCGTTAAATTGAAGACTTACAACCCAACTTCAGGCATAGGTAAATAACTGTATAATGCTGTACAACTCTGGATTTGATTATAATATAATTACCATATTTTATGGCTAATTAGATACTTTGGTGTATTAGATGCCCTCCAAAGTTTGCAGGAAGAAGTCAGATAGATTTTTTTTACCCTGTAACCCAGCCCGCTATCCCCTTATTGTGCCCAATGAATACCGTAGTTCAGCATGAAAACATAGCGACCATCACAAATTCAGGATGGTGACATTACTTGTAAATTTGGATCAAATGATACAGTTAAATTTGATTTACCTGTATGTGTAAACGGGTAAGCTGGCGCTCACCTACAGTCCAAGCTGTAACTCCTGTGCTGCAGTGTGGTTTTGAGAATATTATAAAGTGAAAAAATGTGTCTTTTAAGCTGCAGAATATGGTAAATATAATGTGTGACACAAGATCATTTGAATCCCCTAGTACTTGCTTTGAAACTTGGGCCAAAGAAATGTTGTGCCCAGATGAAAGTTTTCTACCAGTGTCTTAGGTTTCGTTAAAATTAAGTTTAGCTTCTTGGATGCAAACTGTCTATCTGCTGTTGACCAAATGTGTATCCCACCCCCCACCACAGAGAGTTTAGTGGTCATCCCAATATCACAAGCGTCAGCTAACCAGAGGGCAGGAAGGGCAGGACGTGTCCGGGCAGGGAAGGCTTTCAGACTCTATACAGGTAAATATTTTAGAGAAGGCTTACAGACTCTTTACAGGTAAATATTGTAGAGTAGGCTTATAGACTCTATACAGGTAACTATTTCTAAATTGTAGAGAAGGCTTACAGAAATTATAAGGTCAAACTTAGGTGCTTGTGGACAGGCTCACAGATGGTAGGTACAGACTTAGCATTGGACAAAACCTGCCACGTATCAAGACGTGTATATCTGTTAAAATTTAAAAGCATTTCAAAAACAAGTTCACCATTGAAGTATTTCCGACATTTTTTAAAAATAATTTTCACCTGACTCCAGATTAAATATAATTTGTATCATTATCTTCTTTTAATTTAATGTCTTTCACTTTATTTTTGGAGGGGTTTTATTTTAATCAAATTTTTTTTATGTAATGAAAATTGAATTTCTGCAGAGGAAGCTTATGAAAAATTACCAGAATCCACTGTCCCTGAGATGCAACGTAGTGACCTGGCACCTGTCATATTACAACTCAAAGCTCTCGGTGTCAGCAATGTCTTAAGGTTTCATTTCTTATCAGTAAGTCTTGCTGTCAAACACTGAAACTTAAATCTTGGTCACCTACCATTGTTGAGCAAGAGACCTGATCTATGTAGAACAAGAGTCCTGATCTATGTAGAACATGAGTCATGATCAAGGGATCACTTGTTGATAAATGAGTATGTGATTCTTCTGAGAGACATTGAGCAAAACTTTTCTCATTTTTTTTAAAGTCTAAACATCAATCCTGTCTTGTGTCTAATAATATAAAATGTAGGATCATTAGCAGAAACAAGCTCTCAACATTACAAAAAATATTTTACTGGAACTCTCACTTCACGGTCTTGATCTGCATTTTTTACATTGTCAATTTTTAAAATACTTTACAGCCCCCACCTGCCCAGAATATGATTCGTGGTCTAGAACTTCTGTATGCCCTGGGAGGTAAAGAAATAGATGCTGTTCTGTGATTTCATTTTAGCTTGTCCAGTTACTTAGAAGTTAGAATAATTACTGAAACAAAGTACTGTTGTGGTAGTCATAATTTTGAATAGATTCATTTGTTGACTTATTTATTTGTAATTTTAAGACAAATGACTTTATAAAGTGTTTTCTCAATCAACATCATTCTGAGAATATTGTTTTAGCCAATCAAAATGTACGTAATTCATGACAGTCTTGGCCTAGAAAACTTTTTTTTTCCAAATTTCTTTTGGGAAAGTCCCCACCAAGCCCCATTTCAATTTTATAAATCTTTGGGATTTGGCGGTTGAATAATTATTGTTAAATATGCAACAATCTTTTTCTGGTTTCTCACATGTAGTAATTGGTGGATATATTATTAAATATATTGATTATTGTTGCGCCTTAACTTAATTGATTATCAATTTAGTTTCACCTATTATTTCTTATTCCATCAAAATTGCTGTAGTTTTTTGGGTTTTTTTTGGACCTTCCAGGTCTGTAAATAAATAATTGCTTGACTTGTGAAGATATTTCACTGTTTTAAAAAAAAATGGTTATCTGAAGAATTGTTAAAATGTTTCTGACAGCACTGGACGCAGCAGGCAACTTGACCTCACCACTGGGCTTACAGATGGCAGAGTTTCCTCTGACTCCACAGTTTGCCAAGATGCTCTTGTCATCAGGTCAGTCCGTTGGCCTGATTTCACCTGAATAAAGTGGAATATTCTGATTATTGAGAAGTAGATTCTTTAACAAATGGTGATGTACTCAGTTTGTTGTGAGGGAAACTTGGAGAATCCAGGGCAAACTAGAGAAGCATCTAAACTGTAATATAGCTATCACCTGGTCTGTTTTGGACTATCTGCATTTGAATATAGCTACTAACTGGTCTGTTTTGGACTATCTGTATTTGAATAAAGCTACCACCTGGTCTATTTTGGACTATCTGTATTGAAAGATAGCTACCACCTGGTCTGTTTTTAGACATCTGTAAGAGGATCACTAGGAAACTTTTATGCCAGACATATATTAGTTATTGATAGTTTAAATGAATTCTCTAAAAGAAACAATGTGTGTTATTCTTGTGGGAATTAATTGATTTCAAATCTTATTTTACTGTTGTATTCCAGGGGATTTTGGCTGCTCAGAGGAAGCCATCATAGTGTGTGCCATGAGTCAGATACAGAATGTCTTTGTTACGCCATCTGACCGCAGGCTGGCAGCTGTAAGTTGTCTTAGAGCAAATTAATAAAAAAAATAGCCTGAGAATTATATTCAGGCTATGATTTATTATTTTATTTAAAAGACTTTAGTAAAATTCTTACACAACTACAGGTATCTAGAGATCATCCATATATTATGTATGCAAAAAAAAGTCAACTTTTCACTGTTGCCATATCTAAAAGAATGAAATAGCGAAACGAGGTATGTGGAAGCTTGAAATAAAATAACAGGACAAAAAACAAGGACGTTTCGGCATAAAGCCTTCATCAGCCAACAATAGAAATGAAAATATAACAAAGAAAAGAGCACAGTAGACAACTTAAGCAGTATTCATTCGTGTCTCGCTTCCTGTTTTCCCACTTCCGGAGACACGAATGAATACTGCTTAAGTTGTCTACTGTGCTCTTTTCTTTGTTATATTTTCATTTCTATTGTTGGCTGAAGAAGGCTTTATGCCGAAACGTCCTTGTTTTTTGTCCTGTTATTTTATTTCAAGCTTCCACATACCTCGTTTCGCTATTTCATTCTTTTACTAAGCTTGGAAGCAGTCCTTTCATTTATAATTTCTTCTTGCCATATCTAGCTAGTTATGAAAAAACATATGACGTTAATTCCGAAACTTTGTTATTTATTTGTATAGCCCTTGACAGTAATTAGAAAGCATGAGTGTCACAGATTTTTAGTTGATAGTTGGCTGTATTAGAGATATAAATACCTATTTATGGATTGTCAGAATATCAGGATAACTATGCAGAGTTTGTGCTTTTAAATGGACATACGCATTCTGCCTAGCACCCTCCCCCCATGCACTCTTAGGCAAAATCTTCGTTAATCGACACACACACCCCCCTCCCCCCAGTGTGTATGAAATATTCGGAAGGCCCCTTATTGGGGTTATTATTACCAGTATATCAAATTACAAAACAATAAGTAAAGAAATTCACAGCACTATTATTAGCATGCCAGCTATGAGTATTAAGTACTGAATAATTTAAGTTGATTTCCCTATTCAGATAATAGGCATGAATCATAGCTGCAATTTTTAAATATATTTATTTGAATTGAGTCGCAAATTACAAAGTAGAGAATGATTTCGCAACATAAGATTCTGAATGAAACATTTCAAAAAAAATTATGAAGAAAATAGTTGCATTTTCATAATGCGAAGTTAATGAATATCTAAGAACATGTCAAACTTATGAAACATTCTACGCATGTATTTGGGCTGTTAGGACAAGGAGAAGCGCAAATTTTCAGTTCTAGAGGGAGATCATCTGACCCTGGTCAATGTTTACAAATCTTTTATAAAGGTGAGTTGTGTTGTTTTTTTTGTTTTGTTTTTTTACTGTGTTCGTTTATTTTTTATTTCTTTAAACGTGAATTTAAGTTGATGAATGAATCACCCTACTCTTTTAAAAGGCTGTTGTTTTTTTTAATACCTGTTGTAACTAAAGGGAGTAAACATAGAAGTGTTTGCAAATTTAACCTTTAAAATGTATTATCTTCCCTTTTACGTTTGACATAATGGTGCCATAAATATTGCTGATCTTACAAGTCTCGTGAGAAAGTGTTAATTGACCTTGAACCCCTATTATTGCACTCCATCAGTTTGGTCAGAACTCCCGTTGGTGCCATGATCACTGCCTGAACTATAAAGGTCTGAACAGGGCCGTGGAGATCAGCAACCAGCTGGGGAGGCTGTTGACCAAGTACCAGGTGAAAATTGTTTCCTGTGAAGGTCAGTATCCCACTTGTTTGTTGATATACAAAACTCTGTTGGCTGTCTTGGGTAGGATATTTTATAGGAGTTCATTCCTTTGGGTTGAAAAATTAGTTGACCAAAGAAATGTTTCTGTAATTTCACTGAAACAGTTGCAGTGCAATAATGACTTCGGTAGGGAGACAATCTATTATAAGCCACAACATTGTTTATTTAGTGGGGGCACAAAACAGGGCATATCAGATCTCTGATAGCAGTCTCAATATTTATAGTTTATACTTTAGTCTTTTTAGGTTTTGTTCAATATTTATTAAAACTTTCAATAGCTATCAAAGTTGATATAAAAAAACTAACTCTAATCATAAGATAGTTTTATCACATAACTTATTGTTAGGAAAAAAAATTTGCCATAATTTTGAGAAAAGAGAAAGACCTCAGTTGTTTTTATTACCATATGTCCCCCCCCCCTTTTTTTTTAACTTCGGGGTGAATCAAGGATCATAATCCCATTTCAACTTTGGGGTGAATCAAGGATCATAATCCCATTTCAACTTTGGGGTGAATCAAGGATCATAATCCTATTTCAACTTTGGAGTGAATCAAGGATCATAATCCTATTTTAACTTTAGGGTGAATCAAGGATCATAATCCTATTTCAACTTTGGGGTGAATCAAGGATCATAATCCTATTTCAACTTCGGGGTGAATCAAGGATCATAATCCCATTTCAACTTCGGGGTGAATCAAGGATCATAATCCCATTTCAACTTCGGGGTGAATCAAGGATCATAATCCTATTTTAACTTTGGGGTGAATCAAGGATCATAATCCATATAAACCGTGTGTGTGTGTTAATTTTCTTCTTCTTGCCAGAAAACACAGAGGCCTTGAGTAAATGCATCCTGTCAGGTTTCTTCACCAACACTGCACACCTCCACTACAGTGGGGAGTACAGAACCCTGAGAGACAACCACAGTCTTCACATACACCCGACATCGGTGCTGGCTTGTGAGGAGCCCCCACAGTGGTAGGTGCCACACTAAGGGGTCTTCATGGCCGGGATGTTAGATATGGGGTCAGGAATGGCTGAGATGTTAAATAAGGGGTCTTAATGGCTGGGATGTTAGATGTGGGGTCATGAATGGCAGACATGTTAAATAAGGGGTCATGGTGGCTGGGATGTTAGATATGGGGTCATGAATGGCTGACATGTTAAATAAGGGGTCATGGTGGCTGGGATGTTAGATATGGGGTCAGGAATAGCTGTGATGTTAAAAATAAGGGGTCATGGTGGCTGGAATGTTTGAGGAGTGATGGTGGTGTTGAGTGTGAAATAACTTAGTTAAGAGGTTAAGCAGTTGATAGAAGTGATTTGAGTGGTAAGTAGTGCGTCATGAGTAATTGAGTTGCCCAACAGGTGTCCAGAGTAATAAGGGGAGATGGGATTTGCTCCATAGCATTTAGTACAGTTTATAACTTTGAATTTTTTTAATCAGCAGATAAGATTTGAAATGAAAACAAAATGTGGTAATGTATGGATTATTATTGGTAGATCTGAAGTTATTATTGGTAGATCTGAAGTTATTATTGGTAGATCTGAAGTTATTATTGGTAGATCTGAAGTTATTATTGGTAGATCTGAAGTTATTATTGGTAGATCTGAAGTTATTATTGGTAGATCTGAAGTTATTATTGGTAGATCTGAAGTTATTATTGGTAGATCTGAAGTTATTATTGGTAGATCTGAAGTTATTATTGGTAGATCTGAAGTTATTATTGGTAGATCTGAAGTTATTATTGGTAGATCTGAAGTTATTATTGGTAGATCTGAAGTTATTATTGGTAGATCTGAAGTTATTATTGGTAGATCTGAAGTTATTATTGGTAGATCTGAAGTTATTATTGGTAGATCTGAAGTTATTATTGGTAGATCTGAAGTTATTATTGGTAGATCTGAAGTTATTATTGGTAGATCTGAAGTTATTATTGGTAGATCTGAAGTTATTATTGGTAGATCTGAAGTTATTATTGGTAGATCTGAAGTTATTATTGGTAGATCTGAAGTTATTATTGGTAGATCTGAAGTTATTATTGGTAGATCTGAAGTTATTATTGGTAGATCTGAAGTTATTATTGGTAGATCTGAAGTTATTATTGGTAGATCTGAAGTTATTATTGGTAGATCTGAAGTTATTATTGGTAGATCTGAAGTTATTATTGGTAGATCTGAAGTTATTATTGGTAGATCTGAAGTTATTATTGGTAGATCTGAAGTTATTATTGGTAGATCTGAAGTTATTATTGGTAGATCTGAAGTTATTATTGGTAGATCTGAAGTTATTATTGGTAGATCTGAAGTTATTATTGGTAGATCTGAAGTTATTATTGGTAGATCTGAAGTTATTATTGGTAGATCTGAAGTTATTATTGGTAGATCTGAAGTTATTATTGGTAGATCTGAAGTTATTATTGGTAGATCTGAAGTTATTATTGGTAGATCTGAAGTTATTATTGGTAGATCTGAAGTTATTATTGGTAGATCTGAAGTTATTATTGGTAGATCTGAAGTTATTATTGGTAGATCTCAAGTTATTATTGGTAGATCTGAAGTTATTATTGGTAGATCTCAAGTTATTATTGGTAGATCTGAAGTTATTATTGGTAGATCTGAAGTTATTATTGGTAGATCTGAAGCTATTATTTGTAGATCTGAAGTTATTATTGGTAGATCTCAAGTTGAGCATGTAAAGCCAGTTAATGTCTGGATAATCCATTGTCTCTGCACAAAATAAATATATGGGGGGCACTTAATGTACATCCCTAGAAGATAAACTAAATATAAACTCTGCTGCTAATGAAGCAACAGAATTGATGGCATCAAGTAACAGTCATATGACACAATGGCAGTCCTATGACACAATGACAGTCCTATGACACAATGACAGTCCTATGACGCAATGGCAGTCCTATGACACAATGGCAGTCCTATGACACAAAGGTAGCCTTATGCCACAATGGCACGCCTATGACACAAAGGTAGCAGCCCTATGTCACAATGGCAGTCCTATGACACAATAGTACCCCTATGTCACAATGGCAGTCCAATGACACAAAGGTAGCCCTATGTCACAAAGAAAGCCCTATGTCACAATGTCAGTCCTATGACACAATGGCAGTCCTATGACACAAAGGTAGCAGCCATATGACACAAAGGTAGCAGCCCTATGTCACAATGGCAGTTCTATGACACAATGGTAGCCCTATGTCACAATGGCAGTCCTATGACACAATGGTAGCTCTATGTCACAATGGCAGTCCTATGACACAATGGTAGTCCTATGACACAATAGTACCCCTATGTCACAATGGCAGTCCAATGACACAAAGGTAGCCCTATGTCACAAAGAAAGCCCTATGTCGCAATGTCAGTCCTATGACACAATGGCAGTCCTATGACACAAAGGTAGCAGCCCTATGACACAAAGGTAGCAGCCCTATGTCACAATGGCAGTCCTATGACACAATGGTAGCCCTATGTCACAATGGCAGTCCTATGACACAATGGTAGCTCTATGTCACAATGGCAGTCCTATGACACAATGGTAGTCCTATGACACAATGGTAGCTCTATGTCATAATGGCAGTCCTATGACACAAATGGAGCTTATAAAGCAACCAAAATCATGGGTTCAAGTGGCAGCCATGTGACACAAAGGCAGCCCCATGACAATGGTAGCCCAATGACACAATGATAGCCCTATGTCACAATGGCAGACCTATGACACAGTGGCAGACCTGACACCTATGACACAATGAATGGTAACCCTATGACAGAACGGCGGCCCTATGACGCAATGGCAGCCCTATGACACAGTGGTAGCATGTTTGACGAGGCAACAGGTTCTCTGTGAAAATATCTCAACAGTCAGCTTGACGTGGTATCAGAATTCTCCGTCTACGCTCTCCCGATGCAAATAGATGATAAATAACTCAATGGACTCAAAGTAAAGACACAAAGTGGTCAAACTGTATGTCACTGTCAGTTTAATACTTCTCGACAGGGTTGTGTTCAATGAAGTTGTCCAGACCAAGAAGGACTACATGCGGGATATCACGGTGATCAAGAAAGAATGGCTGCATGAGATCGCCTCGCATTTCTTCCAGTTTGGAACGGTAAAACTTAAATTCAATTCTTGTTGGTTTTTTTTTTTTTATAAATGATTTACATACTTGTGGATAGCATTTCTCAGATGTCTGCTGTCTCTCGGTCTGTGTATTATGAATAATAATCAGTCCAGAGAATGTAACATATGTATTGATTATTATGTGTATTACATCATCATGTCACCATTTCCGTTCCTTCAAAAAAAGATTTCTGGCATTAAAAAAACATGAAGCCTATTTATATTTATTTCAGGAGCGTGAATTGGCGGCGAAAAGAAGAAAACTTGAGTGAAGAACGTTATAAAGTAGAAAGTTGGACGTGAACAAACATGGCTGAATCGGAACGTAAACCACACTCTTAATTAACAGATCATCTTAAAAATTAACAATTATTTGTGTTAAGTTAAAGACCATTTTTCGATGATACTGAAGAAATAGTGGCTGGTGATACAAGGAGATACAAGACCTACTTCCATTTATTTGATGATATTCTGTGCCTTCCTTCCGTTCACTAAAAATTGTTAAATTGCATATCTGTTTGTCCATTTTATGTTAATCACTTTGAGAGAAAGCGCAGCTGTAAGTAATTTTCAACGTTCTTTAACCCACCTTTGTTTGAGTCAAGTCCAGAGACAGTTGTATATTTTGTATCAAATTACTCTCTTAATGAAATATTAAATTGATTTTTTCAAGGAAAGGTTTGTTGATGTTAAATAAATGTCTCCGCAGTCAATATTATATCAATGCCAGTTTGAACGAATTAACTGTTTAATAGGCACTTACAGGTCAACTGTGATGCCAGAAGGGAATTTTGTTTCGTATAAATCAATGTCATCCAATTTTCCTTGTTATTGGCCTTTGAAAAATAGGAAAAACTGTTTTTTTTTTATGGCAAGTGGGTCAATTAGCTGTCCAAAGATTTTGCAAGCCACCAACAACAGCGACTTTAATGTAAATGATTTAAATATAACCTAATTAGTGTGTATGAATAAATCCTTTTCACATTTTAATTTTATAATAATTTAATTTTTTTTAAAATAAAAAATGAGGAACCTCGATCAAAACATTTGAATGATCCAGATGTCATTATACTATAGTTTCTCTTGAGAATCTTCGAGTATATCTGGCATCGCTGTAACACTGTCAACCTATCCACTAGGAACCAGGCACACTGAACACTAGAACACGTCATGAAATACCACGATTCATCTTTATTCTGCGTGTCTGTCAGACAGCTCCACCTGGTTGCAATATCTTTTAAATAAAAGGGCCAATTCTGAATACATGAGACATCATTAGCTTTCTGGTGAACTCTCTTCCATGAACTCATGACTTCAAGCCGTACTTGTTTATTATGCTTTTCCTACCATCCAATAACCATTTGGGCACAATATTACCACTCATGACCAATGTTCCCTTTAAGCTGCGCGGCCACGCAGCTATCTCACAGATGCCGCGCAGCAGTTTTGAGTATCCGCGCAGCAAATTTTCATGTATGTTTGTGTTTGTGGGCTGTAAAATTTTGCACACAAAAAAATTGATGCTGTAAAATTGTGTACACAACTGTATGATTTTGCACACGAACCAACATAACTGAGAGGGAACATTGCTCAGGGCACTTATTGACACAACTCACTGACGGAAAAAAGCGTCTACACTAACAACAGTGATTTTCACACCCTTGGCACCAGCCAAGAAAAAAGGCAACAAAAAGAATGTGTTTAAAAGTTTGATTTTATTCCCCAACTCATCCTGCAGCCACCAGATCGTCCATCCGTGTTGTCGAAGTAATAATCGGTCCACTGGTTGGCAACCGCGCACAGATTGCGGGACGATGCGGGGCCACACTGACCACCGTCTCCATCCGGGTACCACGAGAAGCACATCTTGGCAGTCCTCAGCCAGAGAGGGGCGGAGCTTGGCACTTCAATCATCCACGACATCTTGCAGCCCCCTCTCCTTCGGTCCGTGTCGTCCTTGTACTCCGCCGAGAACTCGTTCACCCCGCCGCACAGGAGATTCGCGGCGCCCCCACCGCACTGCCCCGAACCGCCGCCCTCAGAGTACCACTGGTAGCACACCCTGACCTGCCTGAACCACGAAGGGAACCCCATGGACTGAATCCCCCACTGCATCCGGCACCCGCCGCGCCTGTCGTCCGTGTTGTCCCTGTAGACGGGAGTCATGGTGTTCGGTTTGGCGCAGAGCAGGTTCGGCTCTCCGTCACCGCACTGCCTGGATTCACCGTCGGACCTCCACTGGTAGCAGAGATTCGTGTTGGACGTAAACCAGACGGGGACAATCAGCTCCGTCTCCACGTCATTGCTCAAGGCGTCGAACTTGGCCTTCACGAGGATGGTCTCGTTCTTCATCGCCGTAATTCTTGCCTGAAGGGCGCCGAGCACCGCATCATCGGATCTGCCCCTGGCCGTATTGATCAGCCTCTCCACCTCGTCCAGATAAGTCTTCATGACGTAATTGTCCACGGCTTTCACCATAGAAATTCTCTTCGTCTCGTCCGAAATGAGGTCACTGATCGGCTTCAGCTCTCCTGAAAATAACCACGGGTCCTTATCCACGGTCGGCTGCCACTGCTGGATTCCGTTATTCGTCAAGAGGTTAGTGTCCCCGCCGTAGTAACGGATCGACTGGGTGGTCGCGCTTGAAAAGCTTTTGTCGACGGATGTCGAGCCCGACACGTGGCCCCCGTGAAAGGAAATGACCTTAAGGAAAGACGCCTTGGCGTTGGTTTTGGCCTGGGCGTCTGATTTCGTGTAGAAGTATTCGCTGTCCGTCTCGGACACAACTTTAACATACCCGCCGAAATTCGCCGTCGAGAAATAATGACTGCCGAACTCGTGGATGAATCTGTTGTAAGCTCTCGGGTCGGCCTCGAAACTCCCCGTGATCATGCGGTCGATGAAGATTTGGGAAAACCGATCCAAGCCGAGAATCCACGAAGGGGTGGCGTCGGCGCGCGTCGCCGACTCGAACGACGATGCCTCGGAGATGTACCGGGAAGTGTTGGCTATGATGTTCTGCATTTTCTTGTAGGAGTGGCTCGCGGAGAAGGCGAATCTCCAGATGGAGCCTTCGCCGCCCACCTCGGTCGTCATGGATTGCCGCAGGTCGTTGTAGTTTTTGTAAACTTTGACCTCTGTCGAGAGCCAGCCTCCTGGCAGTGACGTCATGTGCCAAATCTAAGGGACAGATTAATTTCTTTGATGAAAGTTGTTGTTTTGTCATAAATGTTTATTAGTCGTTGTGTTAGTGGGATACCAAGGGACATATAAATGTGGTCTCTCGTGTGCTGTACGACAAGAAAGATATATATATATATATATATATATAATGGATTTTTATGTTTTTAAATCTATGATATCACCGTGATAGCCAGAACCTCTGATGGTGATAGCCAGCACCTCTGGTGGTGATAGCCAGCGCCTCTGGTGGTGACAGCCAGCGCCTCTGGCGGTGACAGCCAGCGCCTCTGGCGGTGACAGCCAGCACCTCTGGTGGTGATAGCCAGCACCTCTGGTGGTGATAGCCAGCACCCTTGCCCACGATGTTACCATAGAATTCGGAAGATGCCAACATTTGCCTGTTTGTTGACAGGTCTGTCTTTTAAACCCTTCTCCACTAACGGGGATTCGCATTATTGTGTGCCACTATTTTTAATGACAGATGGGCGTCAATTCTCCAAACGCTGATTATCCGAAACGTCAGTTCACGGTACTGTCCCTTGTCTTTAGTATCAATATTTTTGCTAGTATCCGTCCGTCACAATGTGACGATGGAGTGGGCTTCGTAGGACGAAATCCACATAGCCTGGGATTATTATACTTGAAGGATTATAAGCTGGTTCCCAACAGCAAATCGCATCTCTCCACGCCGCTGGGTAACCCAAGGGAACATCATTGGATGATACAGCTTGGCACCAGTGACGTCGCAGGAGTTGTCGGAATGTTTCGTTGTATCAATGTTATCCGCCTTTCGGGACTCCATCTCCGGGTTTGATTTCAGAGTTTCCTTCTCTTAGATGAGTTGCCGTCCAAGGTTAACGAGTCAAGGCATTGGCATACAACAAAAAAAAAAAAACGGAAACCTTCCAAAAATTTTTTTTTAATTAATAAAAGCAATTCTGAGGGGGCTAGCCCCCCCCCCCCCACACACAACCATCGGTCAGCGTCCGAGATTTTGTCTCCCTCCCTCCCCCCCTCCCCCCCCACCGATCACGGTGACAGTGGCCGACCCCACTTTTAATCATCAAATGTAAAATATTGTAAAGAGTTATGTCATAAAAATGAACATCCATACAATTCTGGGCGTGTGTGTGGAAGCACCTTGTAGAAGTGGGTGCATGGGCCCCCGCAGAAAACTTTCTAAGGGGGGGGGGGAACTAAAAAATCGATTAACTTTCCAGGGGGGGGGGGCAAAAAATGTTTAGTAATGTTTTAATATAGTTTTAATTTACTGTAGCGTATTTGCATGGTGAACGAAAGGACAGGACATCAGCTTAGTTACTTTCTCTTTATTTTCTCTTTACTTTAATAAATTTTGTGTCTAAAAATTTTTTATCCAATCAATCCAGGGGGGGGGGCAAGTGCCCCCCCTTGCCCCTACCTGCCGTTGCCCATGAGTGGGTGATATCATTTGAGAATTGGTGTTCAATTAAAATAAATAAATACATATTTACGTTCACCGTTTATTTTAGAGTTATTTTATTTATTAGATGTCATGATGACATGCGGCATGTCATGACATGCGGCCCGCCATGAATTGCCGGCGATCAAAAAGCTCGAGAATCCATCAGGGCCGGCAAACCCCAAACCCACCCCACCCCCTTTCCCTCCACGTACTAGTATGATTTTTATTTTTTTCACTGTTGTTAACCCTTGCTGGCGAAAATAGCTAATTTCGCATATTTTACATTACGCAATCGCTGTCATGGCGTGCGCACTTTTTTTTTTTTTAATCTTTTCACTGTCATGGCGTGCGCACTTTTTTTTTTTTTTTAATCTTTTCACTGCGCAGAGCAGAGCAAATACTTGGCGCTCAGCGCCTCTAAAATTTAGAGGGAACAGTGATTCCAACCTCTGTCACACAATCCGCGTAGCAATTTTTAACACTACCATACATGCAGTGATCAGGCTCGACAAAGCAGTGGCGCTACTTTCGGAGGGCTCCCCACGATGATTTTCGGATTGTGAACCACGCCACTCAAAGTTGGTCGTTTTCATTTCTTTCCAACATCACGACTTTGGGCGCGTTAAAAATCCGAACGCCACTGCAGCCGCAGGGTTGCAGGGACCACGTGACGTCTCTGAAACAGGGACATGCCACCCTGCAAAGTTGGTAATTATTAAATATCGCAGAACACGCTTGCAAAGAGAACGTGACCTGGGATTTTATTCTGAGCGCTAATTTCTTTAACTTTAACGCAACATTTCCGTTGGAGTGTTCGGTTATCCGGACAAAATAGATTTTCCGTACAACCCCAGTCCCTGTTAGTTAGGAAAATGGACGCTCTGCTGTACTGTAATGTATCTAATAGCATTCTAAGTGTAGGCATACGCTTTAGCTGAAAGAATCATTGTCATATTAATGTCCTTATCCTCTTAGATTCACCCTACTGATTATATTTGGTCTAATTAAGTCTTTCTATACCCGGTGGCTTAGCAAGGGGGTGGGGAAGGCAACTGGTGGCATTTTTTTTCTTTATATGGAGGGAAGGGCATTTTAGTTTTCCCTCGTCGAAGATTTGGGGGGGGGGGGCGGGGTTGACCCCACCCCGGGCGGCCCTAACCCCCGGGCTGTACTGCGACCCAAACCCGATTATTAATTACATGTCAATAAATATAGTTTGTCTCACCTGATCGGGAAGTTGATATTCTTGACCAGTGGGGCTCCTCCAAGTCCGTCCACTGTTGCAGGAGAAGTTAAGGACGGGGCTTTTGAAACCGTTGGTGCCGATGACATCCAGGGGAACGAGGTCAAGCTTTGTGATGTCAACGCCCCTGACCATTTTCTGGATACCCGGAGGCGGATTGGAACAGTGGATCTCGGCATGAGAGATGTGTACAGCGATCAGAAACGCGAACGCTGTAGGTAAGCAGTGGAAATTCATTGGCCGTCCTGAAAATATAGACATTGCCAATAATGAGAGGGGCCTTGGGATGCTTTTGGTGATGACGGCCGAGTGGTCTAAACTGAGTCAATCCCAATCTTGCGGACTCGAGTTCAACCCCCAGCAAAAGCCAGGGCAATAAAACAGAAAAAAAAACATCAACCCGGGTGGATGGGACTCTTTAACCTTGGATGGCAACTCATCTAAGAGTAGGCAAACTCTGAAATCAAATCCGGAGATGGAGTCCCGTGTGCGGTATGACATTGACACAATGAAAACTTCGACAACTGCTGCGACGTGGGACCCACGAAGAGCATAGTGAACTGCTGGTCAACTACTGAATCCTGGTCTATTTCCAATCGTCTTGACAATGGATAAAATAGGTGAGAGAGTGAGGAACTCGCCCCTCTTTTTAAACAAAATGCAGTTCAAGTCAAGGCTGCTACTCAAGTCAAGGTTACTACTCAAGTCAAGGCTACTACTCAAGTCAAGGCTACTGCTCAAGTCAAGGCTACTACTCAAGTTGAATAGTGCCTTGGTCATCTTCGAATGCGAAGGACGAAAAAAAAATAATGAAATGTCTTTGGGCAGGTAGAGCTCACTTCCGCCAGGCTCCTTCTGGGAAACAGGAAGAGGGTAAATAAGTTTTTTTTTGTTTTTTTTTTTGGGTAAATCCTTTATATTAACTTCACTTTTTGTTTCGTATTTGTGGCAAAATCTTCGGGCGGCTAATTGACCCACTTCCCGGCATCCTATCGAACTGAAACTTGGCACACAGAATCGTGACAAAACATTCTATAAACTTTACAGCCCCACCCCAGAAAAATCATCTTTTTCATGCTTTTCATGGGGAAGATGAATGATTTGTTCAATGGGTGCGTGTTTTGGAGTGGATATTTATTGTGTAGCTGTTGTTATATGCTACATATAAATGGGTTAAAATATATCTTAAGTCTATTAGGCTTTACATGCTCACTTAGTTTGATTTTTAAAAAAATTCCCATTCCAAAAAATCAGTTGCTACAATCACATAAATGATACATCGCTTACAATGGCATCAATGCAAACCAAAATGCACATAGAGGATCTAGGAAAAAAAAACTCTGTTTTTAGGCGTTGTGTAATTTAAATTCTGGATCCATTATTATAAAATCAAAGCAGTCCTGGACTGTTAAATGGTATTATGAAGTCTCTGGTTCAAACATGGAATAGAATTTAAATAAATCGTGATGATGCTATCTCGGTGCCGATGGTGGAAAGCTGACCGGTCACCATGGTATCGAAACAAATACACAGATGTTGACATTTGATGAAATTTAGGAAGTGACACGCAAAAATCAGGGGATTATATTATGTAATAAGTTATAAAGATTTCAACACAATGGCAGATCTACGCTCCTGGGGGTCATTCGGAGCAGGGGTGTGATCGCGTACTCGATGGCTTTATCAATTGATATAACTTATAAATATGTATATTTATATATAGTTAATGTTATATTAATAATCCTTTCATTGAAAAAGTTCTTTATACTATATATAATTATTACACATTTTTACAAAGCCTTTGCTGGCTGCGGTGTCCCAAAAATTAAATAGGTCATACCTTGTTCCCTTTTTTTTTTTGTGCAATGGGCTTCCAGCAGCAGGCACAGCACGCGGTAAAATGAGACTCTCCCGCTGTATTCTAATCAACCAGGTTTAACTTTCAGTTTGCAGCATGTGGTGAAGTTGTATGAGGGAAACATGTCATTTTATACACACGACCCGGATATTGTGGCTAGTTAAATATTCAAGTCAAGGCGGTTACCAAACAATATCTCTAGGTCATTATTAGAACTGGGGGGAAATACAGACGGATGCAATCCAAACCAAAGTAATATCTTTTTGCCCTCATTAGGCAACTTGAATAAACTCAAAATAGATACCGATTACTATTAATTTTTTTTTTCTTAAACTTAAACATGGCCACAAATGGTGTCTGGCAAGGGAAAGTTAGAGGTGGAGGTGGTTGTCAGTTTTTAAGTAAGTTTGACCAAGGTGGCTGAGCATCTTCTTAAACGCCACACTTGAGATGTTTCAAACGATGTCCACAGAGAGAAAGTTACCAGACCCTTTAAATATGTTTCCACCCACCCCCCCCCCACCCACAAATCCCGCCCGATATTTTCATGAGCTCATTATCATTAACCCTTGAAGCCCGCCGCTATCACCCGAGGCAAAAAGTGCAAAGTATTTCGAGATGAATAAAATCCTGTGTCCCAAATGAATACCGCGTGCAATGGTAAATAAATGAAAATCCGACAAAGCGATGTTGTGACGTGATAGTGTTGTCCTCGGAGTGTGGCAGGAAGCAACTAAAAACATAATAATAAATCACTACGTCTGAGGTTGGTGTTCATTTGACACATGGTGTTCCAAAACGAAGACAAGGGCGATAGTCTGACGTCAGGAAGCTATTTAAGAGTTTAGTCTTCTTTTCTAAAAAAAAACAGACTTGGCTGCTATGGAATCGGATAGAGGAGGCGGGGGTTGGGGGTGTCCACAGACTTGTTTTTTTTTAATTCACAAATACAAGCCCCGTAGTTTGTTGGGTTTTTTTTTAATTAGACGGAATGCCCCAACGCAGTGGCGTAGCGAGGGTGTTTGGCGCCGGGGACAAGATTCGCGCCCGGGGACAAGATCCATTTTTAGCGCCCTTTTTCTTTTTTTCAACTCTCAAACCCATTATTTTCATCAATAAAATAATATCAAAGCACAATTTGGCGCCCCTCACTAACTGGCGCCCGGGGACATCTGCCCCCCCCTGCCGCCACCACGCTACGCCTCTGCCCCAACGTTCATAACTTATTACCACAACTCAAGATCTTCTCCCAAATCAAAAGAATTACATTATTGCCCATAAGCAGGCCCGGCCTTTAGGGTGTGCGACCTGTTCCCTCACACAGGGCGCCGTGGCCATAGGGGTGCCTAGTAAATATTTAAATTCCCTTTATTTTATTACAGCGAAGTGTGAACCTCGGGTCCTGGGTCGAGAAACGGTAGTCTAACTTTTCGTAAAATCGCTTTTCATACAATGAGGTGATGTTTTTCAAACCACAAAAAAAATTATTTTACTAACACCAATAGAAAAACAAACATCATATTCTTAAAGTGCTTGAATCGATCTTTTAAATGGTATCATTTTTTTTTAGTATGCATGTTACAATTGTAAGAAAATATGTTGATGGAAGTTGTCTAAAATGTCAAAAAAACACTGCTTCTCAGCGGTTTGGAGTACCTAATACAATGAAAGTTGCATTCTTAATTTGGATACTAGCACTGGGCTTGGGACCAACCGAAAGGGCGTGGGAATTAAGTTATTAATACCGTATTTCCTTGTCCCTTTTACAATTATTTCAGCAGAAAGAATATGGAGAACAAAAAGCTTTCCGTGGCGCGAAATCGCAAACGGAATGAAGAAAAAGTACGTCGTAATCGGAAAAAGAGCGGAGCCATACAAGGACAGGGAAGGGGGCGCCGAACGGGTGCTTCGCACAGGGCGAAAGTTTACCTAAGGCTTAACTTTGGTGCCACCTTATAAGTATAATCATTAAAGGAAACAGCTAGTCATTCGTTAATGAGTTTATTCCCTATGTTCAATGAACAGTTCAAAATAGCTAATAAACTCATTACCGAATAACTAGTTTTTTCCTTTAATGATTACACTTCTAAGGGGCGCCTAAAGTTGTCAGGTGTCCACTCTTTGAGCGGACAGTCCGCTTTTTTCACATTATATTCACTATTTTTTTTTCCACCAAATAATGGACATTTTTAAAATTCAAAAGCTTTATGATGAAATGGTACGTAATCTAAAGCTGCACAGTCTAAGACAGGGGTCTCCAAACATTTCAGCCCGAGGGCCGCATTAACTATCAAACAGCAGTTCGCGGGGGCCGACTACACACTCGAGGTCCAAATAAAAAAAGAATCAAAACATGGATGTTCTTTTTAATTATTTATGTATAATTATTTCATTCAGGTATAACACATTGATACACGACACATGAACACCTGTATAAGTGGCAATGGTCAAATTGTTTTCTGGGTGCCAAAATAACAGTGATTAGCAGACATTTCTGGATTTAGATTTGATGTCCCTAACATCAGCAGTGACCTGACATTATCATCGGAAAATGTTTTCTCAAATTAATTGTTCTTCACGTATTTCGTTCTTGACAATGTTTGTCCACACAGGTATGTTGTTCCAAAGTTTGAAAGGTACATTGATGCAAATGTTTTGATATTAGGAAAGTATTCCTTGGGCGAAAAGTAGTTAAAAACCCACCGGTCATTCTTTTAACGTGTCCCTAAAGAGGTCATTTGCTTGCAACTCAATGACCTCCAGGTGCAGTTCATATGGGCAACTAGCCACATCTGATTCAAATGGGTTTTGAAAAAGTCTCACTTCTTCTGCCTTTAAATCCAAGTCGGAAAACCGCTGATGATCTCGCATGCAAACGACGTGGGAATCTCGGCTGTTGCTTCAGCCATGAAGACCATCCACGGCTGAACATGTGTCAAGTTGTTGGCCTGTACTTGTTCCAAAAACGAGACGAGTTTGGATCTGAAGTCCTTTAGGTGGATGTATAGATCAGAAAATATATTTTCCTCTCCTTGTCGTTTTAGGTTCAGAAAATTTATATGACTAGTTATGTCTGCAGCAAATACCAATTTCCATACCCACTCTTCATCAGAAACTAATGGCTGTGGCTTGCCTTTACTTTCCAGGAAGTCACCTATTTCCTTTCTTAACTTAAATACTCTACTCAGAACTTTCTCATAACTTAGCCATCTTATTGCTTTGTAATATGGTAAATCTTGCGATTCTGTGTCTGTATCTTTCAACAGGTCTCTGAAATGTCTATGGTTGAGCCCATGTGTATACTTATTAAAGTAACCCGATTCACCGCAGGATTCAGTACACTGCTAATGTCCACATATTTAGCTTTTTGTTGAATAATACAGTGCAGGAATTTTTGCAGAATTTTTAATTATTACTCATCTGCTTCACTTGTCCAACCAAGCCTTTCTTTATGCCACTCATGTTATTTCCTTCGTCAACAGTCAGGCAACCGAGGTTAGTCCAGTCCAAGTTTTAAACAGCAAATGCTGTTTTTTTTCAACTCATTGAATAAATCCTCTCCGGTAACAGTGTCGTACATGCTATGTGTTATGTTCATGTCTTCATCCACACCTCTAACAAACACAAGCAGTTGAGAGGTGGAACAGCTGTCCAGCGATTCATCCATTGCAATTAAATATTTGCGAAACTTGCTTGCATTTTTCACTATTTGAGTCACAATGTTTTCACCCATGTCTGCAACACGACCGGCAGAGCTCCGCCACTAGATGGCGTTATATCATCTCATTGACTGTGAGCGGAAGTAGAAAAACTAAGCAGCCAATAAGGTTTTGCCCAGTCATGAGCGGTTAGAAAACATAACGCACTAGTGCGCGCCTCTATTTTAATTCGGTAAAAACATAACGTCCACTTCAGCGGCGTCTGATCTTGGCAGGATACACGTAAATTTCCGTATTTTTTTCCGTAGACGAAAAGGTCTCCGCGGGCCGCATGAGAGGGCCTCGCGGGCCGTAGTTTGGAGACCCCTGGTCGAAGAGAATAAGGATAAGAGAATCGCGTTGTGTCATATTTTTCATAAGTTAGAATGAGACTTAAGTACTATTTAATTACTACTTCAACCCCCCCCCCTTTTTCCCCGTTATTTTTTGGAAGCAGCCCTGGCAACACTAGGGGCGCCAAAGTTAAGCTTGCACAGTGCGCCATCAACCGTCGGGCCGGCCCTGCAATAATTGACATTGCCAGAAAGCGTCAGAGTTGTACCAGAGCCATCACGTGACGTTTGAGGGCGGCGCCCCTCCCCCTTCAACTTTTCAATATGTTACGCCTACATTCAAAGATGATATTTGCATTTTTAATTTGATCAATATCACAAATTTTGGGTCCGGCGCTGACTTGAGTTGAACCATAAATGTGTTAGAGGCACATAGTTGTAGCTGTACCAAGGGATGGAGTGGTAACAAGGAACAGAGTTGTACCAAGCTCAGAGTGGTAATAAGGAACAGAGTTGTACCAACATTGGAGTGGTAATAAGGAACAGAGTTGTACCAACATTGGAGTGGTAACAAGGAACAGAGTTGTGCCAAGGTAAGGGAAACAGTTGTTAGTCTACAATTAATGGGTCTTGGTTTCTATTTCTGATCAAGTGACACATATTAATATCCTTTGTTTTGGATGGCAGTTCACAGATGAACACTTCAACAGTCAGGGGCAGCTACTCCTTTCAATTATTTATTACAAAAACTATTCTTATTTGTTTTGAGGAAGTTATTTCTGCCTTTTAGACATTTTGTACAAATATGTCTTAAACTGTCAAAATAGCCACATATCAGTAGATCTGTATTTTGTCATCACAATACATAAATTTACTTTAATGTGGCTCTTTACCTTTCTGTGACATTGATATTGTCACACTCACAGGTATATCTTTTTTAAATAATTTTTTTCAAAGAAACCACCACTTTTATATATTATATAATTTTTTTTAAAATATATACGTTCATGTACTTTTATAATTAAAATCACATGATTGATATAAATATAGGTTTGAGTAACAATATGCACAAAAAGAATAAAAAAAAAAAAATAACACAAAACTAATTTATAAAACATTTTTTATTTAAAATCCAGTGGCAGTGTATATACAACACATTCCTTCTGGTAACAACACCAGACTGTAGATGTTGTCCCCAGTCACGTAGTAATAGTGAGACTCAGATTTCTTGTTGACTGGACAGTCGTTGAACCCATGGACTGTGAGGCTAGTTGGATAGCTTTCATTCTGAGAAGTGTGCTCTCTGTGGGGTGGGGGGGGGGGGGGGGGGAAAGAAACAACATACTGTTCAGATATCCCAAATGGGTGTTCACACTGAGCAGGCGCAACTGTGGCATCTGGTGCAGAACTTTTGTTCAGAACTTTTTTTTATAATTATTACATTTTAAATTTATGAGATAGAGCAACAGTCAGCAAAGCATGGCTGCATGTGTCTCTTTAAATGAATAAACTTTTTTTTTCCCCTTTAAATATGATTTTTTTTAAACCACATATATGAAACAGTGTCAAGGTTTTTTGTTGCACAGAGTAGCACGTGGTCACAGAAAGTTCAGAATCCAAGTAACAAATCTTCTGTGTGAATGTACCTTAAAACTTAACAACAAAATGTGAAATTTTGCATGGTATTTATAAAAAAATCTTTAGAAATTTAAATAAGTGTAATAAATATTTATCAATCTATAATATAATCTTTCAGTTTGGGATCTGATTGTTATTGTCAAATTTTTTAAAAAAAATGGTGTTTTTTTCATTTAAATACGCAAGTCAGAATTTATTGGCTGAAACTGAAAAACTGGGACATGATTCTAATTCAGTTATTGTTATGGGTTTGTCTTCCTCTATGAAGTAAGACTGTAATTCAGTTCCTTTCTTTCATTTTGGTCACTCAAATACGGTCAGATGTGTCATCTTCTTAATTTTCTGGCCTTATGGTAGCTATATACAGTGCTCGATGCCATTTATTTAGCAGCTATGTCCTAAAATATTTATTTCAAATAAAATGTAGGTCATTGTCAAAAGCTCCAAGTTTTTTAAGTGATCCTTCAAAACATTCATTAAATTTAATATCTATGGCATCAAATTCTGAACATCAAATGGCCTACACTAACACCAATAAAGACTTATTGGAAAGGACCTACCAGGAGCCTATTGCTGACGACATCATAAGGAAAAGATGGAGGTGGATAGGGCACACTCTTTGTAAACCCCCAGATAACATCACATGATAATCCTTAACATGGAATCCACAGGGAAAAAAGAAAAACAGAAGAGGGCCTAAGAATACAAGGAGACGCCAGCTAGAGGCAGACAAACAAAGTATGGGATACACCTGGAAAGGAAAGCACGGCACAGGGTTGAATGGAAAATTTTTATAGACGGCCTATGCCCCAGGAGAGGTAAAAGACATAAGTTAGCATTGTCAAATAGCTCAAAGTTTTTAAATTACCCTTCCAAACATTCATTATATTTAATATCTGCGGCATCAGGGATTCCCAAGCATAAATACTTAACACCCAGAGCTGGAAGAGCACTTGTGAAGTCATTCACCTTGTATCTTACTCTTATAAAGTATCATTAAGGAAAGGTCTGATTTTTCTGACAGTGAATTCAATGAAGAGAATTAAATTCCATATATTTCACTGATTTGTTGATAATACATAAAAGTGTTGGACATGAAAGAGATGGACATAAAAGTGTTGGACTTTCAAGCGTTGGACATAAAAGTGTTGCACAGAATACATGATAGTCCAATTTTGAGAAATCTGCTATACGGGTATGTAAAGGTAAAACTTGATTTGCCTTGATCCTGTTTTTCAGGAGAAAAGTAAATTTCCTTGTTTTAACTATTGCTCAAGTACACAAGGCTAGTCTGATAATGATGATTATTTTTTGGGACATTAGCCTTTGTATTTTTAACAGTAAGTGCACTGGTTATATTTTCCTGAGAGAGCAATAAACTCAGCCATACTTTAAAGTAAAAAAAAAAAAAGTACAAGCAGAGCAAAGGGTGTCAGATACCTTAGAGCCCGCCAGACTTGGAGAATGGTATTCGATGTCAGAAAACCTGAGGCTTGGAACACACAGCAGCGAGATTTTTGGGACATTAGCCTTTGTATTTTTAACAGTAAGTGCACTGGTTATATTTTCCTGAGAGAGCAATAAACTCAGCCATACTTTAAAGTAAAAAAAAAAAAAAGTACAAGCAGAGCAAAGGGTGTCAGATACCTTAGAGCCCGCCAGACTTGGAGAATGGTATTCGATGTCAGAAAACCTGAGGCTTGGAACACACAGCAGCGAGGCAGGTTGGTGACCAGTTCAGGGCAGCTCATGGTGGTGACAAAATTGTCTTGACTTGCATCTTCGGGTCGCCTTTAGTAGGGCATGCAGAAATCCAAAGAAGCTTTGCATAACAGCAAGATTTGTTTTAATTTATCAAATACATCTGGCTTATTTAAGATATCATTACTAAATTTCTTTTCCCCATTATATTTAGTATAAGCATTATTAATTTATTAAAAAATGATAATATGTTTTTTATTCAATGTTTAAAAACATGTTCATTTATTGACATAAACATTGGCAATATTGGCCATTGGATCAGTGCTTCCCAAACTTTTCACGTCACTGTGCCCTTGGTGCATCCAGGTTTTCCCAGTAAAAAATTTGTATTGATTTCTTTTTTCCCCCCCCTTTGCTGCACCCCTGTGTGGAAACCTCTACATTAGACCATAAAAGATGTAAACTGTTACTTTGTAAAAAAAAAAAACAACGTAATATTTCTTCAACCTTTTGGTCCTTTTTAAAAATATTTTTTATTATTTATGTGTTTTTTTCCTTCTGTAAAGTATTTTTCTCTACTCTAAATTCAGCTTACTTGTATTTGCAAATTAAAGAAGACTTACAGTTGAATATCACAGGCTAGTGCTCCCATCCATTCAAAAAACTCATTAAACTGGCATCCTATTTCTGAACCTTCCGGGTCTTTAGCATCAAGTTTTGGACAAGGCAAACTGGTGAAATTTCTGGATGCTTTCTTCAGGTCGATTCTTGTGACTTGATGGCACTTCTCCATAAAGTAGACCCCAACAGAACTCGAACATAGTTTCTTATCTGTTGATACACGGATATTATTCCATTTACAAAGTTCATTTTTGCAGTGAGCGTATTACTAATACAAACTTATTTGAGTGATTCCTGTTGAATGAAAAAAAGAGAAGACTTCTAAACAAATAAAATAACAATTCAAGCCTTATAACTAAACTAAATCTAAGAAAATCTTAACTTACAGATTTAAAACAATATTTGATAATGATTTTTAAGCCAACATTTGATAATGATTTAGCCTGCTAAATAACGGATAAGTTAATTATCAATGTTAGTAAAATGCTTTAACCCTGGTGAATTTCAGATGAGCAGAAAAATGATTACCGGGTTGAATGCTTGTGTGCTTACCATGAGGATCCCACGAAATCAAACAATCAAAGACTAAATCAAGTCTGTCTTTCAAACACCAAAGTGTTCTATCATAACCTTTCTTGCCAGGATGAAATGCACGTTCCAGTAAATTTATTTTGACAACTGGAGATAAAAAAACATTTGTAAATAAATGTATACAAATAATTTAATTTCAAGATAGAAATGTTTATGACTGAGGTATCCTGTGCCCTCATATGCTCTTAATGTAATATGTAGCATTTAATCTCTTTCCTATGGTATTGATTGGCAGTTCACATCCTCTGACTTCATAACTAATATTTTATATTTTCAACTTTCATCAGCTATTTCTTACTGCATAAAGTTGTATGGAAGCTTTCATCCGCTACTTCTTGCTGCATAAAGTTGTATGTAAACTTTCATCAGCTATTCTTTTTTAGTTTTTTAGTTGTTTTTTTTTATTACTGCATACAGTTATATGTAAAACTACAGATCTGGGTGTTGACCTATAAAATGTTTATGAGAACCATACAAAAATTGTTAATGTTTTTTTTTTAATTCTTAATTTTATACAATATAAATATTGCTGTAATTTGTAATGTATTATTTTCAGTTTGTTCATGGAAACAACAAAGAACAAACAACATCATTTTAATTTTTTTCTCTTCAGTTTTATAAATTTCTCAAGGTTCCAGCTTGAATAACACAACAAATAAAATACATATTCAGCCTCTAGGTATCAAAGCTTGAGGGGATACATCATAATGACTACACAGACATGCTTATAATTTTACCCAAAACTAATTATAGTTATTTTTTTTTCACTTTACAATGCTGTGTCTTTCCATTCCACTACATTGGAGCTAAAAAATGTTTATCTTATCTTTTGTATTTGTTTTACTGTTGTTTGTTCGCTGAAAAAGACGCCCTGCTTTCAGATTTCCCCATACTCTGCTTCACTCATTTCCTTCTACCTAACCTGACTGCATTCTCTCCCCATTATAATCTTGTGTCTTTTCAGCAGGCCAGTAGCATAACATAAAATTTTGTATGACAAAAGCATCGCTGCAGTTTTTAATCAGAAGTAATAACCCTGCATATCGAATGAAAGCCAGGCAAACATTACACTGGATTTATTTATTTGTTTATAAAAAATATCTTACCAAATGTTTTGTTCTGATGATGGATGTGATTCTGTTTTTCTGCTTCTAGCCCCAACTGTTCATATGTATCCTTGGTTAGTGTTAAAATCAGGATGCCTGAGAATAGCAGAGGAGAGGTTATTTATTTATTTAGGCATTTTTATATAGCGCTTATCATAAAGCTCTAAGCGCTTTTCAATTATTAAAACATGTAAACTAAGTAAATACAAATGAGACACTAGGATAGTAACTACTATTCTATAGAAACAATGAAAATGGCTATAAAACGAGGACACTTTGACACTTCAGGATCAACCCGAAACAGAAAATGAGGTAGGGCAAGGAGGGTGCATCACAGGTCATAGGCGGACCTAAACAGATGAGTTTTAAGGGACTTTTTGAAAATGGACGAGGTTTCACTATGACGTATATGGAAGGGGAGCTGGTTCCAGAACGTGGGCCCATGGAAGCAGAAGGAGCGTTCACCGATGGTCTTAGTTTTAGTTCTTGGGATTGAGAGGGTTCTACTGTCAATGGAAGAACGTAGTTGTCTTGTGGGGATGTAAGGAAGCAACAGTTCAGAGAGATAGACAGGAAAGTGAGGGTCAGTGAACGAGTTGAAGCAAAGATTGGCAGACTTGTATTTGATGCGAGAGGATATTGGAAGCCAGTGGAGTTGCCGCATGTGTGGTTGAATGTGGTCATGTTTCTTTGATTTAAAAATGAGTCTGCATGCTGAGTTCTGTGCCTTCTGAAGTTTTTCTATGTGGTGTTGAGGAATGCCTGAGAGAAGAATGTTACAGTAGTCAAATTTTGAAAGAATGAGTGAAGAGACGAGAGTTTTTGTGGCATCAAAGGAGAGGAGGTGTCTAATGGTGCTGATTTTTCTAATTTCGTTATATGCTGATCTGCATATATTCGTGACATGTTTGTCCATGGAGAGGGTGTCCGTAAGCGTGACTCCAAGGTTTCTGGCAGAGGGAGAGAGTGTGATGTCAGAGTTGCCAATAGATATAGAAGAAGGAGCGAATGGAGGGAGAGGTTTGTTTTGAGAGTGGATGAGAAGGATTTCCGTTTTATCATCATTTAGCTTCAGTTTGTTGCAAGTCATCCAACGCTTTACATCGTCCACGCACTCCTGTATGCGAAGGATTGTGGCATCAAGTTGATCAGGAAAGCAAGAGTCACTGATTTGAGTGTCATCAGCAAAGGATTGACTGGAAACTGAGTGGTGGCTAATGAGAGATGATAGAGGTTTAGTGTAGAGGATGAAAAGGACCGGCCCAAGGACCGATCCTTGAGGAACTCCAATAGACAGGGCTGAAGGTTTGGAAGAGCGGTTGGAAATAGAGACTTTTTGAGTTCTGTCAGAAAGATATGATTGAAACCAGTTTAAAGCTGAGCCAGTAAGTCCGAAAGAAAGATGAAGGCGGTCAAGAAGAATCTGGTGGTCAATGGTATCAAATGCAGCAGAGAGATCTAACAGAGTGAGAATAGAGAGTTTGCCATCGTCAAGGCGTTGTTCAGCGCTAGTAACCGTCTCCTTGGCAATAGCAAGAATTTCACCCTCCCTACTGACATTGCACCAGAGCAACTCCCTGACGCCTTTGCGGACTTTTTCATCACCAGGGTGCAAACGATCAGGGAGGAGCTAGACAGCGCGACCCCTACGTAGTTCCCCCAAAAAACCCACCTGTCTACAGGACCGTGCGTGACATAAACGCTATAGACAGAGCAGCCTTCAAAGCCAGCATTAAGACAATGCTTCAAGGGCTAGGTGCTGAGCTCAGCATCTGGACGATGGCCTCCGAGCACTTTTGGACGAGCACGCCCCTCCCATGGCGCGACGTGTCCCGACTGGTCGCTCGTCGCCATGGTATGCAGAGGTTAGGCATCATGAGCATTGCTAAGACTCAACTCCTAATACTTCCAATTAATGAACATTGTCGGTTTCATTTAAATCAATATTTCACTCAACATAGTGTTATTTGACCAATTAAATACAAATGTTTGAAAACGATGGGATAACTAAGTAGGTGGTACTGATTTAACTATTTAAATTTTGGATAAATATAAACGACTAGAAGAACAATTTGGTTTATACCTGATACTCTGATACAGCATCACCAAAAGAACATGTGGAAAAAAGACTTTGACTAAGATCATTATAATAAGCTCAACAGAGAGGGAGAGTACTCACCAGATGGCGTAAGGACAACTGTGTCATTTGTATGCAGCCTTCTATTGACTGACATTAAATGTATTGCACCTGGAAGATGAACAGAAGAAAGCTTAGAATTCATTCAGTATACATTTTTAACAGCAAAACTGTTTCTGGCTATTTGAGGGACATTGGCTTTATGCCTTGAGGGGTAAATTATCTACCAACTTTAAAAAATCCAAAAACATATTTTACCTCTTTTGACAAAGGCTTGGATAAATGGAATCTCAAGTAAATGATAAATAGGTAGTTTTTCTAATTTGTAGGACAGTTGATCTGTGAGACATTCCAATATTTGATTTGGCACTGTATTAACACCTGGCAATATCAATGTTACCTGTGGAAATTGATTTAAAAAATGCTTAAAAACTCAATTTTCATTCAAAATAAGTTAAGTATTAATCAAGTATTTTATATATTTTAAAGTTATAATTTAATAAAGATATAACAGAATGTAAAACAACATGTGGAGGTGCAATCCAAGTCCATAAAGGACAAACAAACTCACATTTTGATACATTTTTTACATTAGAACCCACACCGGTACAACATATGTTGTAAATTAAAGGCCACTAACAAGTTTTTAATCATGAACTTATCTCCCATTGTTGGTATCATGAGCAAAGTTCAAGCATATTCCAATAATTATTCAGTAATATTTTAATTTTAAGTGACCTTTAATAAGGAATTTAAATGGAAAAAAAACTGGGTTATTTCGTATTGTCATTTTGATGTGATAGTTTTCTTTACAGAGAAAACCTCATAAGTGCTAATTGATGGAAGACATCTCTGCATAGCCAACAAATCTTGCTATACATCGTGTAAGACGTCTGGAGGAACTTGATTATTCATTTCTTAGTTCTTGTGCAATTAATAATTTGTTATCTTGGTTTGAAATTCAAATATAGAAACTGAGAGAGAGTAGTCACACTGTCTGCGTCATCACTGAATTAATTAAGTATATATATATCATCCTAATCAAGCTGGTTAATTGATTAATATGGCTATGGCCCTATATGATTAAATAAAAAATTGTATGATACACCAAATTTTTTTTAAGTGGTCACGAATTTTAGCAATATCTGATCTCTTTGTTTGGAATTATTGGTTGAAATACTATCTATATTAATAAGTAATTTTTAAAATTAGGCTACTATCCACCACCAACACACAATAAAAAAAAACGAAGTGTCTACACGTCCGGCGCGCCGGACAAATAGTGCGCAAGATATTCGTCCGGCGGCATGTCACATGACCGTCGGACGGCTGGTGGTTTTAATAATTCCGAACGAAGTGCAGTTTGGTAGATCTTGTGTGGTCTACTGGTAGAGTGGTCGCTTGACGATATTATGATTTGAGGATCAATATCGGGAATAGGATCTTTTTTTTTTCTTCCCATTTTAATTAAAAATATTTTATACTATATTTATATTATCATGTTTATCAGCAACAGTAGTTTCATGAGAAGTTTTTAAATATTTTGTAGCAATTTAAACAATTTAAAATGAAATCTTTTACTTTTATTGGTTGCCTACTCCATCTGGCCCCTAATTTATTTTATGGATTACTGGTACACAAACTCAAATAACTAACTAAACAAAAATGTTTACAAGCCACTTGCACTTAAGTTTTTTTCTAGTATTTGCATTTAAGATACTCAGTACATTACTTGGTAGAGAAATAGATTTTAAAATTAATAATAGTTTTGAATCATTCGCAGTCAACGTGAAAAGGCTGACCAACAAGATATCTCTCACCACTTTGTTACGGCAGTCATACGACTTGGTCGCCGTACAAATAGTGCGGGAGATATATGTCCGGCGCGCCGGACGTGTAGACACTGCCTAAAAAAAAGAAAAAAAGTCAACTGACATTCATTGAGTGACACTCATACCCCTAATCACACTGACACTATGTGATAACTCCATAAGCCCTAAGTCATAAGAGATTTTCTCATCAATATTCGGTTACACATTCATAATCATACATTGTAAACACATCAAAACTAAACACTACACAATAAGTCAAACAAATAGCACACTTTCCTAGACTAGTAGTGTAGAGGTACACAATCCAACCTTCACACTCACAGACCAGACAACTGGCTAACATACTCAACGTCAACACAAGTCGAGACACTAGTACTAGTAACAAGAAACATAAAATCATGTCATGAATACATCACTAAACGAACACCCAAGACACATGCTAAAACACAACACATGATGCAGATGCACAACAATTACATGACCAATTTTTTTTTGTCAGGCAATATCCATAATCTAAAAATCAGACCGACTAGGACCTTACTAACTTACTTAACACTTGATTAAAATTAAACTAACTTACTTTTTAGTAGTTTTTATTGACTTACTTATTTTTTAGTCTAGTAACTTAGTAATAGTACTTAGTACTAACTTAACTTAGTAACTTACTCAAGACTTAAGTAAGTTTACTTAACTCCGCCGGTTAAATTATCAATATGGTTTAAAAAAATCTTGTAACATACACCAAAATTAAAAAAGTGGTCACGAATTTTAGCAACATCTCTTTGTTTGGAATCATTAGTTGAAAGTGTTTCATACTGTAACGTAGAACTCTTGATAGAATGTCGTATGGAGGCCGCCATCTTTTACCGGAAGTTTATGTTTTGAAGTACAGATGTAGTTCTGTTGCTTCTTAGCTATAATTGAAAAGGGACCCGAAAACGTTCCTTCCACGTACTGTTTAAAACAAGCAAAATAACCTACGCACCACGAATTGGGTGCAGAAATATAACTGCAATAAAATCATTGCTGAATTAAGTTGAACACTTATGTTTTTTTAATCCGTAATTTTTGATGGGGGTCAAAACCAGTATTATTTATATATTTTGTCAAAGCTGACACAAGGTCATGATGAGAACGAAATTTAGTTCGAGCTCTTAATTATTAAACCAATTAATGATCTTTTCACTTTCATTCTCCACCTTTAATTTAAATAAAAAATATGTGTATTTTGTGTGCCATTATTAAGAGAAGAAAAATTTTTTTTTTTAAAAAAACGTGTCTTTTCTTGTAGGCGGCATGGGTCCATTAAAACATAGAAACGTGCTGCACAGTTCCAAACATTACAAGTGACCGATAGCCAAGGAATGTTGAATTTTGGGATTCTTGGAAGCGTATTTAATTGGGGAATTAAATTCACAAAATCGTATTGTCACGGGTTGGCCAATTTCTAAAAAGAAATTCGATTTAAAAATTGTTGTTAATAATGCGCAATTTGATGGTGTGAATGTTTTGTTTGTTACTACAGCACCAAACAGCACAATAGTTGCGTTTTATGAATTCTGGTGCCTACTTACTAAAAAAGCTTTTGACTGCTGTAAAATTCAGAAAGTTTATAATTTATGATCTAATACATAACTAAACTATTATTAGTATTATCATAAAAGCATGGATCAGTCTGAAAGGGATTCGATTGAGAACAACAAAGACAACCAGTTGAGGCAAACAGACACAAGAGTAAAGGTTATAGTATATTAGAACGGTCTGTCGCGCGAAAATAATCCATAACAATACCAAAGATTCACGCATTTTTAGACCTGAAAATGAATGTAGATAAGTTATGAGTAAGGTGGAGCGAAAGCTGGCTATTAAAAAGCAGACATCTTCAATCTTATTTTTGTGAAGAAGTTGGGTCAAAATGTAAAAAGCTACACACAGAAATTCACTGGCTCCTGACGAGGTCGGCTGCATGTATTCGAATTGAGGAAAATTATTCTTCCTTTCTTAAAGGAAAGAAAGCAATATCGTATTTGCTTTATATAATGATATAAATATAATCTAAAACAAACTTTGGTGCAAAAATTTGGCATGTCTTGATCTTGTTGACATATTTGAATATTCCGAAACAGTGAACACTAGCGTACAAGGAAAAGGATAGAATAACAATTGGAAATTGAAAGAAGAAAATGTGAAATTTTTTATTTCAAAGCAGCTGATTGCAAACTCAACTGTGATAACTGCTCGCTAATATTGAACGTTTGACATTGCTCTAAAATAAAGTTAATTCTTGCTTCCCAAAATAATAAAATTCAAGACTATATTGATTGGATGAGTAATCCATTTCTTTCAACTAAATGATGAGCTTTTCACTTACGGAAGAAGAATAATGACAATGAACAGAAAAAACAAAATATTGGTAAAAAAAGGGGAGGAGGGGTGTTCAGGTCTAAAAGATGGAAGACGGCATAGCTTTTTGTGTGCGCATAGCTTTTTGTGTGCCCATGGGGGCAGCATAAATCTTGGCCTGTCCCAGGTGGCACTAACACTAGTTACACCACTGAAATTGAATGGAATCCGTTAATAATATAAGTATATGAAGTGGGCGATTTAGCTGTTGGATTTGCATTTCAAAATTGCATCCAAGATATATTTTAAAGGTTTCATCAAGATATTTTGCGCCATCATACATTGCCTTAGTATAAAAACTTGGGAATACCTGATCTAGGCTAACAGTCAAGAATATTGAAAAATGCCTGTGAACCTTAGTTTGGGGGAGGGAGGATGGTTTGTCATCATCAAATGTGAACCTTTTTTTTTCAATTAATTAAGCAAGCCTTTAAAAAGATGAGCCAACACTGTTTTGGTTATTTGGAAAGCAATTTTATTTCATGAGTTACCAACATGTTCAAGATATGAGATGATTGATCCCTTTTGAGACATATTATAACATGCTCACAAGAGATCAAATTCATTTAGACCTAACATTAATTTTAGTCATGTCAGTTGTTTTTTTTTAATCTAAAGCTGCTCAAATTAAAAGCATGAAAGTACATCAACCTCATGACATAAATTTTTAAAGATTTTTAAAAAATGTATACCACAAAAAGCTTATAGATTTCAATTAAACCGCACAAGTATTAATAATCATGATAACCTTCATAATCATAGATGACATTTCAAATAATGATGTCTAGCACAGTGTGTTTATAATTATAATTGTTAATCAGCTTTTTTATTACAGGCATCTTCTGCCCTACTGACAGTAAAATTTCAGATATTTTAAAACACTAAGTCTTTTAGTTCACACTAGGTTTTGTAAATGAAAAAAAATATGCTAGGAGTCCTCTATAATATTATAGGGTTACCAGCTTATAAAAAATTGTGAGATGAGGAAAAAATCAAGGTGGGGGATGTGCAGGATAGAAACCTGTCATGTTGTTTACGCTATACTTTACTATAAGCCATTATTTTGCTCGATACCAAGTAGTGAAAAATTCTATATTACCTCTTTTTTTATTACCGGCATGTAATTATAAATTTACCTTAGATGTTGTTGTTATTTACTGTGACTTCGTTCACCAAATTTGGTTGCAGTTTTGTTCTCAAAACAAGAATAGAAGTAAACATTTAAATTGCTTTATTTTTAAAATAAAGAATTAGTTTAAATTTAAATGAATGTTTTATTTATCAAGACTTGTGTCGGAAGACCTATTTTAAAAATGATAAACTCCAAAGTGCAGAGTTTTGATGGTGATTCAAATATTTCAGATCTCAAGTGACAAAATCTATAGACTTTTAATGCTTGAATAAATTGCTTAAACATTATGGCAATGTATGCAGCCATGGCACTTAAGGTATTTATTACTGAGTAAATAAATGAAAGCCAGTTTTATTATTTTTTGGAAAGGTAGGTGGTGTCACATAAAAATATATAGGATTCAAATGGACAGGGACATAAGAATGGAATTTTTGGAATAAGTAATATATTATGGCTAACCTTTTATGTAGCACGATTAACAATATGAAGCTATTTTAGTCTAACGATTTTTATTAAGTTTTTAAAAAATTTAGCAATGCCCTTGAAAATGTGAAAAAAAAGAAGATGTGTTAAAATGTTTATGATTAGATTGCTAAAGCATCTGAACTAATCTCATGGCTTAGTTGTGTCTGGAGGTCACTAAGTTTCTTTTTCAAAACACTAAGACTGGAGAAGAGGATGGTCTCTGGTTTCAAGGTCCCAATGGATTCAACATTGAAGTAGAACTTGTTTGGTTTTCCCATCAGATCGAAAGGGGCCTCAGCTGTTAGGCGATAAATAGAGACCACTGTAAAATGTTTTCAACTCTAAGCACTGTACTGTAAGGCAATTATAAAGATTTAAAAAATAACAAAATACATTTAATTTAAATTGCAATAATATATATATTTTTGTTTATGCTGTCTTTCAAAAATATCCATTTATAATTAGTTTTTTTACACCCAGGTAGTCAAGATTAATGCATGTACTGACATAAAAATAAATGAAACATCACTGAACTATCACTGAACATTTTAATAATTCTTCTATCCTTACTCTGGTCTTCTGTGAGTTCTGTATATTCACTTTTTGGCCTGTTGAGTTGAAAATAATAAAGAAATGAAATATTTGATCTTTAAAGTGTGTAATATATCTTTTTAATAAGAAACAATTTATTCAAATTTTCTAATAAAAAAAATATTATGCATATTTTTTCACAAGATGCATATAAGAACATAATAAATAAATTAATAATAGATATAATATTATTCAGTATTTTCTACTTGACTGAAAGGCAGCAAAAATTAGCCTTCAAATCTTAGTTGTTTAACTAGAGTTCAGATTAATTTTACATAAACGTAGGTACTTTATTCCTCAAGTTCTTATCTCATAAATATACTTAGGAAATTTTTACACGTTTTCAAAAATAATATACTAAAATCACACATGGACCAAAAAAAGCAAAAATCACTCCATATGCTTCTGAGATATACAACTCAACAATGATATCTAAAGAATAAAATGATGAGGAAGAATTAAGATCACAGAAGGTAAATGAAATAAAATATTAACCATTTGTCTAACTAAACCAACTCTAGATCAGCGTTCCCCAAATGGTGGTTCGTGGACTGGCACCAGTCTGAGGTTTACATTCCACCTGTCCGCCAAACTTTAAAGCTTTGGAAATGCTGTTCTAAATGACATCTGCTGATGCAACTCACCATTCCTCAGGTTTTGGGTAGGTTGTGTGTCTCAATGCATTGTCAGGGTCATATTCAAATGATACACCAGCTGTTGGATTCCATTTGGCATGTTCTTTGGCAAAGCCTTTTCTGGCATATGCTCTGATTTTCAGTTCTTGACCTTTCCGCAGCTTAGCAATAAGAATATCTGGGGGGAAAGAGTCATAGTGAAACCAACATTGAATGATTTGTGAACAGACTGGATGCCAAACTCGAAAAGATTCTGTGACAATTCTGGCTTTTAATAGCATGAGATTAGTATTCTAAAATTTAAGATAGAGATATCACAATAATTCTTAATAACTTTAATAACTGATAGTTACTGCTGGATTTAAAACAAATAAATTTAAAATTAAAACCAGCTGAAAGATATTAAGATTAATGCAACGCCTCATAAACGTATTTATTGCTGTTTAAAATGTATTATTTTAAAATGAAAGTAACGTCCGCATGTTATTTATATTGTAATATAAATGTGTAATCGTATAAATTGTGATCCAGAGAAAAGGTGCCCCTCAAATTTCAATCAGGAAATCCATTAATTAAAGATAGAGAAGTAATCAAACTTAATTTGTCAATTCTGTCTGTCCCCATCATTATTGGTGACCAAGATCAGTTTTTACTGGAACAAACGTATGAGAAGACAAACACACACTAACCATCAGTTTCCTCATATTCACTAGCTTCTTGTCGGGATCTGGATGTCACCTACAAAATTAAGCAACATTATCACAATTTAAAATAATAATATTTTTGAAGAAAAATTATTTTTTTAAAAATGTTGCCACAATTTAGATGAAGAAAGAAGTAAAAACTAGGGTTTCTCATTTCACGGGGGTTTTGCTTATCCTGGGAAAATGGGAATAACGTTTTCCTCATCCCGGGAAATCCCAGGATAAAATTAATATAATTAAAAATACATTATAAACTAAATTAAACAATATGATGAGTTGATTTTTATATTTGTTTTTTACATTTTTATGGTCTATTATTATGAATGAAAAACAATGTTAAGGTTAATTGAGAGGTTGGTCACTTGCTACTAGGTTTTTCAATTTCCACTGCTTGTCCCTAGTAATGGATAATGAGCTAAAAATATGCTTGTTAAAAAAACTTTGTCAGTAGAAAAAAACAGAGTTTTGCATTCTTTACAGGTGGCTAATTCTAGTTTCAAATAAGCCTCTAAATATTTACAAGAATATGTTTCTAACAACTTGTAACATAAGGTTCGTTTCCAATTAAAAACAAATAGGAATGTTGATATATGAATATGTACATGTCTTACTAGATTGCTTTTGAGAACAAAAACTACATAATGTAAAGGTAGTTTGACAAATGAACACCTAGGAAAAAATTTGTAACAATCTGTTTAGCTGAAATTTAAAAAAAAAAAAAAACAAAAAAAAATGAATTCAAATTTCCCTTACCCAGAATTTAAACAAAAACTAAATAATGTAAAGGTAGTTTGACAAATGAACACCTAGGAAAAAATTTGTAACAATCTGTTTAGCTGAAATTTAAAAAAAAAAAAAAACCAAGAAAAATGAATTCAAACAGCGCTTACCCAGAATTTCCCGGAATGGGACAATTTTGTGGGATTTTGGGAGACAAACCCAAGTACAAACCACTAATTATATTTCACATAAAAATATATATATAATGATTTTGCTGTCTATTTAACCCCTGAACTGATTTGTACATAAAGGGACAGTGTAATCGGGAGGTTGAAGAAGTTAATGCCATCCTCGTATTGAACATTATACTAAGTAATTTATTAATTTTTAACATTAAGGGATGGGGGGTGGAGTTTTTATTTATTTAAAGGGAGGGAGTCGCAGGGGTTGTATATATGACTTTGATTGTCAAAAACTGATCATTTAAATTTGTTTGATGTCACAGCCAACTGAACAGTGGGGCGATTCACTGATTCAACGTATTGAGCGTCCAACATGCGCCTGTTTGAGGTACTTTAATCCTATCAGCAGAAGGGTAACAACTCAATTTAGTAATGCGTGCCCATCACTGTTACACTTGTGCAGGAGTGTGGTGCTGTCCTGCATACCACTGGCCAATATTGATAAGGCAAGTTAAACTAAATTTGTTGATATAGAAATAGGTAGTGCCTTACCATGTGATGAAGCAAGACATGACGACCCGAGAGAAATAAATATTTTATTTGTGGAGTGACTTGAGTGAATTAATTGATACAACATTAAAATTTGCTAAGAAACTTTGTGTTCAAAGTTATTTAAGATTTTAAAAATGTATTTACTATCAATGGAATAGTTTTCATCTACCACATGTGTATTTTTTTTATTTGAACCAGGTGCCAACTCTACTGCCAGTCCCACTAATGCTAGCTGGAAACATATGCAGATTGAACCTGGATGATTTTAGAATAAACCCTCTAAAAGTTCAAGCGCAAGACATTCTTAGCAATCGCTACCAGGCTGAATTTAAAATAACTAAATGTGATGTTATTCTTGAGGTTAACATGAGCATGGACAATCATGGAAAAGGTATTTCAATAAAGTGGACATTTAAGTACACTACATTATTTAAAGCCAATTTAAAGGGCATTTTTAGCAATTTTGCTTAGTTTTGCCACATTTGCTTTTTGTATTACTAGCCATTAGTATCATTTTATATTATTTTTTCCCCCAATCCTTCACCTGCATATCAAAATTTTACCTGCCAACTACTCCTATGTCAATGAAATAATCAATGAACTTTATCTTATGTTTGTATTTTTTAATTTTTTTAAGCAAAGAATATAGGCACTGTCCTTTGCCTATTTCACTTTTCCAAAAAGTTAAAGTAATGCATTGCCATTTATTCAGGTCATTGAAATTTATTTTCAAGTAAAAAAATTAAAATTTTCATGGAATATTCCCCTGGAAAATTTGGGCCATAAGTGACACTTAAGTTGACAGGATAGGCGGGCAGGTATTTTTAAAAAAAAGAGATGATCTTAAGTTAGCCCACTAGCACTAGTAATTTAGAACCCAGGCGGACTAATTAGGTCTCGAATGCGCAAAATAAAACTTATTTTCCTACATTAAATTGTATATTTGATTTGATGCAATGAATAGTTTTGATTTACCAACCTCCATCTTGCAAGAAAAAAGTAAAAATAATTAATCAGCTAACTGCAATTTAGATTTCAATATACTACTTTGTCAAGCTCTTTTACACCACTAAATTTTGATAAATACAAAAATTTACATTGTAGCCAATGGATGCAATCAACCCAATTTTTTATCAAGTTTTGAAGACAGTGGAGCCTGGATTTTTATCTATGAGCCCGTCATATCACTTGCAGAAGTGATAACCACATTAAGGCGTGTTGGTCAGGCTATGCCAACAGAATTTATTTGGAAGGTAAATGATTACATTTCCATAAGAATGTACTTAGAAATCAATTTAGTGCAGAAGCCTTTAGGTTATGAGTCAAAGATTTAATGTACATGATTAAAGCATAAATATTAAATGATATTTGAAATAATTTTCAAAAATTCTTGTACGAAGCAAAGATTCCTAAAAAAATGTTTTGTTTTGTCCCAACACTTTTTAAGGTTCTAGAATGTGTATCACAACACATTTTATCCCATTCAAAATGTTGTGATTGGCTGCCTAATGCTGATAAGGTGAAGGTCACAAGAAATCGGTCTAAGATTTATATAGAGAGTCAGTGCACAGACTTTGATACACTTAAGACGTCCAACAATCCACCACCAGAGTTATCCACATCCTACATCCTCCAACCTGAGAAGGCATTCATCTGGTCATTGGGTATATTTGTTTGTCATTTGCAATGTAAATTAGTGACTTAAATTGAAAAAAAGTACCGCAGCAAGCTTAGCCACTGCTTGACAATGATTTCATTATTCTTAAAGCTTTAAAAAAGAATCTTGATGTAATAAAAAGAACTACAAAAAAAAAAAAAGATATTTTCTCGCAGTCAGTTAAAAAAACATATGTATACAAATTTTTACCAAAATTCTGTTCATTCAACCTTCATAATGTACCAAGATGAAAATAACGGTATTGATTTTTTAAAATATATATCTATTTAGCTAAACAGTTCTCGATTTCATCTATTTCCACAGGTATAATGTTACAGGATATATTATCCCTGATGCCCACAAAGACCATTAGGAGCAGATCTGTCAGACCAATGCAGAATGTGGCATACTGCTCACATAAAGAAGAATGGGGACCGCAAAAACATTTACTCACTGATTTAATGCAGAAATGCCTTCTCAGTGAACCAGATTTAAGGCCATCAGCTAAAGACATTTTAAATTTGTGTAGGCAGTACACTTCAACAAATCAAAATAATATCCATCAAGAAAAAGTGACAGATATAAGATAAATACATTTAACAGCTGAGTTTTTAAAAAAAATTAAGAAAATACAAAAGTATTAAAAAAACAGCCAGGCCAATAAATTTCGGAATGAATGTTTTTAAAACCAAATTTATTCAATTAAGAAGTGCCTTATCTAATAGAAATATCATTAAAACATCCTCATTACCAAAAAGAGAAAAGAAGAAAAATAAAAAGAAGAAAGCAATATTGTAAAACTCACTGGTATGACTTTAGGGTTACTGGGAACAAGGTCAGCACTGGTGACATGACGGGTCTGATCATCAGTACATTTTACATCTAATGTGAACTCCACTGCACAATCATTACAGAATTCTTCACAAGTGCAGTCCTGAATACATATAAGAAATTTCAAAATGCAGTGAAGCTTTTTAAATACACACAAACAATTAAGTTGAAACTTTTTAACAAAGAAATTATAACATTTTTAAAAGACTGAAGAGAAGGTGTAAAAAAAAAAAGTGAAGCATGATGCAATAAATAATTTAAAATATAATTTAGTATTTTGTTAATATGTATTAGAAATGTTTCAGGCCCTTAGATTGCGGAATAAGTGAGGTGGACAATTATTTTTGAATTCTTTTCAATGGTTTTCAAATATTGTAAATATAAAAAAAAATTGTTCACATCATATTTGATCAATTTGTTTTTTAATTCTGCTATTTTTTTAATTATATCACTTAGGAAAAAAATGCATTGATTTCTAATTCTTGCACTGACCCTTGAATATTGCATTCTTTCTACAACATCTTCACTTGTCAAGGGAATTAACCCCAGCCTATGGGAAATAAACTCATCAAATAAAACCGTTGAATTGGCTTCAATCTGGACCCAGTCAATGGCTGAAGAATAATAAAATTTACAAATATAATTAGTTGACAAAATATACAATTCAAAGCATAAAATATGAAATTAATAAATACATAGGAGCTAAAATATTGATTTTACACACACACATACAAAAGAGAAAAAAAAAGATATTCTCACAAATTTCAATCAATGACTAAAATGTAGTGATGATTATTTTACAAAATTGCGTTTAAAAAAAAAAATAATTAATAATCACTATTTGCACAAATTAAATAATACTTTTTTTTCAATAACAGTAGAACTAGAATATTTGTTATCTGAATGTCAATCAACCAAACATCATCTTGTGTCAATTATTTAGTCTACAGGTAAAGATAATGAGCATATAATAAGTTTTGTTTTTTCAATGGTGTAAGTGGTTTACAAGTTTAAAAACTTGATATAATTCTTTTTATGTGTAACGTTAAAACATTTTCAACATTATGTTTTTTTTAAAAGTCTAAATGAAGAGGTACATTTTCTCATTTGAGTAATTAAAAAAAAAAATGTAATGCTTTGAGTATGATTGAAGTACTATAATTAATGTAATAGTAGAGAAAAAAAAATCATGCAAAATTTAACTTGAATTTCTCTTGTGATATAATTAATCAAATTGCCTAGTTGAATTCTATATATTTCAATATTTGTGACTTTAAAGATATTTAAGTTCTCCTCAAATCATTTAGGATACCGGTAGAGTGACTTTAATTTACTCATTCTAGCAGGACATTTATTATACCCATGCTTAGAATTTATATTTAAAAATTATAAAAAGAATTGGCTACATTTTTAGCATTCCCAAAACCAATTTAAAAACATCAAGTGTTGATAAAAAAAAATATTTTGAAAAATATCTTCAACTATTTTAAAACACTGTACAATAACTTTTGGCATTCCTTCGAACGCTGGTCCCAAATTCAAAACACTAGTAAAATGCAATAATGTTTTACCAAGTTCATGGTCAAATGTGATAACAGGCGCTAAACAACTTCAAGTACCAGTTCTGTCAGAAAACGTGTTTTTTTTATGTTTAAGTACTACAGGAAAGCTTGGAAACTGGCCATGGCATGTTCCACCATGTTAAACTTGAAACCATTCTAACACTCATTTCAGTAAAAGTTTTTGTAGTTTATAATGGTGTCCCAACTTTCATTGCTTCTGAAAAGCATAACATGCTTGCATTTCACTTCGTAAACCCAATAGAATATCATCATGACAATTTTCTGTGTGCTAAGCCCACAGTTTACAAAAAATGACCCAGTGTGTATTCTGCATGTCGTATTGCATGGATGGCCTTTCCATCAGTCATCGGGTGACTTGGCACATTGGACTAAAGGCATGGGACAAGGACAGCTATGAGATGGTGTTCAGCAAGCCACTCTAACCAAAGCATGCTGTCATATAGTGCCTTTGGCATTGTGTCATAAGTTTGCAGAATGTTTCCTGGCAAAACATTATTTGAAAAATGAACTGGCGTTTGCGGTCTGCTGGCCATAGTATTGTTTATTTTATATTATTAAAAGCAAGACAACTCCATTCATTCAGAATCGAAGACATAAACAATTACATCAAACATTATTGGGTGGACTGGCACTTTCTAAAAAAAGGTTTAATATTTGACATTTGGGACCGGAATTTGGAGGATTGCCTAAATTTTAAACAAGCACCCTGTTTTTTTTAATGTTTTTTTTTAATAGTATTTCATTTAAAATTGCTTAAATCTACAGAAATGTACCTATTGTTGGCACTTCCGATATGCATACTCGTCTAATTGCATTGGAGACACTGTGGATAGAAGTTTTGAAAAGTTTGTTTTATTATTTCTTCCTAATAATAAAAATAAATGGTTTGTTAAAGACAAGTACTATAACAAATGACAAACTCAGTACTGTAAACTCGGTAGATCAACTACTAAGACACCATTGTAAAATTAAGACCTATTACTATTATTTTTTTTCATTGAATTAAGCCTAATGTTATTTTGAGGTCATCTATAAATGACATTAAGATATTTTTGAAGATTTTTAAACCCTCCCTCCTCATCACAAACTAATGAAAAGTTGTTTATTGATGGCTTTTGAGTAATATTACTACTACTAACAACTACTATTTATAATTAGTCTCATAACATAATTATTTTACTTAATTATTTATATTTTTCTTTAAGCCTAATACTAGATACTTCTGTAAAAAAAATAAAAATGATAAAAATATTACAGTTTTATAAAGCAAACTTCAAATTAAAAAAATGAAACCAGAATAACGTTCTAGATTTAGTACTTTTTGAGCTCTGAGTTTTTAAATGAGAGTATGTGTGGACTGCACCTCCACATTTTTTGACCCAATTCCACTGATCGTGTAACTCTTGTTTAACTAGTCATTTTATAAAACTTTTAGTTTAGGAATAATGCTAGGTATTAAAAGTTCTAATATTAAATTAAATTCAACACTATCTTCCAATTATAAATATATTTTTAACTTATCTAGCTATCTAATGTTATCATTGATTTTAATAAAGATGAGATGGATGTACTGTTCACTATGTCTAAGTCTAAGGCTTTATATTTTAAACGGCAAATATGTAAGGCAAATAAGAAATAAAAATAATACTGTTTTGGGACTAATTATTTTGAACTTTCAACTTTGCCCATGACTAATTAATTAAAGCTTTCCCTGACCAATGATTTAATAGTGTTTGCACATGGCAATCTCCTAATAATGAAACTATGAGAATAATACTATAATAGTATAGAACATGCAAGTGACTGTGAATCGTTGCCCATGACCACGTTTTGCACAAGGCAATTTATGATGATTTATAATATAGACTCTATCTGAGTTTCAAATTCAAATTAAAGTATTCTTGTTTATATTTATATGCCTTATAAGTTCACTCTAAAACAGTAGTTATCAAATATTTTGATGTGAATAAATAATGGCAGTAATTGAATATTTACTAAGTATTAGCATGTCATTAAAAAGGGGGAGTGGTCAATATTGGGTGACCTTACGATAATGCAGGTTACTTAGACGAACAATTTATGGCTGACATGTCCTACCTCAATGAGAACTGGCACACATATACATCAATATATCATGCAGTGGACGATTTAATATTAATACAAAAGACATAATTATATTTTGAGCTTCTTCAAAAAATTTTGTATTAATTTCTAATATTGGGCTGGGGTCGATTGAAAAGGTAAAAAATTCGAAATGTCTACACGTCCGGCGCGCTGGACAAATAGTGCGCAAGATATACGTCCGGCGGTATGTCACGCTATAATTCCGAACGAAGTACAGTTTGGTAGATCTTGTGTGGTTTAGTGGTAGAGTGGTCGCTTGACGATATTATGATTTGAGGATCATTACCAGGGATAGGATCGTTGTTTTTTTCTCCCATTTTAATGTAAAATATTTTATACTATATTTATATTATCATGTTCATCAGCAACAGTAGTTTCATGAGAAGTTTTTAAATATTTTGTAACGATTGAAAATGAAATCTTTTACTTTTATTGGTTGCCTACTCCACACTGGCCCCTAATTTATTTTATGGATTACTGGTGCACAAACTCAAATAACAAACTAAACAAAAATGTTTACAAGCCACTTTCACTTAAGTTTTTTTCTATTATTTGCATTCAAGATACTCAGTACATTACTTGGTAGAGAAATAGATTTTAAAATTAACAATAGTTTTGAATCATTCGCAGTCACGTAACAACACCAGGAACAGAAACATTGCAAATCCCATCTACATGCATAGGAGCCAAAATGATCAATAAATTGATCGTGGGCCCTTAAGATATAGAAGAAGAAGGCTACCCGACAAGATATCTCTCGCCACTTTGTTACGGCGGTCATGTGACTTGGTCGCCGGACAAATAGTGCGGGAGATGATGTCCGGCGCGCTGGACGTGTAGACACTGCCTAAAAAATTACAATGGAAATGTAGGCAAAGATGTCCACTAATGTAAACATGCTGACAATGTGGATGAATATCACAATTTTATGATAAAATACTGAAATAGTCCTTTCATCAATAAAAAGCACCAACAAAAACTCAGATTATTCTTCTGTGCCGATTCCCATAAAATTTTGAAGAAGATACCCTTTCTTTACCTACACTACACTAATATTTGTAATAATAATATTAATAATAATTAATAAGACTAAAAATAGTTTGTAAAAGTGACTAACAATACTAACACTAACAACTACAACTTAAATCTAGCCCTACACTGAGACCTACACACACAATCACAAACTAAACTCAACTAACTGAGGTTGACTGACTACTGGTAACTCAGTCTACTCTTGAGTTTAATTTTCAAAGTATTTATTTATTATTAGGTCTAGTTGACATCAGTACGGTATCAGTATTTAAAAGTAGAAAATAATTTTAAAAACTTAGAATTAGATAGAAGACAGTCTATCGGATCTGATAGTAATGAATTTAATAAGTAATTAGTAATAGTTAAATTAGCCTAGGCCTAGGCCTAGGACTAGGAAAGTCGCGGTTGTGTCTCGTGAACTGAAGTGTCTGTAACTAGTTCAGTTTGCTATTTGTATTAGTAGATACATAACTTTAAATTTTCCCTTAAATGTATGAGTTAATTTACCTGAGATCGGTGTCTTCAATTATAAATTTAATATTTTCGTCGGTTAATTGAGAAAGTGTTACAGTTGGTTGATTAGCGTAAGGCATTTTATGATTTTCTATTGCCTGAATGAAAATATTGTTTCAAGAACGCTTACTCTGGCTCCTGAACCGGGACATCGCTTTAGAAATAGCCTTTTTATTTTAATTAATTAATAGTTATTGAAGTATACATTTTGCTGACTTTATTTTTAATTGAATAGTTTTATCTGTTAAACTTATAATTTTAAACTATTTCTATAGTTAAAAATAAATGTTAAGTTATAAAAAGGTCAAATAAAAATTATATATTTTATTTTAATATAAAGCGCAAGCTTAAAATAGATATACACCGTTTTACAGTAAACGATGAAAACGAAAACGGGGGATAATGCTTGAACAACATGTCTTCTTTCTCTGAGACTAATTTAGTGAAAAAGTTTACTGAATTGAATAATACCCAACAAAGTATACAGACTCTTTCTCTATGGCTCATTCACCACAAAAAGCATTCGAAAACTATTGTTCAAATTTGGTATCGGGAGTTGGAGAAATGTAAGTCCTTCACTTTGTGACTTGTCTCACTTGTGCCTTGTACTGCAATACATAATCATAATACAGTCTAGTCTACAGTTGTACTTGTTTAATTTTGTATTCGTAAAATTCTCAAATCGGTTAGTAGAAAGGGTTGCCTGATACAATTCTCAATTTCTGTTTTAACAACTTGGTAAGTAAGGCCTTAGTTAAACTCCCATATATACTATACTATACTATACTATGGGCATGGGGATCATTGAATCAACCACACAGTGATCAGTATCACTATCACACAGTTACATCAGTTAGGCCTACTTCAGTTACACAGCGTCTGTTATTCACAAATTAAGTCTAATTGAGTTTTCCCGGGAAAATTATTGATAAGATAAAATTTTATTGATCCAAATAAAAAATTGAAATATTTTTTTATGAAATTTTACATATTTATTAACATATTCATCTCTAGTCTATGCACTCCTGTAAAGTTATCGCATGTCGTTCTGGCACTTCAACAAGAAAACAGTTCCAACTCTCGCTTTCTCCATCCCTGTGGCGCTACAGCTCAAGTAGGGCTTAGGCATGTCTCACCACTTCCTTCCATTTTGACCTATCTGATTGCTTTCTTTGATACCAAAAACCAATTGGCCATCTCTTCACTGTCAATGTTGGTATTTTCGGTAAAATAGCACTTCAGACCCAAAAAAAATGATTTTTGAATGGCCAACGATGAAGTGGTAGATAAATAACATGATTATTATCATTCTTCATGGCTTGCCATTTGGAAAACTAAGACTAAGTAAGCTAAGTAAATGTTAATTTAAATGCAGTGCCAGACTTATATTAACTCATAATACTGGTAGTAGTTTAAAAAAGCTAACGAATTCTGGCCTTTGTGAAAATCAAGCTTGCATGATAAGATCTCAGGCTGAAAATTGTGTCATCCCCTTGCAACCAATTAATTTCTTTTTAATCATATTCTGTTGTTTTTTTGTACTTTACATTAGTATTAGTATTGTTTTTCAAAGCCATTGTAGTGTTTTGAGCTAGATAATTCTAAAGGATAACCAAGTGATAGATAACATTTTTATAGGTCTCAACATGATTAAATCTTTTTTCTAATGCAAATTCTAAAACTTATAAACTCACAAAAGTTACTAAACTTTTTTGATTTAACTATTCATCATTCTTATGGCTTTAAGTAGACTGAATTTGTAAAATTATTTATCACAATTTCTACAGCCAAACCGAGCAAACGCTTGACATTTGTCTACCTCGCTAATGATGTGATACAAAACAGCAAAAAGAAAGGCCCAGAGTTTAGCAAAGATTTCGCTCACATTCTTCCAGATGCTTTCACTCAAGCTGCCAAGTAAGTAGGCTATGTAAGTAGGCTATGTGAGTGGGCAAAGAAAGTAGGCTAAGTGAGTGGGCAAAGTAAGTAGGCTAAGTAAGGCTTTGTAAGTAAGCTAAGTAAGCTGGCTTAGAAAGTAGGCTATATAAGTAAGCTAAGTAATAGACTAAGTGAGTGGGAAAAGTAAGTTGGCCAAGAAAGTAGGCCATGCAAGTAGGCTACGTAAATCAGCAAAGTTAGTACTTAACTGAGTGCACTAAGTAAGTAGGCTTTGTAAGTAGGTTAAGTAAGTATGCCATTTAAGTAGGCTATGTAAATAAGCTAAGTTAGTATCTAAGTGAGTGGGCTAAGAAAGTATGCTATGTTAGTAGGCTAAGTAAGTAGGCTATGCCCTTGGTCTGGTAAAAGAAAACTCAGTTTTTATAATGCTACTTTGTTTCTACTCTGAGACAGAGAGAGAGAGGGACATTGTGTTCTGAGAACAATTCAGTTTTTAATTACAAATAATTTGTTTTTTCTTGTTTTGCATTTGCTGAAGAAGGGATTTAGGAGAGAGTCCTTTTAATTGTTCTTCCTTTTTTTCAAGACTAAACAAATTTTTTTCCACTATTTATTTACTTTATTTATTTACTCCACACTGCTTGAACCCATAGCTTGTAAAAATAGAATTTATATTCTTTTTAATATTAAAATGAAATAAGTTTCAGTTCCTTTAGATACTTCTAACATAAGCAATAAGGCACTTAATCCGAATAGTGAATCACAACAATCAGCTGTTCTCACATTGTTGTGTGGCTGAGTACCTGAGGTTAAAGAGCGTGCATTGAGAAACTTAAGTTTTTATTTGGTGTAATATCATAAAAGATAACTAAAATTTCCATATTACTTAAGTTTCCTTTCATTAATATAGAAAAGGGTTAGTGGGTTGGAATAAGCTATGTATTGTGTGATTATGCTAGCCATTTTGAAATTAGGAAACAAAGAGTACAGGAGATTTCCAAAACTGACTTAACTATGCTTCATATTATACATTTCTTGCCTGTGTCAGATACAAATATCTTAACGTAAGTTAGTTCTTCCATCTTTTACTTTCATTTGGAACTCAGGGGCATTAACAGTGGAGTTGGCATTAATTGTGTGCTCCACTCCTGATACTGTTTCTCGAACTTCTATTCCAGCGTTTCTCAAATGCCTGCAAACGCCATTCTATTCCATTTTTTGCAGGGAACATTTTATAATTATATCTTTTAAAAGTTAAAAGCCTTCTGTTGATATAATTGTCAAATTTGCTGTGACATATTTCAGCCTAGTGGAGTGATGGTTCAAATTGACAAATAAATATTCAGTTACAGAGTTTGAATTTGCTCATGCATTTAAATGCATTGGCTTATCTCTCACCTCTTCCTTCCACTCAGACCTAACTAATGTCTTTCTTTTCCATGCTTGGACTTTCAGCTGCTGTAGATCTTTTTCAACGTCATCTATCCACCTAAGCCTAGGTCTGCCTCTAATGTATAACAACTCATCTAAATTTTACCTTCTTTATGTGATCTTTATGAATGTAAATTTTCTGGGAAAAAAAACAGTCTAGGTAAATAACAAAATAGCACATTGCCTGAAGTTGTCATCATTATATTTTTTTTTCTCACTGCCGAGTATTTGACTACAAAAGGATCTCTAGCCAGATTTTTCTACCTTCCAGCATCCTTTATGGACACTATAATTTTTCATGCTCTAAGGGTGCTTGAGACATGAGCAAACTGTTGCAACCCTTTTTTTAAATCATCTTTTCTATTATTATACGAATATGTAAATAAAAGTTTCATATAAATTTTCAGAGAGGCTGATGATAAAATGAAAGCTTCTCTGGTGCGAGTCATTAATATTTGGAAGGACCGTGGTGTCTATGACAAGTCTTTTATAAAAAGATTAAAAACATGTGCAGGATTTGGTAAGTGTCTGTGTCATGATTTGTTTTTACCAATGTCACCCAACCAGTTCAGCTAATGCTTTTGTCTCATATGCTTACGGTTGGGCCTTAATTATCATAATCTTTATGTTGAGACCAACTAGAAAGTGCTCTCTAAGATTATTACCTGATGTTTTGAAAACAAAAGGTTTCAGGTATTTATGAATTATTTATCAGCTGTGTATGTAAGCGATGTCATATCAGTCTAACTATTGCAGTACCTACAGGCCCATCACCGTCTACTCCAGCCTCTCAACCAAGTTCCAAGTTGCCAGCTAAACCCACAAAACAAGAACCACCAGCCAAACTTGGTAAGTTTGATATTTTTTCTTGCACAATCATTATCAACTATTAACAAACAAAGCAGATAGAGACTTAAAATTTGTTTTATTTAGCCAAATTATAAGCATTCACAAATTCAATTAAGTGCATTAAATCTGAGATTTTATGTAGTTTAGATATAGGCATTATTATTTGCCAATATGTAAAAATACATTCAAGATTGCATTATCACAATATTATGTACTATAGAAATAAGTTCACCAGTGATTAAATCTGAAATTGGGGTTTGTGTTTATATTAGATCTGAATCTTTATGACTTGCTTTTTATTTACCTGTTGTAACTCTGATCTGTCATTTACATAATTGATGTGTGTGAATAATACAAAGATGTTAATTATAAACTGTAGTTGAGGAGGGCATTGTCAAAATTTATCATCTTGTTCACAGAGCCCAAGAAAGCGAAGAAAAATGAGCCGGAGTTTTCTCTAAGGCAAGAAGTAGAAGCCATGGGTGTCAAGCTTCCAGAAAATGTCGATGTAAGAGGACTTGTATGGTGTGCCTACCTACCCTTAATTTAATTTTTTTTAAAAGCTATTCATGTAATCACAATGCTCAGACTGCCGTGAATAATATAAAGCCACTGCAATGGTGTTGCTGATATTAGGTATTGAATCTTTATTAACCCTTTACTGTCCAAACAAATGATGTAAGTTATCTACAGGTAAATGGCCTACCTTTTAAATGTACAATGCTGTTTGACTCATTGATACTTAATATTTTAACATTATTTCATAAAGTATTCTCAAATAAACCAGCCAAGAAGTTAGCAATATGTACCATACAGCTAAAGTTAACAATGCTAAAAGGCTTATAATCATACAAGGCGGTAAGCTTAAAAATAATGCATGGCACATCAATGAAGGTTAAAATAATTATATCATGCATTGACAGGCTATGCTTTTACAAGCATTTTCCCCCTTTTTTGTTGTTGTAATTTTGTTAAAGATATAAATACAATTTATAAAATATTTAATAACCACTAAAGAAGACTTGCTACCATTTATCTTTTAAAGGAAAAGCCTTGTATATGCTATTATTCACATTTAAAATCTACAAAAGCTCAAAATTTTTTATCATTTAATGCCAGGCTGAAGATCTGGTACAGCGATTGTCCGACCTGGAGAACTCGGCTTCATGCGATGCTTCTGTTAGAGAAAGGATCGCTGCATTGCCTCCAGAAGTATCTGACATCAGTCATCTAGACAAGATACAGGGTAGGCTTTAAGCGATACTTGTAGATTATATCCATGGAGTGGAAGGATTTAAATACACATTCTTTTTTTTTTTTTGATAAACTGTCATTTTAACATGAAGGGAAAAATACAGACTTTGAGAGCCAGTAGTGAACTGCACAAAATATATACAAGAGGCTTATCACTTAAATTCTGTGTGGCGAGTTAGCAAAAAAAAAAAGTAACTTTAAAGCAATCTTAGGAAAGAATATATATTCAGAGATGTTCAGTTTCAAGGGAGCTCATCTCTATTTGTCTATTTCTCAGACCGTGAATCTGCTGACAGATTATCCGAGAAGGTAGATGAAGCTGCTCTTCTGTTAAACGAGTACAACCGCCGGCTGGTCGCCGAGCTAGAAGAAAGAAAGAAAGTGGCTCGAATGCTGAGGTCATTTATACTGTCACAACAAAAGCAGGTGAAAGAAACAGAGAGGAGCTTACAGGTAACATATCAAATACGATTTACCAAAAAATGACAAAGTTTCCAGCATTTTTGTTCTGCTTACGGCATATTTTTGTATTACTTGTAGATAAGTAAACAGATCATTCTCAGCTAATCTGAAATTTTACCTTTTTTTTCCTATGACGTTTAGCTTAAGATTTCAATTTGATTAACGCTTCAGAGAGATAGATTTGGGTGGAAAATAAATGTTTTGAAATTAGATGGTGATCAGCTGTGGCATCTTATTTAATTCTAGTGCTGTGGTCCTTGCTGGAGTGTAGTGTTTCTTGCTGGAGTGTAGTGTTCCTTGCTGGAGTGCAGTCATTTTTTTCTCAGATTTTTAAATTTGCTTTAAAAAAATGTATCAAGCTATTCATTTTTCAAAAGTTTATTATCATGACTATATCATCTTTATGTGACAGTATTCACCTGCTTATCATGACTATATCATCTTTATGTGACAGTATTCACCTGCTTATCATGACTATATCATCTTTATGTGACAGTATTCACCTGCTTATCATGACTATATCATCTTTATGTGACAGTATTCACCTGCCTCTAATATAGTGGTCCAACAAGATTTTTAGAAAATTACATTTTACCTCAATTTAATAAAAAAAATTACAAAATATGTATCTCTACAGTAAGCAATGCAAAACTACTCTTTTTATTTTATTGATCCATACCCAAATTTGCTTGAAATGTTTTACATTTCTTAAAATCCTCATTCTCTTGTCACAATTATTGACACACTTATATGACATTTACATACCCTTTAGCTCAGGTGTGGGCAACCTATGGCAGGCGTGCCACTTTCACTGGCACGAGGAAGGCCAAAAAATGATTATAAATGAATTTAAAAAATGCTCCTTAAATGATGGACGTGTGCTGTTGGCATGCTGGATGAAGTCTTACTTTGGCACGCTAATACCAAATGGTTGTCCACCCCTGCTTAAGCCAGTGTCACATAAAAGCACCCTTCCCAGCTTTCAGTCTGTCCTTTGTTCAGTGGTGGATTTGAAAGTGTGGATGGTCAAGAACATCTGACTTTGTGTAATGTGTCTACTGCCTATCTTGTGCTTTCCACCTTAATTTACATCTTCATCCACGAGAGAATAAACGGCAGACATTTATTCCAGTGACATTTTCTATCATCTCCTATTCAATTACCCCCATCACCCCAACTACTTCATGAATCATTAAGTCTTAACCCATGTGCACACTGAACTATCTCTTGCCCTACCCTATTACATAGAGGCTGCGTCGACAGCAGCGCCATCGCCACCACTGATGTATTCAATCGTCTGAATCTACAGGACTTTAAAGACAAGCTCTACAAAGTGACCAGTGTTCGGCAGGAACTATTGTCTCACATCCAGAACCTCCCTGACCTCACCTTGCTTCCTGATGTGACTGGTGGCCTGGCTCCTCTACCATCTGCTGGAGATCTTTTCTCCTTGCAAAATTTGTGAGACTCGCACATTGTTAGATTTCAAATGTCCTGTTCATGACCTGTACATTGTTAGATTTTATTTTTTCTGTTGATGACTTCATTGTTGCGTAAGAGAAAAAATTGTGGTGTTTCCTAATGAATGGTTGATTTATATTTGTATTGATGTAACTCTTGGGGTTACATGAGGAATTGATCATTGTAACCATTGGGTAAGTGTAAATGATCATGGTAATGCTTGGATCACATGAGTTCTTTGATAATTGTAACTCACAAGTGAATGAAAATGAATAGTCAATTGCAATTTTTAAATGTGTGAAAACCAATGTAATTACTGTCATTATTTTGTAAAATCTGTTATAGTTAATGCTAAGTACCGTATTTTACAGACTATAAGATGCTACGAACTATAAGACGCACATTAATTATTAAGCAATTTTTAAAAAAAATAACATATATATATATTATATTAATTTCGAGTATAAGACGCACATGAATTTTGGAGGCAATTTTTCGAAGAAAAATGTGTCTTATAGTCCGTAAAATACGGTAATAGTGTCCAGTGTACTTTGCTGTTTAAACTCTTCTATTAAACCAATGACGGCTAATAATAATCATTTCTCAGTTTTGGTGCTGTGGAGAAACGCTTGTTATAAATTTGCCAGATTAATTGAGTTTTTTTAAATCAAAAATTACTCAGATTATATTTGGATGTTATAACTTTCTTTTCTGTAACTTGCATGATCATTTTTAAAAAATCACATCACTGAGCTGAAAACATGTTAGTCTCAATGTTACTCTTTGACACTGACATTTTTTGGCTCCAAGCATTTTCATCCACTTGATTAGTGACTCATTCTTGTAAAACATGTGTGCAAATAGTTTCTAATTTGTTTCAATTTGATGCTTTCAATGCACTGATCTAAAATATTGTTTTGGGTGCATTAAAAAAGGTACAGAATAAGAAATTAATCTGGTACTCTTGTCAAAAAAATTACATACAAGGGGAACAACTTTCAGTGTGCTGCTAAAAGCTGGACTGAAGAATTCTAATTGGTTAAATTATCAGCTAGAGCATTCTGAACTCAATGAAAGCCATCAGGCATCAATGTTTTGAAAAAACAAAAATCTTTTCAAATAATGCTCCCCTGACTGCAATAATAAAACTGTAGATCTTTTCAATGTTTTAATTTTATTCACACAATGTTACTAAAAAAATATTTAAAAAACAAATGCCAAACTCTTATAATCAAAGATTGTTTTATGGACCATGTTGACAACAAGTATGATTATTAATAGACAGTCTGTCATAAGTTATTTTAATCGAGTCTGATAACATGTCACAGCGCCACTTCAGGCAACTATTTATTTATTTTTTAGAAATTTGTGTTGGTCAGGACAAATTTTCCCAAATGATTTTTTTAAACGTTTTTATTTTTCTTTGATTTCAATTTTTGTCTTGGGTTGAAGTTTTGGTGGATTTTTTGGGGGGGGTTTTCACACCTATAAAAACAAGTAACATCTTTGTAATTTCTCTGTCAAATGTATTGATGAGATCATTTTAATGGACAAGATTAAAAGTTGTCAATGAATGGAAAGTTTATTTCAGAGATGTTCATTGTTTGATAGTCTGGCTGTTTGTGAAGGATGAATGGGGCTTCTCGTGGAAAAAGGTTTCAGTTGATATAGTCGCACGTTTTAGGGTACAATTGCCTTGCTTAAAAATATTAAAATTGCGCAATAATTTATTTTAAAACTTGTTTTCCAAAGAGGCACAATTTTTACAGGGCCTTTTTAAAAACTTTTGCTTGTTGGATTTAAAAAAAATGTTTCCCTTTGTAACAAGAAGATGAAAAACACATTTTTAAACATTTAAAATTAAACGATTGTATCGGAACAGATTGTGGTTCTACATTCATAAATTTGAAGCATGTTGGGTGAAAATTTATGATCTTTTTTTTTTTTTTTACAGGGCTCATAAAATCATACTTGGAGCCTGTTAAATGAAATTACAAACTAGTGAATCAAAATTAATTTGATCTCACCTCAAGTTGCAAATAGCCTCAGTATTAAATGGAAAGTTGGCCAAGAGATGAACCACCAATGTGGGCTCATGAGGAAACCAGGGGGGGTTTTGAGTTTGTTTGGGGGGGAAAGAAGCTGATGCAGATAATAATTAATTCAAAACTGCTGAAGCGCACGATGAAAGATAAAACTTGTTGTGCGGCTGCTTTGGCTGTTAGCTACAGTTTCTAACTGCGTGCTTGTACAACAAATTGTTGGTGATTAGGTTGGATGTTTTTTGAATGAGAAATAAGGATTTGTGACTTGATTAGATTTTGTCATATTTACTGGAACCCAATTACATTTTGTCACTGCTCCCATCATGCAAGTGTTTGGGTTTAGTTTCATTTCATTGATAAGTTAAAAAAGTTATTAGAATTTATTATTAAACTGTTGCCGGTTTCTAATCAATGCATTGTTTTTTGTTTTTTTAAATTAATTTTTAACTTTAAAAAAAAAAGACAACTTTTCAACTATAAGAATCTGTTAGCTGAAAGGGAAGCAAAAAAAAGCCTTACATTGTCCTTTAAAAACGTAACTTAGCTTACACAAGTGCGGTGCTGATAGGTACTTATCAGCAGTACACATTTTGGAGAATTATTTTTCATGGAACACCTCCGCCATCCCAGTTTTGAGGGAGTGGTGCCAAAATTAAAGACACTCCAGTTCCGCACTTACCACACAACTGTTTACAGGATTTTTAATGCTCCCCTCCCTAAGTGCACTGTAATGCACTCCATCCAAAGTGCACTCTAATGCTCCCCTTCTTAAGTGCACTGTAATTCACTCCATCCTAAGAGCACTCTAATGCTCCCCTTCCTAAGTGCACTGTAATGCTCCCCTTCTTAAGTGCACTGTAATGCTCCCCTTCCTAAGTGCACTCTAATGCTCCCATTCCTAAGTGCACTGTAATGCTCCCCTTCCTAAGTGCACTGTAATGCTCCCCTTCCTAAGTGCACTGTAATTCACTCCATCCTAAGAGCACTCTAATGCTCCCCTTCCCAAGTGCACTGTAATGCTCCCCTTCCTAAGTGCACTGTAATTCACTCCATCCTAAGAGCACTCTAATGCTCCCCTTCCCAAGTGCACTGTAATGCTCCCCTTCCGAAGTGCACTGTAATGCACTCCATCCTAAGTGCACTCTAATGCTCCCATTCCTAAGTGTACTGTAATGCTCCCCTTCCTAAGTGCACTGTCATGCACTCCATCCTAAGAGCACTCTAATGCTCCCATTCCTAAGTGCACTGTAATGCTCCCCTTCCTAAGTGCACTGTAATTATTATTATTATTAGGTGGTTTTATATAGCGCAGTACCGTAGCCTAGGGCTTCACGTGAAAATGAGCAATTACAGAAACGTATACATTTAAAATCAACAATTGGTGAAAAGCTTGACCTCTCACCCACCCTCAAGTACTATCTACCTCTGTCTAGCCATGGACAGCATCCAGCAGAATCGAGCGTTGTTTATCAGTCAGAAGGGGGTGAGAATGAGTCGGTAAAGTACAGTTTGAAGAGATGGGTCTTGAGGGCAGTTTTAAAGGCTGTGATGGTCGTTTTATTGCGGATGTATAATGGGAGAGAATTCCATTGTTTTTGGGCACAGAAAGAGAACAATCGTTCACCATATGTTTTAGTGTGTTCTGGGAACGGACAGAATATGCGTGTCTGCGGAGGAACGAATCCTTTGACGGGATGAATTGACAGAAAGAAGTTCGGGAAGATAGGAAGGGGAGGAACAAGAGAAAAGATCGACAGAGAACAGACAGCTTGTAATCAATGTGTGCCTGTATAGGGAGCCACTGAAGTAATGGAGTGACATGATCACGTTTCTTTGTTTTTTTAGAACTAACCTAGCAGCTGAGTTTTGAACTTTCTGCACTTTTTCTATGAAATGTTTTGGTGAACCTGACGGAAGAGAGTTACAATGGTCAAGACGAGAGAGAACAAGTGCACATATTGGTGTTTTGTTCCGCTAACTGTAAGGCAGTGGCGGATGGAGTTGATCTGATTGATAGCGCTTTGCGCAGAGCGACAGATTTGAGAAATATGATTATTGAGAGACATGTTGTCAGAAAGAATGTAACCAAGAATCTTAGCAGAGGATGTTAACTCTACATCGGAGCTACCTACTTGAAACGAGATGGCGAGATGTGAGTTAGAGGATGATTCATGATTGTGAATGAGGAGCGCTTCCCTTTTGTCATCGTTCAGCTTTAATTTGTTGAGAGTCATCCATGACTTGACATCCCCAATCACTCCTGCAAGGTGTGGATAGCGGAGTCGACAAGAGACGGGTATGCTTGCATAGCTGCATGTCGTCTGCGAATGACTGACTCTGAACACCATACCTCCCGAGCAGGAGCAGTGGCCTGGTATACATTGTGAATAGGACGGGACCCAAAACGGACCCCGTGGCACACCGTACACCAAGTCAGCACTACCGGAGAGACAGCCATCAACAGAGACCGCCTGCGTTCTTTCAGAGAGGTAGGACCGAAACCAAGACAAAACTGAACCGGAAATACCAAAATAAAATTTCAAGGGTTTTGAAAAGGGTTTGGCGGTCAACGGTACCAAAGGCCTCACTGAGATGGAGACATCCCCGCTGTCCAATGCAAACAGGAGGCCACTGCTGACTTCCAAGAGAGCTATCTCTGTGCTATGAAAATGTCTATTAGGCCGTCTGATTAGGACTGTAAAAAGAGAGTGGTCATTCAAGTAAGCAAAAAGCTGATTTAGAACCAGTTTTTCCACAAGTGAACTTATTTCACCATTCAATTAGTGATTATTTTCATTGTTGGCATAAACACCAGTTTTATTTCACCAACTATTTCAGAAAAAAAAAAAGAAGAAAATATCTCGCATCAGATGCACTTGCGATATTATTTTATTTAAGAATCAGTATTAGAGAGAGTAAGATTGCGTATAAATTTGTTTTCAAGGGATATAATTATTGACCTTTTTATATCTTTTAATAAATATATCGTTAAATACTTCGTAAGACATTTATATTCTTATATGATTTGTTTGTATTGACATTATTTTACAATGTATGTCTAAAAAATTAGCAAATATAGGCATCACTTTCGTGATTATTTTTTTCTCTCTTGTTTTTAAGCAATTTTATAAAACTATGAATATAATAACATAAAATAAATTTATATTTTTTCAAAATACTAAATCTAATGTCCATATTATGAATAATGATTTTTGTAAAGAAATTATCTCGATGGCATGTGAACCGCATGCCTATAACTAAAATCCAAGTGAGGTCCACTTCGCTATGGTCTGGCTGGCCGGGGTCCGGAAGATCCTTGTCACAGATATAAAGGCGCAACGTCAAGAGACCCTCAAGGACATAATTTGGAATGACTACCTCAGTGCTGCAGTACTTCTTAGGGAACACTCCCCCTTAAAAAATATCTCATATACATACCTATAATTTAAAAAAAAAAAGGATAATTATATTTCATACGTGTAACAGCACAACGTTGTTTATATGCTGTTTTAATTTTAGGTGGATTCAAATGAGACGCACAAATGTATAGATATAACGGAGGAGTTGAGGCAGACGTACAGAAAGTCTGTCTTATGAGTTTGTGCCATTGTAAAAGTAAAAGTGTGTCATAATTGTGAAGACAGTATTAATGATAATTAATGAACACGGAAATGGACACATTCATATATATTTATGAATATCCTTTATAATAAAGGAAGTTGTTTCTTGAATTTTATTTCGTAAAATCAGTGTCCTCATATTTCCTTCACACCCTCTCCCCCTACCTTTGAAAAAAATGGGGTGTGGCTGAAAATTTGATGGAATGTGTTGTCATCGGCAGTGAGTTTACGGGCCAAGTTTCAGCTCAACAGGTTGACGGGTAGCCGTCCGAAAATTTTGCCTCACACCCAGTCCGAAACGAAAGACACGAACAAAAGTGAAGTTAAGGCAAAGGGTTTAAAACAGTTTTTTTCCCCGATGCAATTAAATCTGCACCCAAAACCTGTACACCACGTTTTTTTTTTTTGTTGTTGTTAAAGTGCGCACTCCAGTTGTGCGAGAGCGCACCACAAAGCCACAGAACGGAAGGGGAGTTATTTTTGTGAACGATAAACAGACGAGGAGCACGCCAGAAGATCAATTAGAGACCTGCTGTCGGTGTTATAATGGAGAGGACCGGCTATTAGATACGGAAACTCTTTGACGCGGAGGGTGGGGGTGCTTAAAAAAAGGTTGGTTTGTCCGGCAATGTGGACCTGTTGGTGCCAACCCGGTTTTTACTTAGTACACATTTTAGTTTAATTATACCATGTTCTTTATTATTATTAAATACTTACCTGATTAATACATTACCATGCTTCGTATACCATATATATTTAGCTTCTGGTGCATCCTGCTTCCTTTTCAAGCCCCCACCCGACTCAAAATGTTTTATGGTAATAGTTCCGAGCGGAAAAGAAGGCCGTCACGCAGCGAGCTTCATGCGCAGCGTCTGAACTCCGCAAATAGGTTGATTGTGTTCTCTTTCTTTAGGGGGATGCCGCTATAATTCGGTGTTGTTATTGTTCGCGCTCCTCTGTCACACAGCGACCTTCATGCGTAATGTCTGAACTCCGGTATAAACGATGCTATATTCACGATACGACTGCATTATCGTAGTTTTAATACTGGAAACGTTAGGGCATGCGTTCAGTTTGACATTCCAGGTTGTCATGTATTTATAAACAAGTGTGCGTTTTTTTGGTTTTTTTTGGCGAAATTTGTATGCGTCTCAAATACAATATTTTTCTTTAAATTTAGATAAACTAAAGGGACATCGGTGAAACCAGTTCTTGAAGGAGTTCAGGGCATTAACATCTTCGAGGGAAGGTACTTGACCTGGATCAAACATGGCGGACACGATTTTCAATCCAACAACAACGGGAACTCTCACTCGTTGGCATCTGCCGTGATGAGTGACGACATCTCCTCGATTCAGTCGGGAGACTCGTGCTCCTACGACGAATCAGACTCGACTCACGACCTGAAGTCCAATGGACGTGATGCATGTTCTCGGATCACGGCGTCTAAAAACTGCGCCTCCGATTCCAGAATGGACGCCCACATTCTGACGCATGGCGCGCCGGTGGCCAAGAAAACGTATGACGGGAAGAGTGAACCAAAGCGACGGTCGAACAGTCAAGCAGACGATTACCAAGCGGGCCAGTTCCTGAAAAGCATGTCCAAGACACAGCGAGACGCGTGGCTGGACAAGCAGGGCTACTGCATGACGCGGGACGGGCTGCTTGCGCCAGCCAAGGTCAGCAAGCGGGTCTGGGACACCGTCGGTGAGGAGAAAACTTCGAGCCGGGATGACGAAGGAGGTTGGCGTGCCGCAGACAGAACTCGGGGTGGCCGTGGGGACAGTCGATCTGAGGAGGGTCAGCTGGAAGTTGATCATGTAAAAAGTGAAGAAAATAATTCAAACCACGGGGACGCTGGTCATAACAATATGTCCATGGGTGATTACGATGATGAATTTTCTGACAACGAAGATTTTATTCGAAAATTCGAGCAGTCCAAGCTTGCTGGCCCAGGTGGGTGTCGACAGGAGCCGACCCAAGACTATCACAGTGGCTCTTTCAACAGTTCAGATCTCAGCGAATCGGAACTAGAGGCCGGCATATGCAAGTTAAGGGAGCCAGAAAAAAAGGGGAAACAGCCGAAGGATGAGTCAACAAGTAGTGTTCGCATCAGTTCCAAGTGCGAGTCAGCGATGGCTTCTAAAATAAACGCACCGATGAGTGAATTCGTCAGAGCCGATACCAACACGCCGAATACGATTATCAATAAGCGATACGCTAAACTGATGTCCAAGATGGCGGGAGACGGGTTCACCGGTTTGGGTGACATGGAGATCTGCACGCGCCACAGCAGGTGTGAAAGTGGAGACCACGCGACGAAACAGACAGCAGGCGAGGACACGATCACGATGTCACGTCAAGGGGTAGACTGTGAAATGGGTGGGTGGAATATGGACGAATCGGGCTCTCAAGTGTGCAATGGAGAAATTTCTGAGAACAGGATCGGCGAATTTTGCACGGATAAAGGATTGCGCAGTTCGGAGGGAAGCAGTGATGTGGATCTGGATGAGAACGCAATGAGAGATTCCAAACGTCTGTCCCTGCAGACGACTAAAGACGGACGAGACGGCGAAAGGGACAAACTGCGCCCAAAATCAAAGCTTGTGTCCTCATCTCGAAACCAAGTCCAAGACGCACGGGGTATAACCTCTACGCGCGGCAACTGTGGCCAAGGTGTGTGCACCTCTGAAATGACCGACAAAGCGGCTAAGCTTAAGGCACGTGATTCCGACAACCTCAATCTAGCGTACAAAGTGGTTGCTGACGTGGCAATTGAGAATATCTTGGGTGCTGCCAGGAAACACGAGACCCTGAACACCGACTTTGCCGAGGGGAGTCGGGGAAAAACACTGGGCGCTCAAACACATTCCCGTCCCGAACCTTCCTTAACACAAACGGGGGATTTCCCCGGGATATCCGAAACTCCAAATACTGATTTAGCCAAGGGAATTCAAGTCGAAACAGTGGACATCCAAACCGATTCTTCTACCAAACCTTCATCGACGCCAACGGAGGCTTCCTTGGGTGACCACGTGAACCCAGAAGAGGATTTACAGCAACCTCAAGATATACAGATGAGTTCGTCTGTATATGAATACCTCACAATCTCACCGGAAATGGAAGGACGCGTCGGTAATGAAGAAAACAAGTACCGGTTGCCAAGCAACGGACTAGCAAGTTATGATCAAACGACAACTGTCGTTAAGTGTGAACATCAGCCAATGAGAATGATATCAAATGTGAATAAATCAGAGGAGGAGAGCTTAAAGAAAATGAAGATTTCATATCGTGAACAAAGCGACAGCGCAAATGAAGATGACAAGAATTTTACGTTCGGTGATGGGGGCAGCACTCTGACGACGTTCGGGAATAAAGAACCTCCTTCCAACCGGCCCCGAGAGAGTTGCGACCCGGTGAAATCCTTTTCCCATCAGCCAGTTGATAAGTCCGGCTTGAGAGTTCGCTTCAACATCCAGGAAAGCGATGACGGAGATAGCGCCATGCCGCTGTACACGGCCGGTAGTGACGAGGACAACTGTTCAGTCGGGGGGATACTCTCGTATCAAGGTGAAGGATATCATTTCAACAAAATCAAGGAGTCAACACCCCCGAATCCGGATTTAACGAAGAACAGTTATGGCGAAACTCTGGCGCGATGTTGCCCGCCAGCAGACGCAACATACCTGAGAGCAAAATCGCTGAGTGACGTGAGTGATGATGGTAAGCCTCATTCAGATACGTGCTGCATGATTGCTTTGAGGAAAGAGATCAGTAAACAGTTGGTCTCGAGGGCTTTGAAGAATACGCGCGGCAACAGAACAATTTTGGAGATGAAGAAACAGGAGAGGGCCAACTATCAGAAATTCGAGGCCCTGAAACAAAGCAGACTGGACGAAGAGAAAAAACAGCAGCTGGCGTCGGCGGAGTCGACTAGACAAGGACCCGAGTACTGCATCACTGGCAACAAAGTCAACGTGGAGAAGAAATCGAAAATGTACAAACCGAACATGCCACATTTGACCAATCCCAACCACATGCCCGTGTTGGGCGGCGCCAAGCTGGTCGGCGGTAAGGCTCCGGTGACGAGGCGGACTGTCCATGTGAAACTTCCATCTATAAATCAAGCTACGTGTGCCGGTGAGAAAACTGGAGGCAAAAACAAAGATGGCGGACACGCAGACGATGCAAATTCCAAGAAATCGTTTTTGGAGTCTTCCGCGCAGACTTTCCCCCCGGAAAATAACGAGCGGGAAGTGAATAAAAACACCAACAAGGCCACGTCGCACGATAGCAATGCGCCAACGCCTGCCCGTGACAGGGTCGACGCTAAGCAGAAGGTGGAGGTCATGACGTTTGAAAATCAGCATCGTTCGTCGGCCGCAGCCAAGTCAAGGGGAACATTCAGGGACAAGAATGGCAGCAACGCGGAGCCCAAGAAAACGACGAGATTGGTGTTGCCGAAAATCGCCCAGTCGCAAAACCAGAAAATACGCTCCGGCCTTTCACAAGATAATCATTCTTCGGAGGACGCGATATCGAGCAAGATGGTGGGTAAAATAGCATCGACTTCATCAAAGAAAAACAAAATGGACAACCCGCAAGCAATAAGACAACAAAGTAAGGAGGACCAATCGCACACCAAAACAGATCTGGCAGCTAAGAGTAAGAGTTGCCTGCCACCAATTAACGAGAAAAAACAAATGAAAGGTATGAAGGCGTCCGTTGAACATTCTTACAGGGACATTCTTGAAAACAGTTTATCAGAAAAGTCTCCGCTCAGGAGTCCGGCGGCGCCATGCAAGTTACCAAAAGTCGGGGAACACGGAGACTCCGCCCATAAGAATGTGAGTGCGGAGCGCGGCAAAGTTAAAGGGCGTGAAAAGGCTTCCAAACAAAATCCACTTCAGGGAAGTGGAAGAAACAAACAGAACGCGGTGCAAACTAAAGTTAAGGGTCACGGTAACAATGGCAAAGAACCGTTTGCGAAAGGAGAAAAACAGAAAGGTATATCCAGGGAAGGGGATAAAGGTAAGGGAACTTCCCAGGAAGGTGCCCGAGAGGCTGCAATGGTGGGTGACCCGGTTCAGAGTCAGATGGACCAGGTTCAGGCTGAAATCGACCAGCAGGTTGGTCACGCTCTTTCATCCATGAAGAACAAGGACACGCAGCAGTCCGCCACCAAGCCGTTGACGAAGACTCAGCAGCTGCTGATTAAAGCCAAGACGGATTTCTTGGATCAGCTCGAGGAGATGGACGACAGCTTCCTCAACGACATCGTCTCGGATGCAGGCACGGCCATGTACGCGCGAGATAAGAAAAAGCCTCTCATCAGAAACAGCGGGCCGAGTTCGCTAGAGGAGTTGAACAAGAGACGCACCGAAAGAGAGTCGGGTAATTCCAGCAGTGCGGCAACAACGTCCAAGTCCGATTCTGAAGACGACGAATCGGAGGACGACGCCGAAGACGATGATAACGCCGAAGACGATGATAACGCTGACGATTGTGCTGTGGACGGCGGTGTAGACACGACGGTTGACAGCGCCGGAGGTAAACACCCGAAAGGCAGCGTAGACATGTCTTATACAACACTCAAATCGAAGGCGCTGTATAACGCAAGGAGTAGTGCAAGAAGGGCAAATGATAAAATCAGCTTGTCTTCAGCGGATGAGCCGCAGGACTATCCAATGTTAAACAGGTCTTCAAACGCTGTAGTGGCAGAGACGATGTCTGGAGAAGGGATGCAGAAATCATATCGTTTTGTTGAAAGTTCAGAATATGGCAGAACCTCTCCTCGCCAAACTGATGACGAAATTTTCCAGCTCTTTGAGGCAGAAAGTAACGTTAGCGCCGATCAAAAAAGACGTTTGGGAGGCGAGCTTCCACAAGACGACGCCAACTGTTTGTCTTACGAAGAGGATGTATTTCTGTTAGATAAGATGTCCTGTTTTCACGGCACTCAAGGTACGTACGTGTTGAATGAAGACTTCGCCACGTCCACCGAACAATCACTGCACACAGGCGCCCACGGTTTCGGTCAAGGAAATTCAAAGTTCTATGTATGTCATGAAATCTCTGACAGGAAGCAGTTAAGTCAAAATGGATCTATACATCAGCCAACAGAGGCTCTCTACACTCCGAATACCAGGTTAAAAACGACAAACTTTGTCAACGACATAGGACATGACACGGTTCTGAACCCGTTCCAACCATACGCTGTTGAAAACAAGTCCAGGATTCTAGTACATGAAGATTATTATACCACTCAAAATAAATCTGGTGCTGACAACATTGTCCGGTTGACAGAGAGTTGCCACGAATGCCCGAACAGGTTTTACAAAACGAGGGGAAGAGACATTTACTGTAAAACTAAGCGAAAAGAACATCTCAGTACGTGCGTTGATGCAAATGTCATATCTGAGCAGTGTCGTCAAGGTCTATATTTGCATAACCGTTTGTCCGAATGTCACGAAAGCCCAAGAGATTTCACGCCATTTCCGGCAGACGACCGTGGGTCAGTTAAAGGCGACGCCTATCTAATGTGGATTTCGTGTCTGCAGGGCTTGTCAGACTCGGGCTTTTGGGAAGCTGACCAGGAACAAAATTTGAATTTCAACAACAGTAAAGGCGGGTCAGAAGCCGAAGACGACCGTGCGCACAGCCAGTGTCCCTCTGCGGATGATTACAGCACAAGGTGTGACCTCGAGAGAATGCACTGCTGGTCAACATCAATGGACACGCTCTTGCCTAACAAGGATGACGCGACGACTGCAGACGGTAAGGGTGCGCACACTAATCATAAACACATCCGCAGGTCTCGGATACCCGTTCCAATACACGACGCCCACCCCCGGCGTTGGGGCGGCCGCGTCGCGTCATTCCAGTGCAGCAGCGTCCCACAAAACCTTGTTGTCGTTTTGAAAAACAAAAACGGGATCAAGATCGGCCAAGCCGTGGCGCCAATTTTATTCACGGAAGTGGACAACAGAGCCGCTAGCACCAGTGCTCAGCCGGTCAGCAAGCGCAGGGGAAACTCCGCCAACTGTTTCACCGTTGAGATACGCGGTTCCGCCGTCCAGGCAGCCGAGTCAGGCCAGGAGAGTACAGAGGATGAGAAAGCTAAACCGGTTTCTTTAGCGGAACGAATTAAGAAATACCAGAAAAACTTGCCGAGAAACATTCATTGTGGAAGAGGCGCAAAACAGAATCAGTGGCCGGAGCAACCGCCAAAGGCGCCCCCTGGGGAGATGCACGCGCAACAACAGGTGCGAAATACAAGCGGTCAATCGAGTGGTAAGAAAATATTGACCAAGAGACCAAGCATGGAGTGTACTGGTCAACTTGACCCACACACAAACAGAAATGAATGTACCCAGGACGCTGACCATAAGAGGGGAGAAGGTGCGGATGGCACTCCGTTAAAAGAAGAGCCGAATCTAACGCCTTGTATAAAATCAGTTACGATTCACAAAAACACCCCACAGCCATATTCCCCAAACAGGAACATAGCCTCGAAGCCACAAACATACCCGAAAAAGCTTAGCGCCGGCTGTGCACGGGTACATCGGCACCAGGCTGGCTGTACTGCCCACGAACAACACGACTCTCCATCAAGCCCGAATGACCATCAAGGGCCTAAAAAACCCACCTGCCTCATTTCACAATGTGAGTTATTCACCCCAGAATCATCACCGCACAGTTTGAATGTTCGTTGTGCTGCAACGACTGAAAAAGGCGAGCTTCTCGCTATAGCAACGGTTGTAAAAAGTGAAGATAAAAGTGACGAACCAAAATGCGCTGAGAATGTATTATGCGAGGGTCACCCCGATAAGTATGTCAAGGACACTACTCTTCCGACTGGGAGTCAAACCGTAAACGACCAGTGCATACCTGAGACCACGCAATGCCTTCAAGCTCGACCTCCGTGCAGGAATCAGTCTGCCACTAGCCCCATGTCGGGCCCGGCCGACAGTTTGGCAAACCAGTTTGCTCTAGAACACCCGTCAGTCCTCGCCGTGGACGAGAGCCTAAACTTATTCCTTGAGTACGAGCAGGCCACATCCCAAACACGAGAACCCTCACCAGAGCTGGAGCATTGTAATTATGTCACCGAGTCTAAAATAAATCAGCGACCTGAAATTTCAAGGGAAAGGACGGGAAAAGAGACCGAACGCTCAAACGATAGTGATAAATGCGATGAAAGTTTTGCCAAGTGTAACGAAATGCAGACAGAAGATCATGAGAGCTCCAGGCGCTCAAGGGCGGATGTGTCTCAAGCCAAACAAAGTGAAGATGATTACCAGCACAATGAGATGTCACCTTCAAGAAGTTCACGTGGAACTACGCCCAACAAACCCCAGTCACCGGGTTCCAACAGCTCGGACTCTCCAGTAAAAGATTTCCTGCAGCTTATTTATAGGAAAGTCGAGCACCTTCAGAATGTTAGTCTAGTAGGGGAAGCAGATCACGAACAAAGCGAACGTGAGTGTGAGCAAGAGGATTGTGGGCAGGAACAAGGGGAACACGAGATCGAAGGTGAGGAACATGAGTATCATGAGCAAGAACTGGGGGAACAGGAACAACGGCAACATGAGCAGGAGCATAATCATGAGGAGGAACATGGCCTTGATGAGGAACATGAGTATCATGAGCTCAACCACCTGGATATCATTGACCAACATACATGTGAATCTCAGGGAACCTATGACAGCACTGTTGAGCAAATGAATCCTTCCGTGACACCATATGACGCCGATGTGACAGACAGCAGACGGAATCAAGACTTTGACAGTCCCGATTTTGAGCCCAAGATGACGGAGAGTGATCATAGTACACCGGACGTTAGATACGAACAGTCGCCCAGTGGTCTCTCCAGCCACGACTCGGAGATTGAGCGACATATCGAAACCCGTGATTTAGACGTTTCCCCGCAGTCACTTCAGATCACAACACCCTGCTCAGGTGGTCAAGAACGAAATATAGTTAAGGACCAATCGCCATTCCCTGCGTCCAGTCCGGCGCAACAACTCAGTACGCCACCAACCACTGGAGATTCAAATCTGCCGGGCACTCCGGTTAATCCAGTGGATGTTGTGGATAATGCAAAACGACTGATTGGTACGCCCAACAGCAGCGGGTGTCTAAATCTTAAAACAGCATCACCGGCTCTGAAGGTTTTTGGAAATGATAAGAATGTTGAGACCGCTCTACAGAGCAAGGCTTGCGAATCGAATGAAACCAAAAGGGTAAAAGCGGAGCCAGTCATGAAGAAATCCGGGATAGATCTCAACCCAAAAGCTGCTGCGATGTCGCCAACAATATCCAAGAAATCCCGCAAGTCTCGAGGGGTTCTCTTTGAGAAGGTCAACGTCACCTCGGCCGAGTCTGAATCTTCAGAAGTCAGATTGAAGGAGTTGAACAACCACAATAATTCTAAAATACCATTTCTTCAGAAATCGTATTCCTTGGGGGAAACCAGGCTTCCGGGCGGTCAAGCAAAAGTTAGTCTATCCTCAGACGATGAGCGAGGAGTTTCAGAACCCAAGGACATGGGCGAGTTGTTGTCAAGCGAGGGAGATGGCATCCCCAGAAATTCTGATGATAAAATGGGTGATACAGGCCGGGGTACTGGTAAAGATTGGAGTTCAACTAGAAAAACAATCCAGCATTCTCAGTCTGACGCTCAACAAAGTCTTTCACAAAGCAAGAAGAGCCTGATCCCCATCAAGAGTTCAAACAAAACTCCAGGACAAGAAAGTCCATCACCGGCACATCAAGAACATCATGTTGCTCCTTACAACAAAACACTTGGGGATGATTTTTTTGTCAAGGACTGCGTCCTAGAATACTCCATGAGGACGTCCTCACAAGGGAGTGAACTCCCGCCAGTTCAGCCGAGGAAAGGTCGACTGACAATGATATTCCCCACAGCAGACTCTAAATCTGAGGGTGGACATATAGAGTCGGTCCGGACCTCCCAGAATTCTGTCGTCGACCGCGCATACTCAAATGACGACGAGTTCTGCTCCTCGGAAGAGAATGAACACAACACGACCTTCAGTGTGGATGAGCATTCCAACCCAACACACAGCTTAGATCCATCGATCGCACCCAACAGTCAGGGGTGGTCTTTCACAACAAACGGTGGTGATCTATCGGTCACAGGGTACTGCCTGGAGCAGGCGGCCACGACATTCGGCGTTGAGCAGCACAGACGGCAAAGTTCGATCACGCCAACGACTCCCGTTAACACATTCAGGAAAATGAGCCCGGCACAGGCACAGAAGAAAACCTACAAACAAGTTGTCAACAGCCACCATAACTCCATCCCACCAGAAACCCAGTTTCAACAGAGTGCATTGCCCCCTTTGTCGACAAGGCAGGCCGGCTTCCCCCACAGACCGAAGCTGAAACGTTATTATTGATGATTCGATTTGTAATTTGAGATCATTGTGGTTTTTTTTATCAGTCACTACCATTCCCAATCTCATGGTAAGACATACTTAATCTTTAGGGCCTAATGAATCAATAATTTTGGAATTCTTTTCATTTCACTATTACCGCCAAAAAATAAATCTGTGTTTTTCAGTTACAAACTGTTTTAGAGAATTTATTTAGGGTTATTTATTTATTTTTAGAAAAATGGAACTCTGAAATACATATTTATATATATATATATTTTTTTATTTATCAAAAATTTTAAAAATTCAACAAATTACTTTAAAAAAATTTAAATTATTTGTTAGTTGTTAGTTTTAAAGAAATCTGATCTATTCATAAATAGTATTATTTTGTAATAAAACTTTTGGGGATTGTAATGAAATAGAATGCCCAAATCTATTTTATAGTTTAGATTCATTGCATAACAATGAACACTAACAAACGTAAGAGGTATTTAATTTTACATTCATTAATTTACATGATTGTAGCAGAATACAAAAGACATGGATTCTATGTTCTGGATGTCTTCAGCAACCAGCCTTTTATTTAAAAAAAAACAAACCGTAATCTTAGTTGAATATGTTTTATAAATAATTCAATTCCACTACAGCCATGACAATTTTTCGTGACACTATCTTTTGTTTAAATAAAAATGTTTTTTGCGCTAGCTGAGCTCCACATTCAAGAACCAAAGCAGACGACATGCAATTTCATTTTAATTCCTTGCTCCCTAGAGCAGAGCTTGTATTCTGACCAAAGACGCCAGTTTTTCCAACTACATGTTAACTACGCATTGCACATGTTAACTTATGATCAGATCTTTAATAAATGTGATGTAGATTTAAGGAGAATTAAAGGTGAACATTCAAAGCTATTCACATTGAAACAAATGCTTCTATGCCTGGCATGTAACTATGGTGTACAGAAGTTAAACATAGCCAACTAATATAATTTCACAATGCATACAAGATTATTTATATGATGAATATTTCCTTTAATGTTTCAATGATATTTATACAAAAGAATTGATATGCTCATTTTTTTTCTAACATTTGAATTATAATAAAATATCTTGTACATTACATTCTTCTATGTTGTTTGTTGGATTCGGAGATCTTCTATACAAGGCAGTGTCAACATTCAACACAATCATACCAACAAGACAATGTCAACATTCAACACATTCTTACCAACAAGACAATGTCAACGTTCAACACATTCATACCAACAATGTCAATGTTCAACACAATCATACCAACAATGTCAACATTCAACATATTCATACCAACAATGTCAAAATGTTCAACACAATCATACCAACAATGTCAACATTCAACTCAATCAGACCACCAATGTCAACATTCAACACAATCATATCAACAAGACAATGTCAACGTTGAACACAGTGCCACCCATAAGACAACCCATACAGTTATTCATAATCTTCAGATATTTTCAAAGATCCATACAGGTTCTCTAGCAGTTTCAGAACATCATTCTGATATACATCAACAGTTTCTACTGGGCAATAGCCGTCAGTGCTTGATCTGGAACACAACAAAAGGCGAACCAGTTATTTATTTAAATAATTTTTTATTTTCATAATCATCACTATTGACCTCTTAGACATTGGCAGTAAAAAAAAGTCCATATAGTTATCACTTCCACTAAAGTTGTCCTTTCAAGTTATTTCTCTATACATTTCATACCCTAGACTGACTACAATAGTAAATACACTTTGAATTAATGTTTTTTTAAACTTAGAAGAAAAAAACCTCTTCAAATTCCTGTTTACCTTAGACAGAGGATAAACCAGATGACACACATTTTAGCAGACAGAGGATAAGCTAGATGACACACATTTTAGCAGACAGAGGATAAGATAGATGACACACATTTTAGCAGACAGAGGATAAACCAGATGACACATATTTTAGCAGAGGATAAACCAGATGACACACATTTTAGCAGACAGAGGATAAGCTAGATGACACACATTTTAGCAGACAGAGGATAAACCAGATGACACATATTTTAGCAGACAGAGGATAAACCAGATGACACACATTTTAGCAGACAGAGGATAAACCAGATGACACACATTTTAGCAGACAGGATAAGCTAGATGACACACATTTTAGCAGACAGAGGATAAACCAGATGACACATATTTTAGCAGACAGAGGATAAACCAGATGACACACATTTTAGCAGACAGAGGATAAACCAGATGACACACATTTTAGCAGACAGGATAAGCTAGATGACACACATTTTAGCAGACAGAGGATAAACCAGATGACACATATTTTAGCAGACAGAGGATAAACCAGATGACACACATTTTAGCAGACAGAGGATAAACCAGATGACACACATTTTAGCAGACAGAGGATAAACCAGATGACACATATTTTAGCAGACAGAGGATAACCAGATGACACACATTTTAGCAGACAGAGGATAAGCTAGATGACACACATTTTAGCAGACAGAGGATAAACCAGATGACACAAAGTTTAGCAGACAGAGGATAACCAGATGACACACATTTTAGCAGACAGAAGATAAGCTAGATGTCACATTTTAGCAGTGCAGATAAAACGAAATTTTGCTTTCTACTATTCTTAACTTACATGAAACAATAAAAAAAAAATGTACACACAATTTCTACAATGTGATGCTAAATGAAATGCTAACACAATCATACAGCTTTTCAAGCTTAGGAAGATCAGACACATCTATAAATGAGAAACTAGCTTTCTCTCTGAAATCTAAAGTGATCAACAAGACTGAATGCTGCTATGATGGTTTCCTTACCTTGAGATAGTCACAACGGTGGGTCTAGGCAAGACTTCTAGAACTTTCTTGAATGCCGAATGTAAGGCATGAACCTCTGGGGGTGTGGAGATGTGATGGGGCAGTTCTGTGTCGTCTAGTGTACATCCAAAATCATGCAGCTGAATAAAGGGTATCTCCCTGTAAGCTGGGTTCAGCAGAAGGCTGTTGCACAACAGAACGAGGTCATCCTTCCTGTGAACCAACAATATTTTTTTAAGATAAAGATTTAATACCTCTGAAAGTGATAGGAGAGATTATGTTCAGGGGGAGATCATGTTCAGGGGGAGATCATGTTCAGGGGGAGATCATGTTTGTTAAGGACTTGAATGTGTACTGTGATTGCATGTTGTTTGAAGAGTATTTGGGTAGATGTTGTTATTAAATGTTTGATATTTTTTTGACGTATTGTGCGAAAGAGAAATGTTGTATTATTGTGTAGTGTTTTTGTCTTGTGAGTAATGGCAGTTCAAGATGTAGCTTAGTTGTGTAAAAAAGATATTTTATCGTAAGAATATATAATATAGTTTGTAAAGTGAATAAATTAAACCCCTAGACAGAACGAAGCCATTGAACCTTTGGGAAGAATCGGTTCGTAACAATGTTCAGGGGGAGATCATGTTCAGGGGGAGATCCTGTTCAGGGGGGGATCCTGTTCAGGGGGAGATCCTGTTCAGGGGGAGATCCTGTTCAGGGGGAGATCATGGTCAGTAGAAGACTGCTGCCAAAACAAAACAACATCACAGCACAATCAAAAACTATTTAAATTTAACTAACTTTATTAACAAAATAACAAAGAGTGATAAATCCAGGGGCATGACTCACTGTTTGATATCTAGAGAACTCTTGCCTATCACGTCCATAGCTGTCAGGTCATCCACCGACACCTTGCATGGATGGTTTCTTTTTGTGCCCAAATTTATCTCCAGTTCTGTGAAGATATTTTCCAGTTCATTGATTTGCTTCTCTCTCGTTTTGGTGAAGGTAATCACAGTCTGTGGGGTATTAATAAATAGTGTTGGAGACACCACAAGTCTGTCTGGTATTAATAAATAGTGTTGGAGACACCACAAGTCTGTCTGGTATTAATAAATAGTGTTGGAGACACCACAAGTCTGTCTGTTATTAATAAATAGTGTTGGAGACACCACAAGTCTGTCTGGTATTAATAAATAGTGTTGGAGACACCGCAAGTTTTTATTCATTATTCATATACAAAATCAAAAGAAACTCTCAAAGAAAAAAAAATGGTTTTCCATAGGAAAGGAAGCCTGGGAAATTTTTTTACAAAGAGAAATATTTTTAACAATTACTTGCATATCTAGGACAGGTTTTGGCATACAATTTTAAAAGAAGCAACCCTACAGACAATACAATTATTGTTTTTACAACACTTTAGATAGATGTAATGGGCAACCAAAGCAGACAAATTCAACTAATTTCAACAATAAGTTGCAATTAACTTTTATCTCAAGACATGTCTTTTTACATAAAAATAAAATTATCCCCCCCCCCCCCCCCCCCTCTTGGTTAATGGATAGTGGCAAAGTGTTTCTGCATAAAAATAAAACATCTTACCTCATCTGATGTGTCCTGGAGTGCTGGATAATGGTAAAGATTTCGCAAGGCTCGCTCTTCTTCATGTCCTAACAAGTTTTTAAATGGATTGGCAGTTGAGAAAAAGTCAAGATCAACATCCAGAATGTATGGTTTATCCAGGAGCTGGTCTTTAAGCAGGACAGCCCATCTTTCAGGTGTGCTGAATACTGCTTGAGACTCCTCCTGCTGGTGGCCGTCATTCAGTCTTCTCTGAGCCTGTGGTGCACTGGAGGAGGTGCAACTGATGAAGTAAATAAAGAATAACATCATTCATCACACCGTTTACCAAGCTTGATAACAGGCATTGCTCCACTTGCTTACTTGTTTTTAATGGGGCAAGATGAGGTAAACAACACTTTAAAAAATGTAATAAATATTTATTTCCCTTGAAATACATTTATAAATTCAGAATTAATTTTGATTGGTTGAACAGAAATCCCATACTAATTTTAAAATGGACATGGTTTGGTGGTGACAGAAATGAATGAGGTAAGCATTTTATCAAACAACACACATATTGCTAACAGTTTAACATAAGTCCCCACAGTGAAGCATGTTTTCGATCAAAGAATATAGTGAATAAATAACATTGTGGAATGAAATTAATAAAACATCCAAAATATCCTACCTGGTATCAGTGTCGTACCATTTCTCTGGCAACATTTCAACAACAGTGAGTTTGACTTCACAGGAATCTTTTAATTCTTGGGGAGGACAAAACAATCCATCTGTCAAAAAGTAATTTTCTTTACAAGACAGCCTGAAGAAATGAGTAGACAAAGATCTCTTTACAAATAGCCCGCACTTCCCTGCTGGAGTTACACAGAACAAAGGAGCAGGAAAATACAGCAGGGTATATGTTTCAATAAGCTGGCACATCATAAGTGATGCTTTTTCCAAAATAAAAAAAAAAAGGTAATAATAAGTTCAATTAAAATAAAATAGTTTAATAAAGGCAAAACTGTGGCCCAGTGGTAGAAGAATTGTCTGCCCCACTACACTGAGGTGGAGGGTACAATTTTATCCAATAATATCTTGTCATGGGCTCATAGCTGGATGTAATTGACTCATCAGCCCAGTAAGGCAAAAAAATTAACCTCAACCATTAAAGTAAGAATACAGCAGTCGAATTGGCTTGAAATTAAAATTGGCTGTCAACGTTATCTGACATTCAGAAAAATAAATAAATGAATCAAATAAAAAAATTTTAAAAATTATTTTTAAAATGAATTTTTAAGCGTTCAAACATACTTTCTTAGACTCTGTTTTAACATAACCCAGGCATAGGGGAATTGCTTTGAAAATTAAAATAACAATGTATTAATTTTTGATCTCAAGGATATGTAAAGATTTTTTTAAAAGAAATATCTGCTTATGTCTTTAAGGCTTTTAAATGAAGGTAAAAAAATCCACCAAAAAACTTTGCCTCAGAAGTTAAGGCTCTACAATTTGATGATACTATCATTTATTGTCAAAGTATGGAAAATTAGAAAAGATGGAAACTTTAAAATTACATATAATTAAAATATTAGTATTTGGAGACATTCCCCCAACCCCACTTTATTTAAATCATTTTAAAAAAAAAATCACCAACTGTATCTTGCTGGATCTGGCATGCTAAAGGCTTCATGAGATGACTGTCAACTGACCTGACTTTACCAGACTCTAGACATTTCCCTATCGTAAAACTTTGCTCTGATGCTTGGATCTGGTGTGCCCATGGTGGCTTCACCCAAACAATATGATTCAAGTGTTTTGCATAGGTCAATGGGAGCAGCCAGTTCTCTATGCTAAGGGCCCTGAAGAGTAAATAATGGATATAATTAAATACCAGACACTAAACCTCTGGTACTGTTTAATTTTTTAATTTAAAAATGAACGGTTTTCCACGGAGCATCTACTAAGTCTAGAATGTCGTAAGATGAAAAAAGGTTGGCACAACTTGCCTTCGCTGAAAAATTAGTTGAGAAAATCCAACTGTTTAATTTTCAAGCACAGCATATCAACTTATTTCCTTCCAGTTTGTTTATTCATACAATGTGCCTAAACAAGTACTAGGAAGTGGATTTTGATGCAATAAATGTAAAAACCAGGGCGACACTTATTACTTTATGTGGAGGGGTGGCATATTCAGCCAAAATCAGATTTTTTTTTCTTGGAGAGGGGCGGCTAAATTCTTGACCTGCTCAACATGGCCTAAACCAAAACAATGCCACCGAGTGATAATATGGATGATTTGATCAGGCAAGGAAGGGGAACATGTCCCTTGTTTTAAAGACAGCTTCTGATAAGGCAAAATGTTCTAATTTTTTTACAAATAGAGTAGCTCTGTCAAGCACCAGAGCTTGGTAACTCAGATGGGGATGGAACACAGCCATAATTCAGTCCTATATCAGCAGGCTAGACAAAAACAGGAATTCAAAACTGCCAGCATTGCACACTGGCCCCCAGAAACAGCTGTAAATCTTGGCCCCAGATTTGACCTTGGGTAAACCAGACCTATGCAGTTGAAGCGGGTTGTCAATGTACTACCAGGATATTTAAGAGTAAAAGCTCTGGCCCCCTGCAAACTCTAAATTAGAATTAAAACTGTCTATAAAAAAATTTGGTGGATTATAATATGGTATGAGTTTTTCTGCTGAATAATTTTTGTAATTTCAAACAAGAAATGGGTTTATGTGATAATCTATTCTGTCACAACATTAAAAAAAAAAATATCAAAATTAAGCAGAATTGATTTAAGGTTCATATTTTGAGTTAGATGTTTAAAAATTGGTAATGAGTTGAATAAATAGCTTAGCTTGTGCATCTAAACAAAATATATAGCATTGAAATTAATACCAGTTGCTTAATTAATATGGTTCATACTCATTCAATTCTTGTGGTTTGAAAACTGTATCAGCATCTAGGTTGATTGGAAGCAGAAGATCAGGGTGAGAATCCAGATGAATGATGGCAATATCGTGAAATGGGAGCAGTTTGGACGCAATTGCCCGATGGATGAAAGGTACAACCTGAGAGATGATGAAAGGAACATGGTTAGTAGTTGGAAACATTTCTAGTGCTGGTTTCACAAACTTTTTGTGTCGTAAAGCCACTTACTTCAACAACATTTTTTTTGTGCTGCTTTTACTGTGGTTTGAGATTACAATGCCTAATTGTCAGAAGACAATATTTTTCTATCTTTTTTATATGAATTTCAAGCTTGCAGATTCATTATAGTTTATGTTTTTTCTTGATAAATGTTTGAATATGCTAAATCACAGATGAATTAATTTATATCTGTGCTTAAACATAAAATGTAGACATTCGTTACTGTTGGATAGGCTGACTGGTGCCATTGTGATGACAAGCTAATGTTTAGCAGCACCAAACTTGGGTAAAAGTATTGTCTGAAATAGGGTTGCACCAATGATTAATTTTTTAAAAAGCAGTAACATTTCATCTACCCATTTAAATCTGTATGATGCCATTGTTCTAGGGTCTACTCTGCCCTGGTCCAGAGGCAAGGTATTGAAAGGGTATTGAAACAACTGTTTCTTCATGATTATAATAAAACTTGTTTAATATTACTTGCTTCACCATTAGCAGCTATATAATTGTGATCAAGTGATAAAAATAATATTTTAAAACACCTGCAATTAATAACATAATACATTTTCAAAGGATCATAATAAAATTTATTAATTCCCCAATAAATGATTGGTGGCTGATTATTTGATAGTCAGCTAATCAATATAACCCTAATCTGCAGCCCATGGTTTTCTTGCTATGTTTTACAGGATTTTCCCTCTGATATGTTTTTGGACCAATATAACCTGCATTAGCTTTACAATGATCTATCCATTTCAGATACAAAGAGGAAAATCACATCATGTCCGTAGATTGTTGGGTCTCTCAGAAACTATTTTACAAGTGCTGTCTCAGCGCCAGTAAAAAAAGAAAGAGGCAATAGAGGAAATGATGGAAGGAAAACATTACTAAATGGACATCAATGATCTTCTAACAGTCTCAGTTAGATCTTCTACCAGTTTAAACAGAAAAGAAAAATGGAGAGAACTAATTAAACCACTTTATGTGATGACACATTGACCATTATGGCATTAAGAGATAAAAATAAAGAAGTTAAGGATTTGTCATCATGTACTGCTGTGCGCTGGTCTTGACCATTTACACCCACCCAACATGCCATCTAACCCCATCTTTTTTCTTTCAAAGAAAACTTATGAAGACCATTCAAACACTTTAATTTTGAGTTTAGTGTGCCGATAATCGCTTGAGCTCACAGTAAAGGTTTTATATATTGTGAACCTCTGTAACAATCATAAAGAATGACTTAATGTATAGTTAGAATTTTATACTCGACTTACGTCATTATGCTGTTCCACAATATGGACTGGCAGACTTTCGCTCTTCCTAAGTTTGTACATTGATATTAACATCAAGTCCAAAATGTTCACTTCCTAAAACAAAACTCTAGTGAGATGGGGCGTGTATGAAAACAACTGTTTCTGAAAAAGACAAAGAAAGAACACTGGATAGTAAGTAATGTACCCAAATTTTTTTTGCATCTGGGGAATCTATTGATCTACATGTATGCCAATTTTCACAGCGATAAGTGTCTTACGAGAGACGCCATGTTTCTACGCGTTCGCAGCAGGTCATGCAGCTCGCTCAACCTAATTTCGCCATGGGGTGGGCCACGCCCCCTTTGTAATGGCGGAAGTTGCCGATACTTAGGAAATATTAATTTATTACCACTATCTACATCAAAATAATTGATAACTTGTGTTTCAGAATGCATTTTGAAGACATTTAAACTGGAATGTTTTAATTTGAGCTTTAACAACCCGGTAGAATCCATATTATAAATGATCAGAATTTACCGTGTGCAACACGTTGTCATTGGCAACCATTCACAGCCACTTGCATAACTGTATCGTAGTACTACCTCAGAGTTTCATTCATAAGAGTTTGCCGTGTGCAAAAACTACTATACCATTGGTCAGGGAAAGCTTTAATTAATTATTCATGTGCCAAAGTTGAAAGTTTAAACTAAGTCGACCCTAAACAGTATTTTAGTGATAAGGCGATGCGTTGCCTTATATAAAGTATATAGTCATTGCGCATGACGCGATCAGCGGAATGAGGTCACAAGATGTGGAGGTTTCGTCCATAGTAAAAAATACCAAACGAACTCACACTTTAAAAATTCATAGCTCAAAAAGTACTTAAGCTAAAAAGTTGATTCTTTTTTCATTTTTTTATTTGAAATTAGCTCTAACTAACTGTGCTATCAAAAAAAATTATTTGAATTTTTTAAATTTTGTATTCAAGTGCCTACCTATGCCTAACCTGAACCCTAAATCGATCCTTCAACCTAACCTAAACCCTAATTCACTGCAACTATAATAAACACACAAAAAAGACGCGGTGGAAGCCGTCCTCAGATTTAGCCTCAAATTCAAATAAATTTAAATGCAGAGCTAAAAATCAAAATCGTTTGAATACGGAACTATGGCAGGGCCCCTCAGGGGGTAATCCCTTATTTTCGCAATAAATTTAATAAATGTTATAAATTTTAATACACTAAAAATAGCTCATTGCACTAAAAACTAAAATAAGGGATTAACAATTTGCAATTAAATTGCAAATTAACTTTTTTGTTTACGTCAAGTCTCCTAGACTCTAGAAATTTATAAAATTTAGGAGTAAAAGGACCAAACATAAATTAAATAGTTTCATGGATTCATATTCTTAGTCAACTCAGACTAGCTTTGATCTGAATCTTGTCAAAACAGTTTACCAAGTTATATAAAAAGTCACATAGTTTTCCGATGATTGTAGAGTACTTGCCTTAAAAGAAATATTAGGACTAACTTATTGAAGATTATGTTTGAAATGTTTGGGACCAGAGCAGGGTAATCTATGTACCAAGAAAACCATTTATATCCAGAATATATTATTGCATTCATTTTGTTCTAGACTAAAAGCAAAAATTAGAACTCATAATTTATTTTTTAAAAATAAGTGAAATTCTTTAAATTACTTTTAGTGGGAAATAATATTATTTTTAAATATTTTGATTCAATTGTTTTGTTATATAAATAAATCAATAAAAAGATTGAATTAATGGCTCACTAATTTTTTTTATTATACACAAAAATGCCATTGCATTAATAAAATATATATCGCCTAAATTCAAAGACATGTTGGGAAATTTTGTTGTTTTTATTTTGCTATATTTGTTAAATTAATGGCATAAATGTGTTAGGCATATGCATCTCGAATCTTTTAAAATAACTCGATACAGAATGAGAATGAAAGTAAAGGGATGGTAAATCTTCTAGGTAAGAAAATCAGAATAGTGGTATGTTGTTGAAAATGGCGAGTGCTGTTCAGCAGGATCTTTCAGATGTTGACTGGCTTGTTATGAGAGCTCGTAGTTTTCCCAAATCAGATCCATATTCCACAAAAGCCTGGCTAATTACAGCAAAATCACTATACCCGGAATCATTTGTATTTCAGGTATTTTAATCTTTAGTTTAGTCTAAGTTTAGCCTCTATAAGTTTAACTTAAAATTATAACAATTTGACATTAATAATTTTTAATATTATATTATATTATTAATGATTGTTATATAGGCTATTAATAAATAACATTTCTGATTCATTATTCATTATATGATCATTAACCTAGGCACTTCAGTAAAGCAAGGGAAACTACTAAAAATTTTGAATGGCATGGGAAATGGGTGTCTGAGTCTGCGCAGAAGAATCCGAGCTTTTAATTTTTGGACAAGGTGTTTTTTCATTAATAGGAGTATTTTGTTATAAAATTGTTTTATCCTTCCACATTTTCACAATAAGGGACATCTTGACCTACATTCCAACGTATTGTTTTGCCTTATTTGATCGATCTTAATATTGAATATTCATAGTTAAATATAAGGCACCTTTCTCTCAAAATTTCTTTATGACATTTCAAGACTAGGTCTTTCATATTAAAACTTGAAAAGCATTGTATATTGATGTATATGCAGACCTGTTTACCCTCAAACTCTTAAAATCGTACAATATCATCACATAATCGTTCAATACATTCTTTTTATAGAAAAAAAAGCGTGCAGTAGGGCCTATATATAATTTATAATTTATACACCTCAAAATCGTACATTGTATGCCAAAATCGTAAGAGTAAACAGGTCTGTATATATGTACCAATTCTCATTGATGTAGGTCGTGTCCGACGTTTGTTACGCTTGTCTCAGTAACCTGCATTTACATAAGGTTGCTCAGCGTAATTTGGACATGGCATGGCCGTGGGCCACGTCCCCTTTTCAATGGCGGAAGATGCCGATACATTGGAAATATTCAATTACTACAATTATTTACATCAAAGTATTTGATAACTTGTGTTTTAGAATGATCCTAGAAGTAATTTGAACAAATATGTTTTAATTTGAGTTTTAAAAACCAGTAGAGTCCATTCCATATTATAAATGATCATAATTTACTGTGTGCAAAATGTTGTCACAGGCAGCCATTTACGGTCACTTGCATAATGGCTATGCCGTAGTACTATCTCAGAGTTTCAATTATAAGAGTTTGCAGTGTGCAAAAACTACTAAACCACTGGTCAGGGAAAGCTTTAATTAATTAGTCATGTGTCAAATTTGAAAGTTAAAAATAAGTAATCCCTAAATAGTATTTTAGTAATAAGGGGATGCCTTGCCTTATATAAACTATATAGTCATTGTGCATGACACGATAGCGTAATGAGGTCACAAAATGTTGAGGCTTGTCCTTAGCAAAAAATACCAAAAGAACTCATATTTTAAAAATTGGTAGCTCAAAAAGTACTAAGGCTAAAAAGTTTATTCTGGTTTCAAATTTCATTTTTTATTTGAAACTTTCTCTAAATAACTGTAATATTTTAAAAATTATTATTATTATTTTTTTTTTTACTTAAGTACCTTATTAATCTCTTCTCTTATTAATTATATATATTTTGCTTCTGGTGTGTCCTTCCTTTTCACAACCGGCCCTCCCCTACTCAACATGTTTTATATTAATAGTACTGAGTGAAGAAAAAAAAAAAGCTGTCGCGCAGCGATTATGATGTGTGATAGTTGAACTCCAGTAGGACTGGCTGTTTATTCTTGGTTTGTCATAGGAAACCCATAACACTAACACTTTTCTTATGGACAAAGACTGACACTTCTGAATTAACAATAATATCACAGTTTTAAATAGTTTAAATTCAATTGAAAAGTGAATACCGTAGCCATAGTGTTGTTATAGTTCTATAATAGCTGAGTGTGACTCTGGACATATTTGAACAGATAAGTGTAAACCTTCAAATCTGATGTCTGATGCATTATCATTGCTGCACAGTGCAACAAGATCATGGAATTAAAATGTTTGATGAATTAAGATAATTATCCTACATTCTCTAAATTATAATTCATTTATAGAATTTGCTTTTTTTTCAGTTTGAATCATACCTTGTTGAAAAGACTGGCAAAAATGTTGATGAAGCAGCTCGATACCTCCAAGACATGTAATATTTTATTATTAAAAATTTGCTTTTAAAAATCTTATAATTGAATTCGTTTTCTACCATCAAATTCATGTTCTTAAAATCTCAGTCGCTTATGTTATTTTCAAAAATTCTGAAATGCAGGATGTGCCAAGTACCCATGGTACCTGGTGCCATCTATGTTCGTAAAACTTTTTCAAGCTCTGTCCTCTTACGCATGAGTAAAAATAATACTCCACTACGAATACTTTTTCCTCCATCGAGAGACTCCATTTCCAACAAATGCCCAACATAAGACCACTGGAAACACATGGTAGCTGGAGCCATGCACTGTTGGCAAATGTGTTTGAGAAGTAGGAGAGTTTCATACTTTATATATAACGTTATCTTTTAGGGCTAAATTTGAATCAGTTTTCTTACTCTAACCTTACCTTAAAATAAATCATTAAAATGTTTCCATAATCAACTGCCTTTTATTTTAATTTGAAATTCAGTTTTCAAATTTACTCTGTCCTATTCTAAACACATTAAAGGAATATTATGTTCATTACTGTTGATTTTTTTTTTTTTCTTAACATTTCTTCTAAAAAGGCTCCAGAATTTTCCTAATGAGCCCAGATTGTGGTCAGAAGTTCACAGCATCCTTGAATCTCTTCAGAAAGAATCTCAGGATCAAAAAGTTACATTTCTCACAGGTTGATATAATTTTTTTTAACAAAAATCAGTTTGACTCTTTAAAGATTAATTGTGTAGCTGCATTTTAAGTTGATTTGTATAATCATTTTTGAGCACATTTTGAAAATACCCTTGGGCTGGTTCTGTGTTGCTAAGTAGCTGTGCTGTGTAGACCCCTGTCATTTTTTTTTTCAAATCCATATTTTCAAATCATACATTTTTTTTAGAATAAACATTGTAATTATTTGTATTGTTAATTACCTATTCTCATTTGCTGGATTTTGATATCTACCTTCTAATTGATATCTACCTTCTAATCTGCTGCAGATTGTAATTTCACTGTAGAGAATGGGAGTTTTATTAATAATTGTTGCGACTGGATATTATGTTAGATTACGCGCAGTCTGTTTTGAGAGATTAATTACTTAGTGAACACTCTTCCCACACTTGCCTTGGTGACATATTTTTATGCTTATTATGACGTATTGTCTATTCTGTTGAGTGACGTAAGTTTTAGTCATGGGGCAGTGGTGAAGGAACTTTGTGGAAGAAGGTTGTGTTTTATTTCTCTCTGACAGCGAGCTGCACTATACTTGTGTTTATGGAATTTACAGTCTGTGTATATCATTAGTTATTAAAGTTGCATTTATGATGAAAAAAGTTTTGAGTTGATTCAGTGCTAGTACGACGTATTACAATGTGTACAAGAACTTGATGAACTAAACAGTCTAGTATAAACAGGAGCTTGATATTCACAGTGACAGTATGTGACATCAGATAATTGATTGAAAGTAAGCCATCTGCAAATTAAAGCTGGGCTTGAAACATTTGATAAAATTAATTTATATTTCGACTGTCTAATTTTTTTCTCTGACATATACAATTTTAGATCTCTTTGCTGCCATCCCTACATCAACCCAATGTGTGATGCTACTGCGAGTATCTGAAACCATTTCAGATGTCCTTGAAAGATGTCAGCTGTTGTTGTTAGCCATGAAGAAGTTTCCAAATCTTGTAAAAGAACATGGGGTATGATCTTTTAACTGTAAATTTTCTTAGAGACAATGTGGAAAAAAATGACGTTATAAATTAATGTATTTCGTTACACTAGTAACAATAATTATATTACACTAAATATATTGCATCACATTTAAAATAGCAGTAATCATTGATCTATCATTTAAGTTCCTTGCGGCCATAAACAAAAAGCCAGTAATGGTATTATTTCATGAATCAAACTGCCATCTACTTGTAAATTTTGACCCATGGCCGTCTTGTTTATTTAGGATTGTCTTACATATTTTTTTTAAGCTTTTTTTTTTTTTTTTAATTTGCTTGTAGCTCAAACTTGTTGAAATTTTAGTGACAGAGGAAACTAATTCTGGGATTGTTAACAATCCAGTCAACTGCTACAGAAAACTTTTAGGTATGATTGTTTAAATGTTTGTTATGTTCTAATATTATTGTGCAATAGCCCTGTGTTGTCCTAAAACTATGAGTAATACAAGTAATAATAAACTAATAACCAAGGGCACACAAAAAGAGCAATAATCATTATCAATTGTAACTATTAAATAAATTTATACTTTTTTTAAAAGAGGTTTTTTTTTCGTATTCAGTTTCATTAATGTAGCTTTTTTTTTTTTTTTCTCACGATGTCATATATCAAACTAACAGATCTGGCTGATATGATCTTTATGTCTTTTAGATCAAAATCATGGCCATTTTTTCAAATGTATATTTGAAAAATTATGTAGATCTTATCCATCTTGAATTATTGTCTGTTCTCAGTTTGTGATGTCATGCCACTGGTGTTACAGAAGGGTGGCCATCTTGAAGTAAACAAGTTTCACCTTTACCTTTGGCTGCAGAGAGCCACAGAGTTCTACGTCAGCTATGTCTCACAGCCACACGCTCTCGATCCCAATGCAGAAAATGGTAAAAAGAAATTGATCTAAACATACTAATCTGTAATTTTGTTGCTAATTTTATGGTATGAGTAACTGTGAAATCCTTCTGTTATAACTTATTGTTTTATATTTTCTTCTAAGGGAAATGAGTGATAAGTCCAAAGATAGGTTTCTCTCAACAATAAGTCTTTCGCATTTTTAAAGAGCACTTTATTTAACGAAAGGAACAATGTTAACTTTAATTCACAGTTCATATAATATGCTCAAACTATGATTACAAATGTAGCGCAACTCACCAGAGGAAACAATCACAACCTGTCCACTCAAAGACCAAACTGTAACTGCCAAAACTGTATGAACACACACAAACACACAACACAAGAGTTGACAATTAATACATCACAGACACTTTAATTCATGCCACAAACACATTAAATACGTCACACACCTCGTGGAAACAAGGAATGTTCAACAACGAATCTAACACTCCAGACGCACCATACACACACACACGATTACACAACACATGAAGGGCAACACTAAAATGTCATAATCCATACTTGACAGATTGAGAAAAAAAATGTAGTGAATTATTTTTGTACAAATCAGACAATAATCAGAGATATTCATTGACCATAAGTTTAATTTTAATATTTAATTAAATCGTTTCTTTAAATTGCTGTTAAAAATTACTCATATTTAATTTTTAAAAGGTATTGGTGAAATTAATTTTATTAAAACAAAAATAAACTTAATTAATGTATTTTTCCCGTCTTATTCAAAAAGTGGAAATGAATCTAATTTTCACAGATGGCAATAAAAGTCGTGGCCTCACAGAATTGGACATGCAGGTTGCCGACCCATGGGGAAGTCTACTTAAACTGTTGCTTTTGATTGGTCAACACTTGAAGTGGGACATGGAAATGGATCTTGTCATTAAAACAAAGTAATAATTTCCCTTTGCGCAATCAAGTTAAAACTATTTAAAAATATGCCAATTTTTGTGTGTTACATAATCAGTTTCGAATCATGCTTCAAATAATTATGAAACATTTTTGAAACATTGTTAGGCCTAGTTTAAAAAAAAAAAAATTCTTTTTACATCATTAACAATTTTTTTCAAAGAATGCTTCATGTTTTTTTAGTTAATTAATTTTTTTTAAATGTTTGCTAATATTTTTATGTACAGAACGGTGAGCCCAGCCCTATATAAGACCGCTAATAATAATAATAATAATAATAATAATAATCATGCATATGAAATCCAAGTCCTGCTTTAATTTCTTTTGAAGAGACCACTTTTTATTATTCAGAGCATTGAAGAAAAAAAATGTGATGTTAACCCTGGTGGCGTGAATGAATGTTGGGAATAATTTAAAAAAAAAAAATTTGCTGAACATTTGAACAGGGAACATCAGATCCAGTCGCTGCAACACCAGTTAATGCGGGTGAAACTGCACGGGTCAGAAATTTACAACAAACAGATCCTACATACAGCAATGGTTCTCTTTGTGCATTCAATGGTTAACTACGTTAGTTATGTTGATGCTGAATCTTGTAGTTCAGGTTAGTAGTCTTGTCCTGTGTCTATGTAGTTCTGGTTAGTAGGTTAGTAGTCTTGTCCTGTGTCTATGTAGTTCAGGTTAGTAACAGTTTTGCCTTGTAGACAATTTGTTCGGGCTGGAGGGGGGGGGGGAGGGGGGCTCGAAATTTCAGATGTTCGGGTGGCCAGTGACCAATGGCATACATAGAGGGCTCTATCCCCAGGTGGCATATACGACCTATCTCAGTTTTATCATTGAAGGAGTTGACAAAAGTCTTGGACCCCAGCCAGGGCGGCATTTACCCTAGCTACGTCATTTTGTAGCATCAAAATTAGGCGTAACATCTACCAGGATCGGCTATAACTTCGCCTTCTTTGTCAAACATAAACTAAAATGTTTGTTTAATTTTAAGATATTCTCTAGGCCCCAGCAAAATTTAAAAGACAAAAATTACATATTTGTCAGTTCAAGAAAAACATTTTGATTACTAACATCCAGTGTTGTTTTTTTTATTAAAGGTACCGGCTCTGTAATTTTGATTAGAGTAGGTCGGCAGAAAGTGAGGGTGCTGATGGTACTGAGCGAAGGAAAAAAGGGTGGGGAAAGGGGGGGTCATCCATTAAAAATTTTATTTTAGGTAATTTCAAAATCAAGGGGTGCAGTTTGGTATATACCTAACTTAAGTGTTTCTTTCAGAAAATTTTATCCAGTGAGGGGAGATTGGAAAGGGGGAGGGGGGGAGGGAGTTAATCAGCATGGAAATTAGGCTTCTGGAACAGGATGCCCTACATAAACTAAATTCACTGGGGTTGTGGCAGGCCCCAGAGTATTTTTAGAGCATAATGACTATATACAATTAGCACCCTGCCCTAGTTTAAAAATGGATTTTTTATTTTAAAGAAATAGAAATTGAAAATATGTTGCAGATGTTTTTTAGTTAGCAAGAACTGATTTTGAAAAAAGGCCTTTATATTATAGCAATGGAAAGTTGGTTTATTTCCATACTGTTCCGATTAGGGGACGCACATTTCCTCATTATGTTAGTCTTTTAACTAGGTATATGTGAACAACATCAAATACATTGAGTGAAGCAATTTTTCATTGGTTCCACCATTTCTCTCATTTTATTAGATTTAAGGAACTATTTACAACTCTCTCTTTAAAAAGAATAATTTACTGAAGATAGCAATCTCGTTGAGTTTTAAAAAAATTAAATTTACGTTTTATTTTTGAACACTTTTTGCTCCTTGGGGGGGGGGGGGGGAAGGAGCAGTTGACTTTCTTTGGGGAAGTTGTATCTAGATTTGCTTTAAAAAATTTCACTGATTTTGATTAAAAAAGTTATAAAAATTACAATTGAGTTTTTTTGTTTTTTTTTTTAAATTAATTTTCACTTTAACATTGTACATATTTTAAAAATAAATTATTGACATCTTTTAGATTTTAATTTTCAAATTGAGAGTTTGCCTTAACTAATTTAATCATGTTTCAAGAATTAAAAAACATTAATTAAAGTTTGACTATTATTTAACTTATGTTTTTAAAATAATGATTGTCTTGATTGCTTCCATTTGTTTCTATAGGGTCATTACATTTGGTGCCGATTGTTTTAGTTGAAGGCCTTGCAAGCTCAATGTCTGCATCTCCTGTAAAGTGAGTCTCAGTAATGAGAAGTAAAAGTGACTTTTAAAATTAGAATTTATCTCTTAATATCCACACAAACGTCTGTCAGTTTTTATATTTCAAAGCAAGACGCAAAATTCATGAATACTCACCCTTGTGATATGTAAGCATTCTAAATGTTTACTTCCTTCCTAAAAAGCACAACTTTTAAATGAAAATAACTTGTTTGAAATCAAATATTAGCCAAATTTTTAGTTTTGTTTACCGATCAATAAAATGAGTAAAACAGAGTATGGTTAAACCTGAAAAATTAAACGCAACAAAACGGCGAACGTGTCGGCAGAAAGCCTTCGTCAGCGAACAAAACAACAGAAAAAACGTTATAAAAATAAGAAATAGCACTTAGCTGGTAAGTAGTATCTGTGGGCAGCAATATAAGTGATCAATAGCAATCTTAACAAAAATGAACTGCGATGAAGTTATTAAGTTTACCGTCTTATAATTATAACCTTATGTTTTACAGTTCGATGGGGTAAAAGTTTTTTCTTTTACTCTATGTGCGATGTGAATATAAAAAAATCATTGATGTACCATCTACAGCCCAAGATCTAAGAAGCAAAAGTTGGATTCTTTGGCCCCCAGTATCCAGTGCTCACCGAATATCACTTCCTCTGTGGCAATTTTACAGTGTTTTGAGACAGCCGTCAAGTGCTATGATATTCTTAATTCAACAGAAGACATGAAATTAGGTTAAACATAATTTGGTTTTTACAATGGACAAAAGAGACATTCTTGATGAATTTTTTTTTTTTTTTAAGGAAGATAAAATAATTATTAAAATTTCATTTTCGGTTAAAACTAAAATGTTATTTAAACCAGTTAGACAACAAATCAAGCTACAATAAATTCAGAAACATATAACTTCCATTAATTAAATATAAAATTATTTTATAACAATTATCAATAGTAAAAATAAATTATGAACTTGTAAAGGAATGATGCTTTTAAATAAAAAAGATTTTCAGCTTTAAAAATTGAGATTTTAAATATTAGTTTACAACTTCATAAACATTTATAAACATAAACTTGATAAATAAATTTGTACATTACAATTGGGGTATGCGATACCTTAACTTTTTAAATTTTTATTTTGATATTCAGAATTTTACAACTTGTGTCAAAAGTGGAGAAAAGAAACACAAACAATGAAGTCTTACTTTCTGGCTGACATGGCCATCTATCAGGTAGATACTTTATCAGTTATAGCTATAGAAAGAGAGTTTTCTTTTATGATCATAAAATTGATTTTTTATATTTTAGCTGCATTTTGTAAGATGTTATACGCACATCAAAAGATATATTCAGCCAGTAAAGAGATAAGACTTTGCCCACAGGACTGTTGCAGATGCAGGGCATCAAAAGTCTTCTGTCAGTTTGTGGGGCTCGCCATGTCCATATCCAACTCAGTGTTATTTTTTTTTTATTAAAAAAAAACAAAACAAGTTCTAATAAAATTAAAAACATTCATATGCTTTTTTTATTCTTTATTTTGCTTTAACTTTAAGAGAAGGTTATGATTTTTTTTTTTTTCTTGGGATGAGAATATGAAAGTTTACATTACAGGTTTAAAAAACTTACAATTTGCATGTTGCTAGTACTGAAAAAATATGAAAACCATAGTTAAATTTAAAAGTTTCGTTAGCCAGAGGAAATTGATTCTATATATAACCGTTCCATTAAATGCGGTCAAAAGTATTATCATGCCGTTTTTTTGTGTTTTCAAATGTTTAAAGAAACAAGATGATTGAATTGCTCACATTTTAGTAAATTTTTCCCACTCTAACAGGGCAACTATGAAGAGGCCCTAGCCCAATTATCTCAACTCCCTGCCACAACTAATCCCAAGATGAAGGTAAATGATAGATTTGTAGGCACAGAGGCAGGAGAGCCATGGAAATGATGAAAGAGAGGTTATCAATGACATAAAAAAATGATATAATGAACTAAATCCTTTTTTTGTTGCCTAAAGTGGCCTGTTATGTGCATTTTTAATTAATTTTTGTGCCCTAGTCAAGGGTATATATGAACATTTTCATTTTTTAAAAAAAGATTTAACTAACCGTTCAGAAATTTAAATGTAATGTCTTTAAAACAGGCATGCACAACATACGGCCCGCCAGCACCCTCTTTGCGGCCCACGAAGTTACAAAATATCTTTTATTCTTCTTATTTTCTGAATAAGTTTCCCCCGTCCTATTTTCGTTTGGCCCGTACAAGTTTTTCATAAAGGATTTAGGCCCGCCTTACATTTTGAGTTGTGCAGCCCTGCTTTAAAAGATTACACTGTTGACTATCAGTATGGTTCTCATCTTCATTTTGGATACAAATAATGACCACATTGTTACAAAAAAATTATAATTTTTTTTGCCTGGGCTATAGATAAATTATCTTTTTTTGCCTTCCTATAAAATGGTTAGATTTGAAGCATAAATGGTCATATTTAAGAAAATGCTTTTTTTCTGTTGCATTTAAGCTCGGATTTAACTTCTTTCAGATGAGGCATAGCCTTCAGTTGGCTGGCTGCTACTTCTTTCTAAAACAGTATCTGGTAAGTCATTGGCATCTCCTCATAACATTCAATCAAACTTGATTGCAATCAAAAACATGCCATTAATTTTATCAATTGATGTGGAGCAATGAAATATTCTTGTCTCAGACATTTAAAAATTTTTATTTGCATGTCATAAAGTAGAAAACCCACACGCTGCAGAATTTTAAAATATTATATTTTTTCAATGTTTGTTAGAAAGCCTGTGAACTGGTGGTAGATTTGATCGAAACAATTCCTTGTGGGTCATCAATCTCCTCACTCTGGAGTGCATGTGATGGGACTGAAGACAGAGCCACTAGGAGTCTCCTGCTCCTGCAGTGTGTGGATGGAGAGATCCTGCCGTTCTGTCTCCAGTTTTTGATTGTGGCTCTGAAGGTTTGTCAAAAATGTTGATACCATTCTTTCTAATGAATTGCCAAAAAAACAACAAAAAAAACAACTTAAGTCAGTTGAGTCAGTTTATGAACTGGAATGATGGCATTGCAGTTTTAGACAAAGAGATCCTATATAAAAGTAGGAACATTTCTAAATCAAAGAGTTTTGGAAAGTGTGTCTGGTAAAACTGATGAATTTTGAAACATTGGAATTTAATAACATATTATGTGTGCATCATTGGTGTGCACTAAAGTAAAGAAAAAGATTTTTGGAGTATTTTCATTTATGGATGCCAGCATTGCTTACTGACTAGTATTAAAGCCGCTGTTCAAACCATCTGGTTCTAAAACTCATACGGTAATAATTTACAACCTACGCAACAATAATTTGACCACTGCTTATTCCAATATTTAAAAAGAAATTTAATAGAAATGTTTGTGTAAAATTCTTTTCATCTAAATGAAATTATTGTCAACCTGTGTCTAATTTATGTATCTTGTTGGATGTGTGATATAATTGTAAATTTCATACTAATCTGTCGTGGATATCGTTTTGAATGTGTGAACCGCTGATGGGAGACAGCTGATATAGTAAAAATTCTATATTCCCTGTGCATATAATACAGAGTATAGGGACTAACAAAAACTGGCAGTCAGTGTGTTTGACTGGGTCATGGGACAGCAACAGTTTTGAGAGCTGAACTGCCACGATAAAAAAAAATGAATGTAGATCAAGATAATGTGCATAAGATTTTGAAGCGAAAGGAGATGTTGTGAATCATTAGAGGAATTGCGATTTAAGTGAAGTGTGTATCTTATCTCTGTGAAATTATATATTTCTTCTGATGGATTTTGTGAACGTTGAAATTAAAATAGTCAGTGTTTGAACCGTAATGTCTCGAATTATTATTTATAACTTAATATAACAGTGACACCATCATTATGTAAATGTACAATGAGAAGATACTTGTGAAAATATAATGAAACTTTATATAATTTATTATTTTGTGCCAGGAGAAGATGATGTCACCACACAGAACAGACTCCACCCTGGCCCACCTCATCATACTCCTTCAGTTTGATTGGCCCAAGCAGGAAGCATTGTTTTGTGAAGTCATTGCCACCATACAGAAACAAGCCAGCTTTACCTACAATGCTTTTTTCTCTTATGTTCACCGTATCCTTAAATCATTACGACAAGGGGAATAAATAACTTTCTTAACCAAAACATTTTAACCACCATTATCTTTTTAATAGTTTTTGATTCAGCACTCCTTGAAATGCAGGTGAAGAAAACCACAAATTGTAGTAAAGAATGATGAGTTTTTAAAGGCAGAGTGATGAGATGATTGTTTTGGTTGAAACTCTTCTTCGACAGGCCAAAAGAATATTTTGTATTACTATTCCTATAACTGAGCAAAAAAAAAATAAATTAAAAAAAAAAATTGTTGAGAAAAAAACAAATTAGTTGAGAAGAAAAAATACCAACCTCTGAAATAAAGGTGAGTCACAAACACAAAATAGCAGGTAATACTTTGTATCAACATTGATTCAAACTTCAGCTCCAGCTGTGAATAGCCATAATTTTTATGAATTGGACTTATACAACTGTATTTAAAATATGTGAGAAACTTCATTTCATTGTTTTTTTATCTTGATTTCTGCTTTCTCTGCTTGATTATCATGTTTCTTATAACTCTCTTGAGCTTCTTGAATGCAAACCAATCCCTTTTTTATTACCTAAAAAAATAAACATCAAATGGGCTACGTCACCTAGTATCAAGACAATGATGACATTTTATCATTCTTTCGTTCTTTTTAAATTTAAGATAAGCCTGTTCTTTATCAATACTAATCTTGTAAAGGGCATTTTAATTGAAATACGCACTGCTATGTTACAATATTATGATCAATGATCCTTAACTCCAGCAACAGAGGTAGATATTTTGGAAGAGTTTGCTTTCTTGGATACACCTGAAGGTGGCAAAGTTAACCTGGACATCATGCCCAACAGCACCAAGGCCTTGGCCCAGTGAGTAGTTGTTTGGGCTTGTTATGGGAAGGGTTTTTGTTAAAGGGGGGGGGGGGGTAAAAAAAATGTTATAATTATGTGGGGCTTTTCAAGGGGGAATTTTCCAAAACATAACATTTGTTTTTAACTTTTTAAATTTTTTTTACAAAAAAGTTCTTCCGATCTGGAGCAAGGCCTTGGCCCAGTGAGTAGTTGTTTGGGCTTGTTATGGGAAGGGTTTTTGTTAAAGGGGGGGGGGTAAAAAAAATGTTATAATTATGTAGTGCTATTCAAGCGAGCATATTCCAAAACATTACATTTGATTTTAACTTGTTAAATTTTATTTACAAAAAATAATAATGAAGGACTTTGATTTTATGTATGTTAATTTAGCAATCCTCACATGCATGAAAGATGAGTTGATTTTATTTTAAATTTAGACATGCGTGAAAAGATGCATTACCTGTAATTAACAAAATAATAGAAACTCAAAAATATAAAGTTTGCTTGCAGACATTTGATGGGATAGTCTATTTTTTTATTCACTCAAATTCAGTCAACTTTAAATTCACATAGCACACCACAGGATAGTTATTGCCAGTGTTTGCGTATGGTTTTAATCTAAATAATTACATTATTTTTTTTAATACTATTTCTTTTATAGTAAACAGCAATATTTTTTAAATGTCTGTTAATTATTTAAACAATAAAGTAAAGATTTAAAATATTTTAGTGGACAAACTCGGCAGCCTTGAGAAAATGAGTGCTATCTAGCTTCACAGAAAGAAATTATAACATTTGTAGGATTACAAGAAATTTGATCGAAAGAAATTTCATCGAAGGTAAATTGATCGAAATAAAATTTGATAGAACAGAAATTTGATTGAATCTTTTTTTCAGTTCACACATTAAAATTTTCATTAAATTTCTTTTTGAACGCACTATACAATATATTAAAACAAAACAATGCGTTTAAAAAGAAATTTGAGGCACAATTTTAACGTAAAAACTGGAGAAAAAAAAGATTGGACCAAATTTCCATTCTATCAAATTACCGTCTATCAATTTACCGTCGCCGGAATTTCTTGCGATCTAATTTCCGTATATGCATTTGTAGACATCAAATGGATGATTTATTATGTTCTGAATTACAGACACATCACTAATTAATGGCTCAGTTAAGTTTGAATGATTTATGATGAAGACTGACTGATCAATTAAAAAAAAAAATTTGTTTTTTAACTTTTCAGACAGAGGACGGTCACAAGGGGAGTTAATAAAGGTGTGAAAGAGGACTTTAAGGCAACTTTAGAAAAGCAGGTGGGGAGTGTCATGGAGGCAAGCCATGTTCTGATACGTCGGTTTCTGAAGGAAGAGCGAGCGGAGATTCTGTCTAATTTTGTGTGATTCTCTAAACCCAACCCCCCCTCCCCCCACCGCCGAGGATCAAGGTTTACCTTTCAAACAGTCTGTGTTATTCCATGCCATCTAACAGAACAACGGGAGTGAAGTGAGGCCTGCATCTCCAACACAACAAGCTATGGAACATGTGTAAAAAAACTTGACTGGTAAGAACGGCTTGTTGACTTTGATTATAATTGAGACTTGGCACCTATCATGTGATGACACTGACATCTGTACTCTTACATCAGTACTCGGCTACTGTTGTTTTGATGTGATACAGCCACATCTGCAGAACTGTTTGTTTTGTGTGTGACTCTTCAAACAATCAATTATGACAATTGTTATCATTACAAAAAAACCCCCCCAAAAAAACAGAAGTGTGGAGAGTAAATTCACATGTAAAACTATTCAAGAAATAATACAACACTCTTATAAAAGTTTGAAAAGAATCCATTTTATTTTGTTTGTCCATAGAGCTGCCTTTTATACACAAGAGTAAGTTTAATAAAATGAGCTAAAATGCTTACCATCTAACTTTATGAGTCTAATTCCAGTACCATTGATAGCTACCTTTCATTTTATTAGCCCTAGATGAAGAGATGAAATTAGTTTTTTGTTCCACTTAGATAATCAAAACTAAAATAATAACCATTTTTATGCATGTCCCGTCACAAGTTGGAGTGGCAAGATAACAAAATTTTTAAATACTGTGCACATTGTAACAACGTAGTATAATGCCCTTTAAACCTTATTTATTGATACATTTGACTTAAAGTGACTTAAAATTATAATGAATGAGCGGCATGACTTTGAGAAGAATTGATACTTAATCTTTCTCAAAAGTGCTGCCCTGAACGCTCGGTACATATTCCCTGCTCCTGTTGTAACTGGTGGTGGGTTTGGCGGCGTGTTCACTCCCCTGAGATCGTGTGTCTCTAGCCTCAGACTCAGCATCTGCTGCTCTGTGGCTCTGCATCGCTTTTCCCGCGTCCATCACATTGGTCAGGCTGCCCACTGGCCGGCCACTGTGCCGCTTTCTCACCAGCCCCACCATTTGTCTCTCTGCTGCAGATAGACAAGGACAGTTTAAGTCTATGATATAATAATTAAAGGACTTCATTCAAGCCTAGTAAATGAAATGGCAAAATGTGGAAGCTTGAATTTGAGGACATGACAAAATAGGACGTTTCGGCATAGAGCCTTCTTCAGCGCACAGGACAAGGGAAAATATTACTGTGCTCTGTTCTTTGTGATATTTTCATTAGGATTTTGAAAAGATCAAAACAACCCTAGATAAAACTGGCATTTCCATGCCGTCAGCTTGCAGGTACAAATAACTTAAGACAGAATTTATACTTTGCTGGTAACTTATTTAGTTCATAATCTAAGATCAGGATCCCCACTTCAGATCAACATTGGCTTATAAATTATATTTCTGTCAATGCCACACCCCATAATGTGTTGCTTGGCTGTTAACATTACCTAACCGTTTCAAGCTAAAATAACCAGCCATGTGCATAAATCCTCTTTAACCAGAGAAATATAAACTAAGATATTTGTATTTTCGGAGATGTTGTAGTTGTAACATGAAAGTAATATAGCTTAGCTCCTCCCAACCCATTAAACTTGGTCATGGCTAGTGCCCAAGTCTGGATGCAGTTGGAGAAGTGTAAAGTGGAGGCCATCCAGCTCAACTGTCAAACACCCAAGTACAGAATTGTCAAAGAACTCTCTCCTGGGAAAATCCCCCTGATTACCTGATCCAGGCAGCACAGTGGAGGATTCAAAATGCCCCAAAAAACTATGAGTGCTTGGGATTGAGTTCATCTGTTTGCAGCAGTCGGACATTGTTTTTGTCACGTATCCTTCATCATCGGCCACATCCTGGATGGAAACAGAACAGTATAACACCTTCCATGGGTGTGGCATTCAAAAGGCCCAATGAACAGAGTACAATATACAATTATACAATTATAGTGCATGTCAGTGCTGACATCAGAAAGTTCTGCAGAAATCATAGTAATGAATAGGAGAAAAAAAGATTGAAGTGGAGCTCACATTAATATGGTTTTCTATTCAAACTCCCTTCAAATTTGTATTCATTTTTAAGCTTGGCATACCAAGCAGTCACCAACAACTGGAATCACTTTTATTTTGATCACTACTGCCATGATGGATTATCCCATTCACTCTCCCAAATGGGTTTTTAAACATTTCTGTTTGAAAGCTTTTTTTTTGTGGAAAATATTTGTTTCGGGCTAATAATAATAATTTTATAAAAATATCAATGGAAGATCTTGTTTGATTACAAATTTAAATTTTGGAAAAAAAATTGATTTGGCTTTTTTTTGTACAGTATCTTTTGAACAAGCTGTATTGTCAATTTTTTAACATGCCTGCATGTGAAGAGTCTACCTTGCAATAAGCTGTTAATTCGAATGAGTATGTGACATTATAATTTTATCAATTTAACATGTGAAAGTTAAATTAAATATTCAACCAAGTGACTGACACGTTTTCTTAGTTAAAATCTTTTTTAAAAAGTATAAGCTCATAATTTTTTTCTTCTTTAAATAAAATTTTATTTTATTTTTAAATACCGGTATATATTTTGTTAAAGAGGATGATAAATTAGGATGATCACTAGCACGAGTTCAATACAAAAAATTTTAATTTGGTGAGCTACGTTCACTTACTGAAAGTGGCGGTCGCATGTGGGCAGCTTCTGCATCCCCACAAAGTGAAAAGGTCAGCTTAGCGTCCATCATTGTTGAACTACTGGAGGTCAGGACATTGGTGGCCAACTCACTAAAACTGTTGTCTATGGGTCCACAAGATGTAGATGGAGTATCATCTGAGTCCTCCCACCTGGCATACAGGGATGAAAACTAAATCTATCATGAGGCTAAAGAGAGAAGAAAACTTAGAAAAGATTTGAGAATGAGTGCATAAGCAAGAATGCATTTCACAGCTGAGATATTTGGCTGATGGAAATTTTAGTGTTCCCCACGCTTACTCTTCAATTTGTCAGTGTTGCCAGGTCCAGGTAAGATATCTCCTGCAATAAAACCCTAATCCTAACCTATTCCTATTTCATGTGGTCAGTTGCTTCCAGGTTCCCTTCACCTTCCCAATATAATACATTTTACTTTAAAACTAGGTCATCTGAATCTTCCTGTGTTGAAGTTTTCAAGAGATATCCCATTCAACTGCTGTGCCACACATCATTTTATTTGTCACTATTATGCAATTAAAGTGTCCAGATACAATATTACTGTGTCATCAACGGGTCCCACGTTTATTTGGGCAGTCCTATGAACTCCCACATAGTTGATAGTCCATTAATCTCACAAATTATTAATTAGTTCATTGGCCTACCAATTAATTAACAAAATTTTTACTTTGGAACATAAACCAGACCTCAACGCAGACTCCAGCTGTTGTGCCAGTTTGGGGTCAGTAATTGGGTCAGTGGCCAGATTCATCTTTCTTGGACACCGATGCAGCCCTCTTCCCCTCATTTCTTCCTGATCTTCAATTTGGTCTCCTCCACCCTTGCCGTTCTCATCTTTGTTGAAATCATCCTTGAGAATTGCATGTTTATAGCTTATAGCTAGAGTCACACGTTTTTACCTGACTGATATCACTTAACCTTGTATCTAAATAATCTACAAGTTCACAAGAGTGCAATTCTGGCCACTTAAATTGTTCAAAAATGGTAGGAAAGTTGTGTTAGAAGTTTAGAAATTTAGTTGAAGTTGTGTTAGAAGTTTAGTCATGTAGTGAAAGTTGTGTTAGAAGTTTAGTCACTTAGTGAATGCTAAGTTAGAAGTTAAGTCATTTAGTAAAATTTACAGCATGCAGAAGGAGTTATTAAATTTATTTATTAGAAAATATTTGGTAGACTGCACTAAAATATAGTGACCGGCTGCACTAGAGTAGTGACCGGCAGCACTAGAATACAGTGACTGGCTGCACTAGAATACAGTGCACTAAATGGGTAGTTTCGTTATAACTGTGTTCTCTGTAACAATTTTTAATTATTATTTCTTCATTTAATAGGGGAGCCATCTGCAAATCAAGCCAACCTTAAAATTTTAGTAAAAAAATAAATATAAAAAAAAAGTTCTTTTTGAAAAAACAGCTGAAATTTTATTCTGAATATTTGTCTGGAATGGAAAGGGAGTCAACTAGGGGTAATTGATTGTGCTCACTGGTACTGTCATTTATAAAAAGGCAACTCTATGACTAACAAATGACAAAATTAGCTTTTTCTAATGTCATGCTAATTCAACTTTTGCAAAGAATACACCACATATTCTGATAGCTATGTGCACCATTTCTTACCTCATTGGTCAGATTGGTTTTGGCTCTGGCATTTCTTGGAAGAATCAGGTTGGCTCCTGTCAGTCTGTTGATTTTGCTCTGCAGAGACATCAGCTCATCCATCATCTTTATGTTGTCCTCACGGTCAAAGTTCAATGATGCGTTAAATGAATACATCCGCAGGGCATTCTTAATTATCTGGTTTAAAAAAAAAGAAAAAAGAGAAAATTCAATTAGTGTACAAGTACAAGTGTAAAAGTTAACTTGAAATGGCCATACTTAAAAAGTATATGCAAATAAACAAGAACGTAAAGAGAATTGATTTCTGACCGTTAGTAAGAGAATCAATGTTAACAAATGACCTGAGTTTCTGATGTTTTAACAAATGACCTGAGCTTCTATTTGTTGACAAATGACCTGAGCTTCCATTGTGTTTACAAATGACATTAGCTTCCTATGTGTTAACAAATTACCTAAGCTTCCAATGTGTTAACAAATTACCTAAGCTTCCAATGTGTTAACAAATTACCTAAGCTTCCAATGTGTTAACAAATTACCTAAGCTTCCATGTTTCAACAAATGACATGAGCTTCCTATGTGTTAACACAAATGTAACCATTTCATTTCATCCTACCTGAGCCTCCATGTGGCGCTGCCTCTGGGACAGATTGAGATAATCCAGAACATTTTCCCCCTTTTCTCTATCCGCATCCATCCGTGGATCTGATTTAAACACATTTAAAAAAAAAAAAATATAAATGATTTGCAACTTTGGCAAATGAAATTTAAAAAAAAAGTGACAACCTTTAACTTGAACTCTAACTTGAGCAAAGGGTCTGCACTGGAATATCAATCATTGATATAGATTCAATGGTAGCACTAGGAATATCAATCATTGATATAGATTCAATGGTAGCACTGGAATATCAATCATTGATATAGATTCAATGGTAGCACTAGGAATATCAATCATTGATATAGATTCAATGGTAGCACTAGGAATATCAATCATTGTGATAAAGATTCAATGGTAGCACTATGAATAGCAATCAGTGTGATATTGATTCAAAATTCAATGCTACCGTATTTCAATGAAATAACCATGATATGAAAAAAAACAACTATACTGGCATTTTTCCCCAAGAATATTGTAAAATATTTGTTTAAAAAAAAAAATTCAATATTGAAAGTCTTGTTTTTAAAAAATCTGATCTGAGCCAACTAAAACCACTAACAGATGTGGGTATGTCAAGATAGCATCATTCCAAATTTAAAGCTACTTTAACTATCTGCTGATTTAAAAACTAGATTCAAATATCATTTTTGAGAGCGTTCTGCACTGAGAATTTGATGACTGTAACAGACTTTTATGGCGGTAAACAAAGACTTGTTGAAACCACACACCCACCAGACAGCCAAGCAGAGATCTTGTTCCGTCTCATGTCGGTGAATAAATCCAACTCTTTCACGTAGAACTCTCTGTCTCTCTCGTAGTTCTCAAACAGGCAAGTGATCTTCTCCTGGAGAGGTTGAACAGATAACTTGATGTTGATGACACAAACAAACTCATAACATTTCAAAGGTTGTAGCTGTAGCTGTTTAGTTGTAGTTTATGGGTAACAACAATACTTTTCCCACTTCCACATTTTTGAACAACAATTAATCAAGTAAATAAAGACCAGGTGAGAACACGCAAAGTAGAAATGGCAGTCAGAAATGTCCACCATAATGTCAATGCCCTACATGGTCAGTAAAGATTGCTCAAATAGTTCACCCCCACTGGTTATCTTGTGGTGAGTATTATGCGGCTAGGCCCTATTGCATCGGTGAGTCTGATGTGGCTAGGGTCTATGGGGTCGGTGAGTCTGATGTGGCTAGGGTCTATGGGGTCTGTGAGTCTGATGTGGCTAGGGTCTATGGGGTCGGTGAGTCTGATGTGGCTAGGGTCTATGGGGTCTGTGAGTCTGATGTGGCTAGGGTCTTTGGGGTCTGTGAGTCTGATGTGGCTAGGGTCTATGGGGTCGGTGAGTCTGATGTGGCTAGGGTCTATGGGGTCTGTGAGTCTGATGTGGCTAGGGTCTATGGGGTCGGTGAGTCTGATGTGGCTAGGGTCTATGGAGGAATATCAATCATTGATATAGATTCAATGGTAGCACTGGAATATCAATCATTGATATAGATTCAATGGTAGCACTAGGAATATCAATCATTGATATAGATTCAATGGTAGCACTGGAATATCAATCATTGATATAGATTCAATGGTATCACTAGGAATATCAATCATTGATATAGATTCAATGGTAGCACTAGGAATATCAATCATTGATATAGATTCAATGGTAGCACTAGGAATATCAATCATTGATATAGATTCAATGGTAGCACTAGGAATATCAATCATTGATATAGATTCAATGGTAGCGCTAGGAATATAAATCATTGTGATAAAGATTCAATGGTAGCACTAGGAATATCAATCATTGATATAGATTCAATGGTATCACTAGGAATATCAATCATTGATATAGATTCAATGGTAGCGCTAGGAATATCAATCATTGTGATAAAGATTCAATGGTAGCACTAGGAATATCAATCATTGATATAGATTCAATGGTAGCACTAGGAATATCAATCATTGATATAGATTCAATGGTAGCGCTAGGAATATCAATCATTGTGATAAAGATTCAATGGTAGCACTAGGAATATCAATCATTGATATAGATTCAATGGTAGCACTGGAATATCAATCATTGATATAGATTCAATGGTAGCACTGGAATATCAATCATTGATATAGATTCAATGGTAGCACTGGAATATCAATCATTGATATAGATTCAATGGTAGCACTAGGAATATCAATCATTGATATAGATTCAATGGTAGCACTGGAATATCAATCATTGATATAGATTCAATGGTA